TCACCAACATTTGTATAGAATCGATTCGAATGTACAAAGCCCTCATTTAGTTTTTACTAGTAAAAATTTTTATCAACTAATTACGTTTTTACGAAATATTCCATTTTTTTACGATTTTTCATCAATTTAAATAACTAATTAACATATTAATTCATAGGGAGACAAAAAAACAATGGAATGAGCTCATTGTCCAACAGATGAAGTGAATATATCACATTTAATTAAAACAATCATTTCGGTTCTACGAAATCATAAATTTTTCTCATTCAAGTAAAACTAGGTTTTCCATAATCAACTCTTTATCCGTCTTTTTAATTATAATTTTCAAAACTTATTCGTGGAAAAATAATGTAATTAGTGTCAACCCCTCATTGAGTAATTGGCATTGACTCTCACGCATTTGAACTCATGTTTCTAATCGATTTTTCTTTCTGCGTCGAGTGCATTAAGTACAGTTAAACATTCGTAGAAATTATACGAATTACGAAGTCCTAGGATTACACATTTTTTATAGTGATATCGATCATTCGTTACTCGGCGATTTATCAGCCCATGGATCACTTTTGTGGACTGTTGGGAAATAATGTTGTTGTTGAATTGTTATTGGTGGATGAATTATCTCAATTGGATGAACTCACAATTTTTTTATTAAATAAATTGAGTGGAGGTTGTTTTTTTAGAGAGTTTGGTCACTTACAAAAAAGCTGTTTTGTGATTTTTTTGCTGAGCTTAATGATTTCAAAGATATTTACAAAATTGTTGAGATGAAATATTCCAACCCAAATTTCAAACCTAAATTGGTTAAATCTTAACAATCTCAACAATTGATTCTAGGAAAATATGTTAATTAAGATTTTTTGTATCTGTACTATATGCACGATTTTTAAAAAAAGTCGAATGGTAATTGATGAATATTTTCGAAAATAACGAGTTTACAAGAATTTTGATGTTTTTTTACAAAGAGCTTCATAAACTAGAAAAGAGCTTCTCTAAAATTTTTTCCTAAAGGCGATAGTGTCCGAGATATTAAAAAAATGTGAGCATGGAATATTTCAACTGGACTTTCGTCAATCGTTAAATTACCCCAATAAAAACTGGTTCTAGTCGAAATTCTTAGAGAAATCCTTCTCATAAAAATTCTCCTACACCCCATTATTTCCAAGGTAATTCAACAACAGCCATCCAATAAATTCCCAACTCATATATCCATCCCAAAATAAAAACGTCCATAAGAAAAATTAATCCCCAACTACGTAAATCAAGTGAAACATTTATGAAATACTTATTCTCATTGGATAAATTCATCTTTCACCAATGTACGATTAAAAAAAAAATTGAATGAATATGATTAATATTATTAATTTAATTATTCCAATCGATTGATAAATATTCCCGAAAATAAGAGGTTTACAGAAATTTTACACTTTTTTTTGCAGAGAGATTAGTTAATGAACTACAATAAAGCTCTTGTCATTTTTTCCTAAACGTAACTGTCCAAGATATTAAGAAAATAGAGAGGATGGAATATTTCAACTGAAACGTCGTCAACCGTTGAATTACCTCAATAACAGGTTTTACTCGAAATTCTTTTTATAAAAGTGTCCTTACACCCCATTATTTCCAAGATAATTCAACAACAACTATTCAATAAATCCCCACCTCATCTATCCATCCCAAAATGAAAATTTCGATCAAAAAAATCAATCCACAAACACGTAATCACGTGAAATATTTATGAAATATTTATTCTCATTGAATAAATTCATCGTTCAGTAATGCACGATTAAAAAAACAGTCGAATTAATATTATTGATATTATCAATTTTATTATTCCAATTAATTGATAAATATTCCCGAAAATAAAAGCTTTATAGAAATTTAACATTTTTTTGGAGAGCTTAATTAATAAAGTACAAAAAAGCTTTCTTGTCATTTCTTTCTAAACGTAACTATCCAAGATATTAAAAAAATTGTGAGGATAGAATATTTCAACTGAAATTTCGTCAACCGTTGAATTACCCCAATAACAACAGGTTCGATTCGAAATGCTTGCCATAAAAGTTCCCCTACACCCCATTATTTCCAAGATAATTCAACAACCGCCATCCAATAAATCTCCACCCCCTTTATCCATCCCAAATCAAAACTTCCAAAAAACATTATTCCCCAACATCGTAAATAAAGTGTTTTCCAATGAAAATAGTCATCCCCCCTGTACCCCCTATATACACCCCCTCCAAAATCCAGAACCACAAGACACACAACCATCATAATTTTTCCTCACTTCCCCCTCCAATTATCTGAGTTTACCTAATTTAGTCGAGTTTGGCAATGATATTCTCCCTATCTATTTTCATTATTATCTCGTGTAAAAGATTACTCTCATTATCATCAATGATTTTTTTTTGTTTTCGGTAAGACACAGGATAGCGCCAATCGCCGCACATATATTTATATATCTCATTAATCATTTGTATATTTTCAAGTTTTTACCTAAAAATTGTGGAAGAACTCCCGTTATTTACTTTTCACATTACTATTTGGTGGGTTTATTAACTATTAATCGATTTTTATTATGTTAACTAGCTTATCCATACATTTATGTATATATTGCTTCTCTTTATGATGAATAGTATAAGGATAATTCTTGCTAATGACAGATGTAGACAATTAATGTAGGGCAGTATCAACTTTCTCACCGACTTTACAATTGATAATCGATTATCGAATCCTTTCATTAGTTTATGATGAAGAAAACTCACTCAGATGTATGGGATGTACAATGCACAATAAAATTCGTAATAGAGACCACAAAAATTAGTAAGAAAATCATTTTAATCGTTAATTAATTCACCATAAGATAAACTTTGTAATCAACTTCTTACAATGATAATAATATTTTTTTATACTAAAATTAATTAAATGCCAGAATCTGATAGATCATAAAATTCTGAGTGCTTTTGAATTTTTCATAAAATCTCTCGTAACTTCATTATTCAACGACGCAATTTGTTCCTCAATTACAAAAGGGGTGGGGGAACCTGCGGTAAAATGGACCTCCTGATATTTGTTAAGTATTTTTTTTTATGAAAATGAGATGGCGATGAAGTGAACAGTTCTACTTTTTAATAATATTTTTAATTGTCATTCATTCTAGAATAGGGAAGAATGGGAATGAGATTAATAATAAGAATTGTTTCCAACTTTTAGAATAATGTAGAGGGTCTCGGACTATTTGAAGAGAATTAATTGAACTGAAGCTTGAATAAAAAATTTTCCTTCAATCTTCAGGAAAATTACAGCTAGAAAATTGAAAATAAATAAATGAGCATTTTGCTCCATTCTCAATTAAATTTATTAATTATTTTTCCCTCTTTAACTTTACGTGATTTGAAATTAAGTGAACAGTTTGACTTTCCAATATTGTTAACTATAATTCATTTTAGAAAATTTCATTTCTTCTGTCTTTCTTTTTTTTTTAATTTGGCTGTTTATTCTGCCCAATTCTCATTTCAACTGAAGCTCAATTGAACGAAAATTGATTTGATCCCTTATAATATATCCTCAATAGCTACAGTATCCAAATCTAGGAGTATTTGAAGAAAATTCATTGAGTTGAAACTTGAATGAAAAATTATCTTTTCTCTTAATCTTCTAATAAACAACTATTGAATTTTTTTTAATTCACTGCCCACTCTACCCCATTCTTGGCTCAATGTAATCTCAATTCGAAGTAAAGTTATTTGAGCCTGTAAATTTCTCCTCGACAATTATCCACTCAACCCCAGGTTCCCGCCTTCAAACAACAAAAAATTAATCACTGTAAACAGAACCGTAAAATTATCTATGAAATTAATTCGAAATTCACATTACTGTTCATCAGAGAGAATTGTACTCCCCACACATCTTGAAAAAAAAGCAAATAAACGCAAAAACAGATAAATCTCAATATTGTTCTTTGGCACTAGGATTTTATCAGAAAACTCCATAGTAAAGAAAAAGCACAGAAAAGTATGAAGAAAGCCCCTTAAATGGATACATTCCCTTTGAACCAGTGACACGTGTAGCAACAATATCGATTGTCATGAACGATTATAACGACCTTGACAAAGCACTCGACTGAGATGATGGAGACATCAAAGATTACGTGTAAAATTCTCTCATTTGTTCTTTATCGTTCTCAAGAATGATCTTGTTGTGTTGTTACAAGATAAAGGAATTCAATTCAGTCAGGTTTTTTCTCAATCTCCAATAAACGTTTCACAATTCTATGGAGACAGAAAGAATGAGGATGAGAACTCGAGTAAAAAGTCTTGACGAAATTTTCCATTTTTTTTAATTCGAAAATATTCTTGAAGAAAATATTGCAGAAGAAAAGACTCTGGAGAGATGAGAGATCTCTTACGGAAACCTGAAATAAAATCCTGACGTCCCATTTATCTCTTCAACTTCCCAAAGGAGAATACATAAAAGGTTTTCATTCTAGAAAACTTCTTTCCACAATTTCCTCAAGTTTCTTTTGTCAAAGGAGACTTCAAAGTTTCCCCGGAAATTTTTCTGACCTCAAGTCACCTCTTCAACTTCTTACAACTTTTCCAAACAAACCATTATATAAAAGTAAAACGAATTGAACTAAAAAAAATTGAATTCGTTGCAAGATAAAAAAATCAAAAATTCAATTCAATTATATTTTTTCTCAATTTATAATAAATATTTCACAATCTTGTGAGACAGAAAAATTTCAGGCAAGATAAAAAGATCTTTTAAGATCTTTTAAGATCTTTTAAGATCTTTTTATCAGATAAGGATGAGAACTCGAATAACAAGTCTCGACGAAATTTCCCAGCGAAAATATTATTGAAAAAAATATTGCAAAACAAAAGAATCTGAAGAGGTGAGAGAACCTTCCGAAACCCTTCAATAAAATTTTGACGCCCATTTATCTCTTGATCTTCCCAAAGCAAAACAAACTAAAAGGTTTCTAAATCAAAACAAAAAAATCTCGACGAAATTTCCCAGTTCTTTTTAATAAACTCCAAAATATTCTTCAAAAACTGATTGTAAAAGAAAAGAATCTGAACAGGTGAGAGATTTCTTCCGAAGCCCTTCAATAAAATCTTGACCCCGATTTACCTCTTGATCTTCCCAAAGCAAAACAAACAAAAAGGTTTCCACCAAAGAAAATTTCTCTCTGCAATCTCCTCAAGTTTTTCATCAAAAGAAACACCAAACTTTACCCGAAAATTTTCAACTCCTCCCCAGCACTTTCTTCAAAACCATTAAAACAGAATTGAATTCCTATCATTCAGAATCACACTCCCCGTAGATCCCAAAAAACCCAATAATTAACACTTCGTCTCAAGATTAACCTTGGAAGGTGTCGTCAGTCCCCCAATGCCATTAAGAACTTTCAAATCCGGTGCTGACAGCGACAAATCATTACTCGTTGAATTGTGTTGCTGTCCAACATCATCGAGAGATAGAATTTCAGTTCCAGTTGGTGAGTAACTCATGGTCGTCGTGGCTTCACTAGTGGGTGAAGTGACACAACTATCCCCAACGCTTCTGCTACGAGGAGTATGATGTGTCTTCTTGAACTGATCAATATTGAGTGATAAACTGGCTTGCAGAGTCATCTTCTCAGCCTCAGTCTTCTCCAGCCCAGGTTCAGGGAGACGTCCTGGACTCTTGGGTCTGACAGCATGCAATGGACTCTCTGGGCTCAATGTTGACGAAGAATTGACATTATTCCCCAGAATTTTGGAGCTAGCTGCAAGCCTGCTAGCACACGGTGAATATTTCGACAGATTAATGGAGATATTATCAGAGCCAATAGTCAAAGACGAACGATTGGACTTCTTATTGGGACTTATAGCCTGACTCTTCTTCTTCTTGAACGATCCCCTGTCCACGGAAAAGCTCTTCTCCTGTATCTTCTTGCTCTTGTCCTCATTATCACAAACAACAGTGCCCTCGCTGTTCTTCTCATTCGTCTTATGCGTCATCGATTGGCTCTTAAAGTTCTTCCCCCTCCACAGATATATTTTCGTTGGATTCTCTGGTTGGCTGGATGCTGATGCCACTGGTGATTTCTCAACATCCTGCTCATTCGTTCTCTTTCCCTTATTTGATGTTATCGATGTCTGTGAGAATCTCGATGCCCTACTGCATCTACGTATTTTACTTATTTTAACGCACTGCGATTCAACAGCCGATTCAATTGAATTGAAATTCACCTGTACAGCAACGGTTTTGCTATTTTTAATCTTACACTGCTCAATGCAGTTGATTTTTTTCTTATTCATATCGTGTGAGTATACTGATATCGATTTATCTGGGCACTGAGAGCAATTTTCAACCTGTATTTTAACGAGTATAGTGTGAGCAGTCTCATGTCCATCATCGTTATCACCAGTTGTTATGATTTTTTCAAATATCTGATTATTATCGTCAGCAGTGCACGATGATGCATCGCAGAATAATTTTTTATTCTTCTTTCTACCCAAAATATTACCAATTTTTTTCTGGGTATTTTTAATCTCATCAATACTGTCTGTTTTCAATGATTTATTTGTTTTTTTAGTAATGCCAGACTGGATTCGTGGATAGAATTCAATTTTCATTTTATCATTTGAGTCTTTTATTATTTTTTTATCATCACATTTGACATTAGTCTGCTCCTCGCATATGAAAAATACTTCGTCACTGGAGACGGGTGAAGGCTCATCATCGTCGCATATCAACATAGCACGACTTATTGTGTTTATGTAGTTTGATATTGAGTCGTTATCTTTATTATCGAAATCATCCTCACCTTCACCCTGTCCTCCCTCCTTGTCTGGGAGGCTCAATTTACGTCAGTTTACTAATTCAACGCTTACGAAGTGTTTCAGTCGCTCCAGGTACTGATTGTAGAGCTCAACGTCGTTGTGACCAGCTCCCTGAAATTATTTAGGGGCTCATTATGGGGTGAATTTCATTTATTTCATTAGTTTTATCTTTGGGGAGGTCTTTTGGGGGACGTGAGTTGCTTTGAGGGCTCGTTATGTCTATTATTCCTGGATAATTGGATAATTCGAAATTGAATTTATTATTAATTCAATATTTTCGAGGTGTTTCACATGAAAACAAATCTTTTTTTTTTCAAATCCATGTCTTTAACAACATTTGATTTAACTCATTTGATGTATATTTCTTTCTTTCGGAATTTTAAGAATTCCTCCTGAGGGTTTCTAGGTACGTGAGTTGCTTTCAGAGGCTCATTATATCCGTATTTTTTTTGTAATTGGATAATCCGAAATTTAATTTATTATTAATTCGAAGTTTTCGATGTCTTTCACAGGTAAACAATTTTTTTTCAAATAAATGTCTTAAAGAACAAGTTTGATGGATATTTCGTCCTTTTAGAATTTTAAAAATTCTTCCTGAGAATTTCTAGGGACATGAGTTGCTTTGAGGCGCTCATTATTCTTGAAATCTTTTTCAAGATTGAAAAGACGTACTATGAAATGAAAAAAACTCAAGGGCTCGAGATTCTTGGATAGTTCGAAAATGAATTTATTATTTTAAGGCCCCGGTGGATTATCTTTCGAACGTTATGTCGATTGTTTTTCCATCTTTATAGTGTAAAATATATCACAATTTCCATTGAATTTTACGTCACACAGGAGTCCCTGAAAATTATGATTGTACAATCAAAAAAAGTAGAAAAACTGAACTGAACATTTTCAAAGAGCGTTTTTAATAAAGATTAAGAGATATAAGTCCGATAGAGAGGAAATAGTGAATGGATAATTTATCATGGTAACTAACGATCTGACAGCCATTGACTACTGTGACAAATGACGATCTGACAGCGATCAAATACATTAAATTATTAATTTGCAATTTCCTCCCTATTGGGTTTATTTCCCAATATTATTCAAAAACGCTCTTTGAAAATGTTCAGGTATTCTTCAGTGTTTTCTTGATTGTACAATCATAATTTTTGGAGACTCCAGGGCTATGTAAAGCTGAATAGCAATTGGAGATCATTTCAGATTATCAAATTAAAAATAACAACCAAGATCACGTTCGAAAGATAATGCACCCGGGCCTTAATTAAAAATTCTCGACGTCTTTTCACACTTAAATAAATCTGTTTTTTTTTTCTTTTTTTCAAATAAATGTTTAAAAAACGAGATTGATACATATTTTTTCCTTTTGGAATTTTATGAATTACTCCTGAGGGTTTTTAGGGACGTGAATTGCGTAGAGGGGTTCATTATATTTATTATGCTCGAATATTTAATGAGGGAAATTTCCCTCATTAATTATCAATAAGGTACTTTTAAATCAATATTTCTGAATTTTCCATGAGGACTCTCAGAGCAGAACGAGAATGAAACTCTTTTCTACAAAAAATTCGGTTTTAGATTCTGAAATAATTATGGAAAACAATCTGGTCTGGTTTTATAATTGAAAAGATGAATAAGTAAAGGTATTTTCTGATTTCTGGAGATTTTCGTAGCCTTCTACAAAAGTAAAAGTCTGTAAAAAGAAATCTTTTTTTTTTAAACCATGAACTTCTACACTAGAAAGGCATTCTGCTTCCTTTCAATAATTCAAACAGTAATTTATAATTCATAGAAACATTGGCTGTTACACCTGTCAATGAGAACATTTCTATCGACCTGTTAACATTATTCCCAACCCCATCCGGAAATCTTTAATTCTCGTTATCAATAAAAGGCATCAGACCTCCGAAAATCCAACCAAAATGAAATATTCAGTGATATCATCATCAATTCCAGATAAAGTGGATTAAATCGCGTGTCGCTAAGCCTGTAACTGCGGAATAATTGAAGGAGCCTCAATAATTTCCAATGAAATTCCAATTTCCTCAACTGAAATTTATCGTCCAACTTTCTGACTAATTGCAATAATTAAAATACCTGAAACTACTTATGTCTCGGGGGAGCAAACTTGGCTGTTGAAACATGAAAAGGATGCATTACCTCAACCCACAGAGGCTCCACTGGCCTGGGACACCTCTCGTAGATTGCCAGTCCATGACTGATGTTGATTACGTCGTCCTCTGTACCGTGAATCACAAGAACTGGTGACATTACCTTCGGCACCTTGTCTATACTGTAATTGATAATTTAGGAAATAATTAAATACTATTTTTATCATTTTTTAACTGTTTGGAATCAGATTTTTCGTGTTGCTATTAGAATTATTACTATTTTTTGTATGGAAATTAACTGAATCTTTGGAGATTTATTGCAATGGGAAAATAGCATAATTCAAATAAATTATTCAATTATAATCATTGAAATTTATTGGAAATCTGTATATATTCCACGATGTTTCAATCAAAAACCTGAAGTAGTAAACGAAAAAAAAATTGTGATTATTCTCTGAATTCTCAGTTTTCCTCATTTTTCATACGAAAAAAACATTTCGTTTCAATAAATCTTATAAACCACAATTTTAATACATATTTTTCCCCTCATAATTCACAGAATTCCTCATTTGATTTAGGAAATCGTTTTTCCTCATTTCGAATATTAATCACATCGGAAACAGTTTTCTTCTATTCAGAAAATGTAGTTCTCCCTTTTGAGACTCTAATCTTCATCAGTACAATGGGAAAAAAATCCTCTTCCCCAGTGTATCTATTTCTGTCTTCTTACCTAAATCCTTTTAAGATAATAAACTAACTGCACTGAAACCTCTGGACTTTGATAACTTTGTAACTCTGTGTTCTATGAATAGACAAGAGAAAAACACAAAGTTATTCTTTTGTAAAAGAAATGGTGCAGCATTGTCCATCTTTTGAATTTCACAATTCGTTGATATAAATAGAGAAGTTTGTCTACTTTCAGAATGCTCACAGGAATGAATAATTTTAATGCGCAATACTGAGAGATGTTTTTTATAGAGGATTTCACTAGCTTTTGAGAATCTCTTTTGCCACAGCTCATTACCAAGATGATTTTCTGGACAATTTCATAATTATGTCGGTAATGAGCAATTTTGAGGGAAAGTGTCCGGAGTTATTCCTCCGGTCATTTCCCCCGACACCACTAATTACTGAGATAATAAGTATAATTATTATCATCAGGCATTTCTCTGTTGCAAATCCAATTTTTCACTTTTTGGAAATTTTCATTGTATTGTATATCCACTGAAACTTCGAGGGAATTCGTCAGTAAAAAACTGAAATTTTATGGAAAAATCAATAGAACTTGTAAATTTCAGTTCAATTATTCCATGAAAATTAATAATCAGCAGGAAAAATTCAGCATTATTCGGTGTTGAATATTCATATTTTGATTGAAGATTCAAGTTCAAAAATTCTCCTTTTTCTGCTGCTCAAAAATTTGAAATTTCATTGAATTTTCGATGAGATCTGGAATTTTATTATTTTCCATTATATGAATTTCTTATTCGGCTTTGCGATCATCCGTAATTCCTCAGATGTTAGTGAGGTACATTTTTCTTTCGCGCTATTATTTGAATCTCATCAAAGTCGAACTTTTTAACACTCAGAGAGGGACGCAATTCGCTATACATTCACTTCCAGTGGTTCAGGAAATGAGATTCACAGATCAACAATGTTTAATTAGTTTATTTTTTACTTCTGAAACGAACTCCATGTAACTCTCCTGAAAACTACTAGTCAACTGTTCATGAAATTCCAATTTTTTTACAGTGAAGGTCAAAATTGCATCTTGTGCACATTTTACATTTGATGTTAACTGCGAAAGCTTTCATACATCTATGTTATCTTGAATTAGTTGACCCTGTAATTGACTTTATATTATTGTGTCTATACACAGACGTAAACAAATAAAATCCCCATAGGAATCTTTTCCCTATCTTTCATTCCCTAGACTTAAACACGTGGGCTATTGCATTGTTTAATAAAATAAGTATAGTTATTGTTGCTAATAAATTAGCAATTTGCTTCGGAATGGATTCTTTTTGTTTTCATTCTTATTTCACTGTTCTATTCTTTTATTTTTTCAATTCATTGTACTATTATCAATTGAAATGTCTAATAATTCTACATTCAAACCCTTTCAAGACTCGAATTCGTTTTCAGTATAGTTTATTCAAGATTTAATCAGGGTTTATTAATAAGTATTCAACATGATATATCTATCTGGTACCTCAGTTTAATAGACATAGGGATTTTGGTAGAAAAAGCTCATGACGATAACTTAATAAACAATGACCCTATTATCACCATTTTTCAACTTGATTAAGAAAGCATTGAAATAGACTTTTCAAGCTCTGATTTAATTACTATTACTGATAATTCTTTGAGTAATCATGAAAAACCCGATTTTCTCTTTCAAGTCCAATAAACAATGTGCTGTAACTTAAGGCCGAATTGTGCGACCCCCATCATATTCTGATAGAATCAAGAGGATATTGTTATCAATTTTTTGATAACAATATCCTCTTCAATTTCTTTGTCTATATTTTTTAGTCTATATTCATGAAAAAATTCATGAAATTCGATTGATCTCTGATAACAAAATTTCGAAAAAAAACGAAAAAAAGACCACATGCTGCACAGCGTCATATAATTAAGGTTTGCTCATGTGCATATTATTTATCCAAATCTCTAAATCCCTTAAATATTATTAAAATTTCAATACGGACTCTGTGTAATTCATTACGATCGTAATTTTGAATGTCGTTACCACATGCGATAATTAATTCATTATGTATATTTTATTCGCTTGGCCTTATTCTGTACTATTACATTTGGATTGTCCTTAGGAGGTCAGTTTGTGCCCCAGGACAAATACAAATTTTAAATAAATAACTAAATAAATACACACATACAGACACTTATTGGACATATTTATTTTCCCTAACACAAAAAACTGGAAACTTAAATTTGAGTGATTACAAAGCTTCCAATTGAAAGCAGCAAATAAAATCCTCTCAGAAATCTCTCCACCTTTCTCTTCACCTTGAATTGCCGTTTTCGTTTTTGTAAATAAAAACGTTTAAAAACCATTATTTAACCTTGCGTCTCATGTGAAAATCTCCAAAAGTTGTCCTTAGGAGGTCAGTTTGTGCCCCAGGATAAATAAAAATGTTAAATAAATAACTAAATAAATACACACATACAGACACTTATGGGACCTATTTATTTTCCCTAACACAAAAAACTGGAAACTTAAATTTGAGTGATTACAAAGCTTCCACTCGGAAGCAGCAAATAAAATCCTCCCAGAAATCTCTCCACCTTTCCTTCCCCTCCCAAACCCCCCTGCAAAGAAAAAAGCCCTCAAAACTCACCTCAAAAATGCATCAAAGAACCAAGTTCTCTTGGTATTAGGAAAAGCGACCCTCATCCCAGACATGAGTGGCGAATGAAGAATAACAGCTCCAACCTCATATCTAGCAGCAAGATCAACAGTGGGCACAGTCCCAATGCTCTGTCCATACAATATAATATTCTCAGGACTGATTCCATACCGTGTTCTGAGCGCATGCCAGGCAGCATCAATGTCAGCATAAAGATTCTTCTCAGATGGTTTACCACCACTCACCCCATACCCCGAGTAATCATAACTAAATATGTTACAGTTGATCCTGGAGCCGAGACCCAAGTAAAAACTCGACATTTGCCCAAGATCAACAGCATTACCATGGGAAAATAAAATAGTGAATCTGGCTGTTGCTGAGCACCTCACAAATAGACATGCTATTCTATTACCACGTGATGTGCGTGCGTAAAATCCCTCGACAGACTCCTTCTCCCTCTCCGTGTAATGCCACTCGGCCCGTTTCGATAAAGATATAGCAAATTTTGAGCCCTCATCCTCGATAAAACTGTACGTTGGCTCTGGTGGTGCAAATGCCAGTTTAGCAACTATCCTGGACGGACAGGGTGGACAGCAGAACAACGAGCAGAACTCACTCAATGAGTTCATGATTGTCGCTTTATCCAATTTATTGAGCACAAAAACACCTAGAATTACTCAAAACCAAGTGCACTGACACCACAACTCGATCTCTCACTCGCGGCGCATGTGGGTTAGGTATGTTTTATTTCTTTGTTCTATTGCATCTCTCGTCATTTAAAATTTTTCATCAGAAGTTCATTATCACTGTTCGCTCACGGAATTTCATTCACTCCAGTTTGTTCACTCCGCAATGTTTGTCTATTTAGCCTAGTTATTTTTTTTTCTCTCACGCATGCACGGAAAATAACACAACAGAACAGATAAGAACAAGGATTCACTGACGCTTTTATTATCTCCCAGTTCACGATGTTTTTACTCTTCACTAACACTCGAGGTTACTCCGATAATTTTGGGGAAATGCTCTTGGCATTTTCTTTATTCGGTTGTCTGCGGGGCTGAGTTTATTTAGGTTGAGGTAATGTTCCTGCCTCACTGAACACAAAGTCACAATCAAGCCCTGGTTGATGCTGATCCTGTTCTGTTGTTGCTGGTGAGTCAGCCATGACACACGATTAGTGTTTTCATTCTTGGTTGGCTATTTTACAGCGTTGCATTTCCTCGAGAGAACGCGGTGTTGCTGATAGAGAGGGAATCGGTTGTGGTTGGGATTTGATTTTTTTCGGGGCCCTCGGTCATGCACTTGGGAGTGGACACCACGAGTCGATGCACTTCGGGACGAGTGGCTTTTATTTTAGTTGGGTTTTCCTTTTTTCACTGGCGTTTATTGCGGGGTTTGCGGTTTTTTCGGGGGTTTGTTCGGGCTCGGGGATGCGGAGCGACCCCGGGTTGTGACACTTGCTCGGAGAAACTCTGGGTGTTTTCCTGCGGCTTATCAGGGTGATAACAAGCGATGTTTATCTGACCTGCGGACTCTGGGGGAGATTTCGCTGTGTTGATGGGAGTGGGGAGTTTTGGGTTTCACTAGGGAGGGGCCGAGTGCGCAGGTCCGGCGCCCTGCGCACGTCAGCAGCGGGAGATATGAATCGTGAGGGGTCGGGGATCCCAGGGTTTGTGAATATATTTTTGAGGAGATCCAAGTATGTTTTACAGTTTGGGGCAGACCACAGTTTTGAAAATTTTGGATAAAATCATGAATATTCTGCGCTATTAAAATTACATTTTGCACAGAATTATAATTTTTTTAAACATTCTTTGTTTATAAATGAATAGTTGAAATTGTTTAAACTTCGGAAAATATCATTTTTTTAGGCATGAAATCGATTTCTCGTAAAACCCTGAATATGAATAAATTTGTTAGAATTCCAAACAAATGATTTTTATGGTGGAAAATTGATGGTTTATAAATTATTTATAGAAAATGCTCGTCATTTTCAAAAATTGTAATTTTTTAATTATTCCATAAAATTGATGTGAACACGATTACGCTTGAACAAATTAAGATAGGAAGTTGAAATTTCGTGGGCTTCTAGCTCTTACTATATAGCAGGCTGGGATTTCAGATGGGCGAAATCGAATCAGTAGTTTTAAAGATGTTCAATTTTTTTATAAAACTATATTGTGCAATATCTCAAAAATTATTCATCCGATTTCAAGTTTTTTTTTCAAAATATTCGTCTTGATATCTCCTATCTAGTTCTTTCAAAATATATATACCCGTTCCTACAAAGTTTACGAGATATTGGCGTTTTTCTATTTTTCTTGTCTTTGTCAAAGTTGCTTTGACGTTCCAAACATGACGTGAGAGAAGGATGTGGTAAAGTTTCAAAATATTGAGGACTCGTTTGTATCATTGAGTTGCACTCCTGTGTAAAATTTCAGATTGATCGATTCAATACTTTGTTAAATAGAGTAGTTCATGTAAAACCCGTTTTTTGCATAAAATGACATATCGTTAAAATTACATATCTCACGGGACTTCTTCAATTATACGATCTAGATCACTCTCGATTTTTTCCAGATTTTTCCTGCATCTTTCAAATTTATCATTATGACGATTTATGCTGGTGCGGCGCGACCAACAGCGTTCCTCACTTCTGCGCGACCAACGGAGTGTTAATCACGATTTAGGGGAGGAAGGGCCACAATGGGGACTTTTGATATTATTTTTAATGTTCCTAACTCAGAAACAAATTCATTAATTGAGATCAATGTAAGCTCATTTCAAGGGGGAAGAATGTTATTGTCCACGGAAACAATAATTATCCCATTTTATTAACAATCCAATGAATTATTGAAATTTCAAAATAAATAGTGTCCATTTTGCCCCACTGGCCTCTGTTGTTTAGTATTTTTTTTACTTTTCCTCTCGTTAAAAACCTAGAACTCGTTGTCATTTGCTAATTATTACGCAATCGTCTTTGGAACGAGAGTACAGAGCTCTGAACAATTGTCAAGACAGCACTGTCGATGCATACTGCATCACTAAGTGACACACAAAGCATCGCAAAGTTCACAAGCGATCGAAACACCTGTTGTAATGCGTCTCTCATTGACCTCTGGATAAAAAAAACATAAGAAAAAAAATTACACCGACAAAAAAAATATTGAAATCGGATATAACAGAACTATAGTTGATCAGTTTCAGCGTAAAAAGCAGTGCCGCAGTCTATTCCCGGTGTTAAGTCAACTGTAATACAATAACCTGGTTCTATTATGCAACATTTTAAAATGCATATGGGTTTAGAATGTCATTGCAAAGGAAAAGAGAATTTATTAATAACTCGCGGAATGTCTGTAGTATTTATTAAAAGGAGGGAAAGCAATTATAAATAACAGATGTGCGACGTATTTCCATATTTAGCGTTGGAGTTTCTGAAATCCAGACGTTTGTTTTTTTCATTTCCTGATTATTCCACCGCGTGATTGTTGTTTTCAACTAGTTTGAGGATTCCGCGGTGATTTCATACCTTTTCGAAAATTACTTGTATTTGTGAATATTATTCAAACGATGCGTTGAGAGAAAAACAAGTGGGAAATTGCTTTCATCACAACATGGTCAATATATTTTTCCATGCTGACCTTCACTTTCCTCGTCCGGGATTGGTGTGGGCCATTTAAATTTGAAAAACTTGAATTTTTAAAATTATGTCATCTATTATTTTCTCATCTTTTTTCAGTAACTTTTATAATCAAAACACCCCAAAACAACTTCGATTATTATGTATAAAAAAATGTAACATATAGGGACGAGCGGGGCAAAATGAAACAGCCGAAAAATTACTATTTGACGCAATTCAAGCAAAAAAAATTTTTTTATCAACTTTTTTTATTATTGGGAGTACTGATAAGAATAATAATTTTCTATTCGTCTTACAATTCAATTGATTATGATTCAATTGATTAGATTAAGCCGATTACATTTTTCTTCTTTCATTCGATTGAAATTTAGCATCACATTTTCCTTTTTCCCCCTCTGGGTCTCCCCCTGGTCCTTGCTCTGGACTTTGGATTTTGCTGATTCATTTTCTTTTCAATTAATTCATTGACAAAATCTTCGCCCGTCAAAACTTTTCAATAATTTTCCATTTGACTAAATGGAAAATTATTGATTATTATTCTTATCAGTAGGAGAGGGTCAGGCAAAATGGGAAGTGTTGAGATCTTTTCCAATTGTCAATATCTTCATTTATAAGTGAATATATTGACAACTAGAGAAGATCACGAATCGTTCCATTTTGCCCCACTCTTCCGTAAGTATACATTTAAATTCACTTCATACTGTTTATCATCAAAGTCAATCAACGCCATTTGAGAGTATTTTGACCCAATTTGTGGAATTTCGAAAAGAAAAACCTGAAACTAAAATAGATCTAGGACGAAACCCGACTTGCATAACGACTCAAAATACTTGTTTTGATTATAAGAGTTACTGAAGAAAGACAAGAAAAATAAAACGTGACATAATTTTGAAAATTCAAGTTTTTCAACTTTTTTTTGAAAATTCGGTATTGTGAGTACCTAGGGGTTGAAAAAAAAATCCTCAAAATATTCTTATACATGGTAAAAGAAGGAAAATTGTGACGTATCATAAATCAAAATCGGATGAATAGAATTGGAGTTATATTGAATAAAAAAACGAAAAAACAAAGAAAAAATCATATGTCCGAAATAGGCTGTTGAAAAAATCTGGAAAATTGAGAGATAGTTCTTCTAGTCTCCCAATCGTAGAAAAATCGAGATCAATTGCCAAGCGAGTGAGGGTTAGCTGTTGACTCATTTGACATAGAACACCTCATCATACTGGGTCGATGTAACACAAAAAATCCAAAATTTAAACTTGAATAATTACAAAGCTTCCATTCGGAAGTAATAATTGACAATATGGCATTGTTAATTGACTATTGAGTAAATAATTCTAAATTTCATAAAGAGGATTGTCGTTTGGAAAGAAAAAAAAATAAAAGTGTCCGGAGATCTCGTGACTCTCAGAATGAAAAGGTCTATTCTCAAAATTTTTCCGAAAAAGGTCACCATTGGATGAATATCTTTTCTACTTCCATACCAAAAAGTCCACATAATCCTTTCCATTTGTCTTTTATTACTATACCTTCATGAGGTTAATATACAATCGTAACAAATTACTCTCACATCACTACAGATCATTAAAAAAGAGAAAAAAAAGCCGGGCTTAACTTGTCACCTTCGCAATCCGATATTCAATATTATTACTTAAATAATGTCATGAAATTCATAAACTTTTCATTACAATGGATCTGAACAATAATTTCTAGTATTCAGAAATAATACGTCTATTCATAGTTGGCAGTCTTCATACTCCCATGTTGACAAAATAACTCAGGGTAAATCTCAATAACGGATCTATGAATAAAATTTACTATTTTCCTCGGTTTTATCATATTAAAATGTTAATTCATGTAGTTCTGTATTATTCATTCAATCTCGACTATTTATCCTGCAACAACTGCGTTAGAAATACTCTTACTCATACAAACCCCTAATATTCTTAATCATCTACCAGTTGAACGATAAAAATATCGAACTATAGTGACTTGATTGAGGATGTCATGGGCATTTCATAGGTTGTTAAAAAAAACTTTTTTTCCTGGTAGAGGACAATTTATGAGCCATTTCTGCCACGATTTCAACCCATCAACCCGAATTGAATATCGAGAAAATGAATAAAGAAGATGTAATGGACGAACACTTTCTCATGGGATCATATGGGCGCGGAGAGTCAAAATATCTCTCTCATTTGCCCCGGTCTCCCATTTATTTCGCCATCATCACACTCAGTGCATCATTTTGCATTGCCCCCTATTTTTTCAATTTTTTTTTTTATCCCCTGAGGGACAAATTGTCCACTTGAACTCATAACGCCATAAGGGCCCGTGTATAAGGCTCATTAATGTTTATTCAATTCTTCGATAGTTACGCGGTTTGACGTGTTGAAACCGTCATCAATTTTCATTACATATTTAATGTCAATTTTTTTTGTCAAACATTTTGAAAATTCGTTCATTTCGTGAAATAATGAAGAGAATCAAGTCCTCTTATAGCATTCGGAAGCGGAAATTTCTCCGGCCTTCCAGCAGAATAATTCTTGTAACTCCAACCCTTTTCATTATCTCCGACTTCCTCGTCATAAAAAATCATGTTCCTCTTCATTCACAGAATTTCAAAGAAGATAATTCAAACCTGAATAAATTAATGCTTTCTATCTTCTTTATCCCGTACTAGGGTCCATAAAATTGCCCTGAAAACACAATTTTTATCTCCCCACCTCCATTTCCAGTGAAATAGTTCATTTCACACAGCGAATTTTGAGATTTTTCTTAGAGAGTTGACAATCCCATGACATCCTCGAAGTAAATAAATATTCGAAGTCATTGAGACACTCAAACTCTCTGAAGTAAAGTTGAAAAATGTGCGCACAATTTATTGAGTGATGATAAACACAACAAAACATAAAAAAACATGTATGACATTAAAGATATTAATGAATAATAAGTAAATATGTTGGACCAAGGAGAAGTAAACACATTTTTTATTATCTTAGAGTCTTATGGCGATTCTTTGTTAATTAATAATCAATAATTCACTTCTACGCAACATGCATTACCATTCATCCTTAATTTAAATTTCACTAGGTTTTTTTTTTCTTTCTGTAACAAGTTTTATGCGTCCGACAACGATCTTCGAATCGACTTTCTGTCTTTATGTGTAGAGAAATAATAAAAGGAGGCAAATCCAGAAATTGAAGCGGCAGGCAATTCCCCAAATGAGAAAACATCACATGTGATCTTAACGAGAGACCGCAGTAGAGTTTTAAAATTGCGCGGGCTTTTATTCATTGCGCTGATGGATTTACTACTTCAGTTTTGATGTAAAAAAATGATGAAAAATTGGGTTTTTATTTTTTTTCATTTATGGAATCTTAAAATTGTCCTCATGACATAATTGTCAATCGATTGACTTGAATTTTCGTTTACACATACAGAATATATTCATAAATACAACTAAATGAGGCTTTTTGAAAATCTTAATTTGTTGTTTTTAGATTTTTTTCCTCGAAATTGCTGCGAGTGAAAAATATGAAAAAAAGTTAATATTGAAGTACATAGAGGATCACTAAAGTATGAATTTTTGCAGATTTCTTTCATCATTTTTCTCATTATATTTTGAGTAAATGATTTGAAAAATCGGAAAAATTTCCTACTCCAAAGATTTATTATGTTGAGTTTTACTAATTTTTCAAATGTTTCAAGGCAGCCAATTTTGAGAAAAAAAAATCCAAAAGCTCAAACAATAGAAATTTTTAAGAAAGCTCATTTAGTTGTTCATTAAAATCTCACTCCTCTAAAGCCTCGTTCTGATCAATAAAAAAATCAAACTTAATTTTTACAGATTTTTTGACATTAAAACTGAAGTGAACTGAGAAAAAAAATATCTTTGCCAAATATCCATTTACTTAAGAGAAGTATTTATTTGTTTAATACCGCATTTCTCCATTCGAGTCATTTTCAGGCAATCCTCATTAGGTTTTAATTTTGCTAATTATACTGTTCCAGAAGATGATCACAGTTATTACCTTGAGTGAATTCCTTCAATAATTATTCAACATAAAAAAATTAATCAAAATTGTTCCCTCTAGAAAATAAGAAATTTAGAAAAAATTAAAAATCATTGAAGGAGTTCATCCAAGTTCATGTGCAACATAGTCATCGTCTACAGCAACATGATTGGTATAATAGAAATCTAATGAGGCTCGTCTGGGAATGACTCGATTGGAGAAATACGATTTTGAAAAAATAAATGTTGCTCTCAAGTAAAGGAAGATTTGGCCAAAATAATTTTTTTTCTCTTAGTGTAGTAAACTCATCAGCATGATCGATGAAGGCAACAGCGACATTAAAATTTCAGTGGATCTCCCTTTAAAGTTTGTGAAATTCTTTAATAAAAACTCTTGAATTTTTCGAAGCCCTCACGAACGTATGGAAAAAAAGTGAAGTGAAGTGAAAGTCTAATAATTCATTCTTTGCATCTTGTTACATATCAAATTATCTTGACAATGGAGAGATCTAGTCTATGGAAAAATGTCAATAATCCTTTTTTTCTTCACTATCAAATTAATTTGCAAATTTAATCCAGACATGCGCAATAACTCATCACTTCACCAAAAATATACTCCTTCATTTTCAACCAATCCCCTGTGAAGTGCTGTATCATCATGCATCAAATTATAAACTAAAATGAATTAAATGCGTTAGAGATTAGAATCGTTGAGTTAATTCTGATGGCATTGAAGGGAACTTAACTGATTAGATAATTAATTGTGCAGAAATACATAGTGGAATATTACAAATTGAGAAGATGAGCTAGAATTTGTACAGTTTAATTTTCTCATCAATTCAAAACGAGATATCAGTTATTCACTTGATCGAACTCATCTCCTCACTGCGTTCATCAGAAGTAATTGCAGTTAAACTGATAAAAATAATGAGTAAAATTTGTTGAAAATTTGTCGTGTCAAAGACATTGACGTTATCGCACCCCATCACAGAAATGTTCCATTATATCTTGCCAAATAATTTTAATTTACCCTTTTTATAATCTTCATTTAAAGTAGTGGACGCGTGAATTAGTTCACGATTAACTCATTGTGATTAATTTAATCATTCACAATAGTTAAATGGGTTATTCAATTAAAGCAAAGATTAACGTAATCGTATTTTTTGTTACCAAGAGAGACGAATTCATTATCAATTTCTCCTAATTCGTAACAATAAGGAAGCCAATTAATTCTTCATTTTTTTCTCCTCATGTCAATACCCGAATGGCTACATAAATCTCAGTCTCCTAATCACTTTGATTTGTAGGCATTAATTACATCGTTTTATTCACTATTAATCTTTCACTGATCAACAGATATTTTTCATTTATTTAATTTAAGTTCACCAAGAAAGGCATTGGATTTATTCCGGGGATTTTCATGTTTTTTGGTAATTTAGGGATAAAATTGACTGAATCGACAACTTTTTTGTTAATTATGTGATCATATCGGTGATAAGCCTTTTTCGAAAGAAGTGTTATGAATACAGAATATCTTGCAAACATTTCCATGATTTAGAGATTCAGAAAAAGATTTCAAAATCCATTTTTTAAGGATTAATTCTCTTAAAAAATAATGTCCTAACGAGTTTCTTTTTTACGGTAATTTGATAAGTGCAAATTTGGAAAGGAAAATTCTATCCATTAGAATTTCTTGTAGATTATTCCGCAAAGATTTATGAAAATGTCAGGAGAATTTTAACATCACTCATTACAGAGTTGATTCAACAATTAATGAAACAAGTATTGACAATTCAATACGTTTTCTCCACTTTTTCAGTAGTTTTGGCCATAAAAGTGATTGAATTGACAATCATTTTGTTAATTACGTGATCATATTGATGATGAGTATTTTTTTAAGGAAATGTCATAAATACAGAGTAAATTTCAAAGAAAATTGTTTGAATTCAACAATTTCAGATGAAATTTCATTGTTAAAAAAATTTACAGACAATATTTTTCAAATATTTCCGCAATTGATAAAATTAGAAAAAGATTTCAAACCCCATATTTCAAGAATCATGAAATTCCCTACAAAAGCCATCTCCTAACGAAATTTCTTTTCACAGCAATTTAAAAAGCTCCGATTATTAAATGAGAATTTTATCCATAAACATTTCCTCCAGATTATTTGACCAACATCTCTAAAAATGTCCTCTTCTAAACCTCTTCGTTTCTCAGATTTTCAAAAAATAATTTACAAAACTTTTTTAGAGAAAAAATTAATTGCCTAAGGACTTCTTACAGATTATTCTGCAAAAAATTCTGAAGCTACAACGAAATTCTCACCTGAAAGTCTTTCAATATTACTCATTACCGAGATGATTCAACAATTAACGAAACAACTATTGACAATTCAATTAGTTTTCACCCCATTGTTTCAAATTTTATGCTGCCCAATCAGGTTATGACTTTGAACTTCTCGACGATGGTTCAGCGATTTGACACATTTTGAGCCTCAGGAGACTAATCTGCTGTTTTTAATGAGCTATTTATCGGTTCTTCATTTTTAAATAACATTTCTTTTAAGATTTAAATAGAATTACGATTAATTTAGAACGTACGACTCCTGCGACATTTCAAAATGTTACATTGGCTGCCATCCTCGTGTGCTAAATGTTACAATGAATTCTCAGATGGTGGTGTACTTTCGTGATGGCTGACGTGACTCAGTGAGTGCGTCAGGGCATCTGGTGTCAGCCATTCTTTTGGTAGGCAGCGTTGGAGGAATGGAACACAGGAACTGAAGTATGCCAATCGATTTACCCATCCTGGTATCTCTTGTCCACACAGAATCTGAAATTTTTTATCAGTTTTATTCGTTCAAGTATTGATTTTCTTCCATCAGAATTACTGATGATGCAATACAAAATGAGATGATTCAATTGAATCAGGGAATTAATTTTTGGTGAAATCTCAAGAGAATTTTGTTTTTTTGTGAAGTGAGAACTGCATCAAATATTTCTAAAATGATTTTGCTGTCTCTTTGGTAATTTTTTATCATTCTTTTTCGTTGGAGAATTGATTTTTTTTCAGCAGATTTATATTTCCTGATGAAGTGATACGAAACGAGATGATTCGATTGAATTAGATAATGAGCTTTACACAATATCTCATGAGAATTTTGTTTGTGAAGTGAGAGCTGCAAAAAATATTTCTAAAATGATTTTGCTATCTCTTTGGTAATTTTTTATCTTTCTTTTTCGTTGGAAAATTGATTTTCCTTCATCAGAATTATATTTCCTAATGAAGTGATACGACGCGAGATGATTCGATTGAATTAGGGAATGAGTTTTCCACAAAATCTCATGAGATTTTTTTTGTGAAATAAAGTTACAGAAAATATTTCTGAAATAATTTAACTATCACTTTGGTAATTTGTTATCATTCTTTTTTGTTGGAGAATTGATTTTCTTTTATCAAAATTACATTCTCCGATGAAGAGATACAAAACATCATGAGATTTTTTTTGTGAAATAAAGTTACAGAAAATATTTCTGAAATAATTTAACTATCGCTTTGGTAATTTGTTATCATTCTTTTTTGTTGGAGAATTGATTTTCTTTTATCAAAATTACATTCTCCGATGAAGAGATATAAAACGATACGAAACAATGATTCAACTGAATCAGAAGATGAGTTTTTGGCAAAATCTCATGAGACTTTTTCTAGTGAAATAAAAGCAACAGAAAATATTTCTAAAATTATTTTCTCTATCTTCTTTGGAATGCCTAGAGAATTGAATTATCTCATTTCATCAGTTCATTACTAATTTCTTTCTGTGTGATTTATTTATTCACCTGTGTTAGTTGACCACTGAAGTGGTTGCAATTTTTGTTCATTAGATGGTACCTGTCTCCTCGAAAATCTTTTCCCAATTCCGAGACAATTCTCGTCACGTCTTCTTCTGTGAAATCCGTGTAGCCAATGTGCACAGATTGTCTGAAAAATGGGTTTATTATTCAATCATTGTTTTAATATTTAATCATGCAAATTATTTTGGATTTTTATTTTCAATTCATCTCATTTAAACTTATTGTGACAATATCTTTGATGAGAAGGGATTTAAACAAAATCACCAAAAGACCTTTTTTGCTGTTTTTGAAATGCCCTACAAAAAGGTCTTTTAGTGATTTTTTCCAAACCCCTTCAATCCGAAGATATTTGCAAAATAATGTTTATTCGACAACTGGATTATTTTAGAGTAATTCACTCAAGAATATCGCAATTCTCATACCTAAATCTGAATTGTTCACCAAGCTCCTCCGCATCCCTCGGAGATATCTCGAAAATTCCAGAGATTGGGAGTGAGTGGCCACCATACGCATATTCTAAACGCCAAAGAGGTCATTATTAATTTTAAGAAAGAAAGTAAAAAATTTCTTTATTTAGAATTTCCTTAGCTAGAAAAAAAACCGTCAATTCAGTGACAAAATGGTAAATCGTTATGAATCAATTAGAAAAATTTACTCTAAATTGTCTACTTATTTTGAAAACGAGTACTCTCAGAAGAAAATGTAAAAAAAACTTGTTTTTGTAGAGAATTAAACTTTGCAAAAACAAAAAGGTTTTGTTACATTTTTGCCTAAAATCACTCATTATCAACGACATTCAATACTAGAATAAATAATAATTATCGAAAATTGTAAAAAAATAATGATTTACTGACCAACTCCATAAATTTCAACCCCTGAATGGAAGACGCCCAGTCCAATTGGTGTGGTATACTCATTAATCCAGTACTAAAAGGCAAGCCAACAATAAACACATGTTTCACTCCAACAATGTATTCTAAGGAGAAACCGCATTGAAACGTTTACTATTTTAGTTTCAACGTAAAAAATTGAAAAAAATTGGGTTTTTATTTTTTCATTGATCAGAAAGATGCTTTAAAGAAATAAAATCTTCAAAAGTGTCCGCATGACGCAATTCTCAACCGATTGACTCAAATTTTGGTTCACACATACATAATATGCACACAAAAATAACTAAATGAGTTTTTTTTTTAATTTCTATTTTTGGAGCTTCTGGAATTATGTTTTTCTCCTTGAAAATCATGGAAATTTTCACTTTCTCAACCCCTACTGTACTCCTGTATCCCTTCTGAATTACAATAATAGCCTTCAGCTAGTAAATAAAGTAGTTTTTAATGTTATGAATAATCTGGAGTGATAAAGTTCAACTACATTATAAATCATTGAAGTATGAATTTTTTCTAATTTTTCGAATTATTTATTTGGCCGCAATGAGAAAAATGATGAAAAAAATTTGAAAAAAAAACATGCTTCAATGATTCACTATGTACCTCAAATAGAACAATTTTTCATATTATTTACCTGCAGAAATTATGAGAAAAAAAAATAACAAATCCAAAAAATGATTATTTTCAAAAAGCCTCATTTAGTTACATTCATGCATACATTCTGTACGTGCAAACCAAAATTAAAGTCAATCGATTGAAAATTGCGTTATGAGAACACTTTTCAAAATTCCATTCGTAATAAAAAAAATCAAAACCTGAATTTTTCTTAATTTTTTACATTAAAACTAAAGTAATAGTTTGATAAAAAAAGTGAAGTAGAAAACTCATCAGCACAATGAGTAAAGGCCACTGCGATTTTAACCGTAGTCTGGTCACCAAACGCGCGACCCATCGACTCTGGTCACCTCCGCGGGGATTCCCAGCCGTGTTATTTAAGCTCAAGCGTTGCCAAATTCACTCTGCACTGCCCGAGCGCGTTTAGCGAGTTTCCGGCAACGTCGCGTGATAGGCAATTTCATTTAAGGTACTTCCTCAGTGAGTTATACTTGGTCAAAATTTCGCAATAAACTGAAGACCTAAAATTTGGATCATATGTTGTTAAGGACATGTAAAAACGACTCCCAAAATTTCAAGTATTTTTTCCACGCGAATTTTTGAGATATCCATCGTCAAACATTCAATTTTTGTCTTTTTTAAGTTTTTATCGATGCATATCTCAAAAATTCACGTGGAAAAACTACTTGAAATTTTGGGAATCGTTTTCTCATGTACTCGACAACATATGATCTAAATTTTAGGTCTTCAGTTCATTGCGAAATTTTCACCAAGTATAACTCACTGAGGAAGTACCTTAACATGGGAAAAAATAATTCATCCGTTCGAAATAATTTGTTTTCTTTAGGAATTTCGAAAAATATGTTGTTATAAAAACTACTATAATTCTCTAGACACTTCAATTGACAAAGTCAATTTTTTTTTAATTTTCCCGGTTAGCCAGTCTATTGTAATTTAAAAAAAAAACAACGCGCTAGGGTTAAAATTTCAGTGCGGTTTCCCCTTAAAAATAATTCATCTTTCATTTTGATAGCTCACCATGTCATAGACATTGAGAATAATGGGTTCTCGCGCCATTTTTGGTATTAGTTCCTCGCTGTCCTGTGGATAGCCCAAGCAACTGGGAAACGATAGATTACATCCAAGACCTGATGAAAACATCACAGAGATACTTGTACCTGATGTGACCAGGTGGGACTACCTAAGTTCCAAGAGCACCTAATAAGCAGATACATTTTCTAATTACTCTACTGATTCTATGCACTGGCCCTCCTCTATTCATCCTCCTCGAAGTCTTCATAATGCCTCTTCCTACTTTAATAATTTCGCTCCAACTGTCTCGATTTTCTGATGGAATAAAAACGAAGGGGACCGAGCGATGAATAAATGTTCAAGTTCGAGAGATGAATCCGAAAATTCGTACAGTTTTTCTTTATATCTCTGGAGAGTGGGTTTAACAAAAAATGTTATAAGATCTTTTTTGTATGTCGTGAAACTCTCTACAAGAAAGCTATTCTGATATATTTTTCTAAACCACGTTCTTTTGAAGATATCTGTGAAATAATGTAATTCGTTTTGGATTCATCTTGACGTACCAGATAACTAATTAATTGCTTGATCTATTTAAATGCTAAAAAAAGGGAAATTTTTTTATTCTTAATCAATAAAAGAAATGGCAATTCATTAGCTAAAGCAGTGAAAGGGAGAATGATTTATAATTTAATTACAATTACAATCAACAGTAATGGATTGAGGGGTAGAGTAGCAAAACAAAAAAGTTCACTCAGCTTGAGAATAATTTTTCTGAAATATTTTTGAATCTAAGGGAAATGCTGATATTCAGTATTTTTGTAGATCTCATTTCGTTCTACAAAAGAGGTTTCAATACAAATTTCGGTGCCTCAATTACTATTCTTTAAGTAATTAACATTGATTTATCTCATTTCACCAATCAACTCTAGAATTAAACCTCATCCAAACGAACTGAATTTAAGAAATTCTTTACAACTCAATAATAAAATCCGGAAAACTCCTCAATTACTTCTTCAAGCTCTCGAAAAACAAAAAAGGCCCCATCCCTTGAAAAAAATTGTCTTAAACTAAAAGGAGCAAACGCCCACTATTTGATATTCATCAGTTACAACGGTGAAATGAAGAATAATTTATAAATAATTCAATTAAAATAGCAATCAACGGTGATAAATCCGGAATTCAAGTAGCAAAATAGAAATAGTTGAACAACCCCCTGCATCACACAAGCGTCAAAACCCCACTTGGAATCCCACAACTCCCTTAAGGTATATCCCTAGAAAACCCATTTTTCTTAAGATTATCGCTGTTTTTCATAAACCTCTCCATATTATAAAAATCCAAATCGACGTCTGGTGATGAAAAGTTGGTACTCGAAATAAAGAGTCACAAGGGTTATGAAGGTCAGAATAAGGGTTACAATAGTCAGAATAACAGCCATGAAAGTCAGATTAAGGGTCAGGAAGGTCAGAATAAGGGTCACTGTATCAGAATAAGAGTCACAAGGGTCAAAAATAACGGTCACGAGAGTCGGATTAAGGGTCATGAGGGTTAGAATAAGGATCACGAGGGCCATAAAGGTCAGGAGGGTCAGAATAAGGGTCACAAGGGTCAAAATAACGGTCACGAGACTCAGATTAAGGGTCAGGAGGCTCAGAATAAGGGTCATTGGGTTAGAATAAGAGTCACAAGGGTCAAAATAACGGTTACGAGTCAGATTAAAGGTCACGAGGGTCAGAATTAGGGTCATGAGGGTCAGAATAATGGTTCAAATCGGTGTCACAAAAGTCAGATTAAGGGTCCAAGTAACGGTAACAAGGATCAGATTAAGGGTCACAATAAGGGTCCAAATACGGATTATAGGGGTCAGAAACTAAAGTTCACAAGGGTCAGAATAAGGATCATGGAGGTCATATGGGGGTTGGCAAGCGAAGCGAGCAGAGGGCGTAGCCTCCTAGTAATGTTTATAATAATCTCCAACTATTGGAAAAAATTCTAACTAGCTATACTACACGGTTTAGAAGATAATAAATAATGGAATGCGGACTTCTAACACGCGAGGCATAGGCCAAACCGGATTTTGGGTCCTTCCGAACTTGATTTTTCCATCTTATGAGAAAATGGTTCTCACGATGTTTTTAAAAAAAACTAATCCGCGATAGATTAATAAATTCCGAATACGGTGAATTTTTTGTAAAATTTTGTGCTACATAGTTTCTGCGATATTCAAGTTAAAAAAATGGAAATTTTCTGAGAGCATTTCTCATTTAATTCAAGCAATTAATTAATTAAAAATTTCTTATTTGATTCAGATAGTTATTGTTGCTTGCATCAACAACACATGAGAATAAAAAAACTCAATGAGTTATGAGAATGCAATAAATGAAGTCATTTAGAATTCTTTCCAGAAATCCATAGGGACTACCTTTTGGGTGTTGTTGTCTTGGGATGTACCTTAATACCTCCAAAACTTCCAACATTACTGGCAATAGCTGCATCAAGCATCAACCTAAAAATCCTCAACATCTACAATCTAGTCTACCCCAATCACTCCTCCCCTTAATTAATAACCCTCCCAAATAATTAATAACCCCCAATAATCCCACTTTGAAAAAAGGCTTCGAGAAAAATTTCGCTGTCTGTTCCAGCTCCAAAGATATCCATCAAAAGCTAATCTTCAAGTAGAGAAGAGCCTGATAAAACGAACTGTCTTCTATCGTGAATATCCCTCAACCAAATGATTGGACGAATCAGCGCTCATTTTCAAACTCAAAAAAATATCTTGAAAATGAAAACAATATTGCCAATTGAAAAAGGTCCTTAAGTCACTTTCCACTGGATTAAACCAGAAGATGAACACCAAAAAACGCTCAACCAACTCATAAAAAAATATCTGTCACCCCAAAAGGAGCCAACAACCTCCCGAACCTCGTGTCGCACCCATCTCTCACAATCTCCCTTAAACAATCACCCTCTACACCCCATAAGAGCCAAAACCCCATTTAAACCCAACAACCTCTCAACACCCTTAAAACATCCAAAATCACTGTCAATACCTGCATCAACCCTTCACCTAAAAAACCTCAACGTTTATAATCTACTCTACCCCCAACACTCCTCCCTCCAACATTCCCAAATAATTAATAAAACCCAATAAACATTTTTTGGAGATCTCCTTTCACTCTACAAAAAATGCTTCAACAAAAATTTCGCTATTTTTCGCAGTTCCAAAGATATTCATCAAAAACTTATCTTCAAGTGCAGAAGAGCCTGATAAAATGAATTGTCTTCTATCGTGAATATCTCTCAACCAAATGATACGATTTGGACGAATCAGGGCTCATTTTCAAACTTAAAAAAAAATCTTGAAAATGGAAACAATATTGCCAATTGAAAAAAGTCCTTAATTCACTTTCCACTGGATTAAACCAGAAGATGAACACCAAAAACGCTCAACCAACTCATAAAAAAATATCTGTCAACCCAAAAGGAGCAAACAACCTCCCAAACCTCGTGTCCCACCCATCCCCCACAATCTCCCTTAAACAATCACCCTCTGCACTCCATAAGAGCCAAAACCCCATTTAAACCCAACAACTCGCTCAACACCCCCAAAACATCCAAAATCACTGTCAATACCTGCAGCAACCATTAACCTAAAAATCCTCAACGTCTACAGTCTACTCTACCCCAAAGACCCCTCCCCTCAACTATCAACCCCCAAATAATGAAGAACCCCCAATAAACATACCATGAAACTCCAGATGCTGCGAGATTACTTTCTCCAAAGATTCGAGAAAAAAAAATGTCTTTCGTAGCGACAAACAACATTCGTTCCACAGTAATCCAGTCTCCACAAGCCCCCACAAATTCCCCACCGCAGCCCCCAGACACCACTAATCACCCCAACAACTCCCACAGCCTCATGGAAAAAAAAATAACAATCGTTCAATTCGATAATTCACGAAGTGAAATAAACTGTAATGAATGCACAACTCGATTGCTCCGAAATCCGAGTCGTTCTCATGGGAATGAGCGATATGAATTTTGATCAGCTGTTGGCCGAGACGAGTATGAGCACCAGATGACGCTCCAATCAGTTCTATTGTCAAAAAAGCTTGCGTTGGGAGTGATTCCCACGGAATAAAAAACCGGAGCGATTCAGTTTTACGGAGACTGCTGTGGGGATCGGCTATTGTGCTCAGGCAGAGATTTGTTTCGGGTTTAGTGAGTGTCGGTGACTTCTGATGGAGTAATGGGGGTCTCGGGGGGTTGACACTGAGGTTTTCACGAGGGGCTGATTTATGAGGTGATAATTGCGGTTTTGATGCGAACGACGGGAAGACAAACAGGTAATGAGGGGTTTTATCATTGTTTGAGGATTATGTAAGTGACGCAGGGTAACCTGTAATTGTCGGGTTTTATTTACATTTGTGGGGGGTTTGTTCGTCGAGTTTTGATGGGATTGTTTTGGAGTGGGACTATTTTATGAGGATTTTTTAAATTTACTTTTCTTTATTGATGTTGAAAATTAAGAGGAAGTGTCTTCATTGCGTGTATCTGTCAAAGAAGGGTAACAAGAGCTTTTTTTGCAGTCATTATTTGAGAATTATGTACACGTAAGTCACGTCAACCTGAAATTGTTTGTTTTTATTTACATTATTGTTCTTGGGTTTTTTGGGACAAGTGTTAGGGAAGGGATTTTTTTTATTGTTTTCTTTAGGATAATGTTTTGATTTTATTTTTCGTTGTTGATGTGTACAGTTCAGAAGCATTTTCTTTAGTGGGCCTGTCAAAAAAGATTTATGTGGGTTTTCTTGTTATTCATTATTTGATAGGATTATCTTATTGACGCATGTCAACCTGTAATTGTTAGGTTTTATTTACACTTTTGGAGGGATTCTTCGTTGGATTTTTTGAGGAATAATTGTTTGAGATGGGATTGTTTTGGAGCGGGAGTGTTTTATGAGGATTTTTTCAAAATTACTTCTCGTTATTGATGTTAAAAATTAACAGGAAATATCTTTATTGCTTTATTATTTAAGAATTATATACACGTACGTTAGGCATGTCAACCTAAAATTGTTTGTTTTTATTTACATTATTGTTCTTGGGTTTTTTGGGACAAGTGTTAGGGAAGGGATTTTTTTTATTGTTTTCTTTAGGATAATGTTTTGATTTTATTTTTCGTTGTTGATGTGTACAGTTCAGAAGCATTTTCTTTAGTGGGCCTGTCAAAAAAGATTTATGTGGGTTTTCTTGTTATTCATTGTTTGATAGGATTATCTTATTGACGCATGTCCACCTGTAATTGTTAGGTTTTATTTACACATTTGGAGGGATTCTTCGTTGGATTTTTTGAGGAATAATTGTTGGAGATGGGATTGTTTTGGAGCGGGAGTGTTTTATCTTTATTGCTTTATTATTTAAGAATTATATACACGTACGTTAGGCATGTCAACCTAAAATTGTTTGTTTTTATTTACATTATTTTTGCTGCTTTTTTTTGGGACAAGTATTGGGGAAGGGATTTCCGTTGGGTTGTTTTCTTCAGGATAATGTTTTGATTTTATTTTTCGTTATTGATGTATACAGTTCAGAAGCATTTTCTTTAGTGGGCCCGTCAAAAAAGGTTGATGTGGTTTTATTTTCTTCTCTAATTCATTGTTTGACAGGATTATGTAATTAACGCATGTCAACCTGTAATTGTTACGTTTTATTTACATTTTTGGGGGACTTGTTCGTTGGCATTTTTGTGAGACAATTGTTGGAGACCGGATTGTTTTAGAGTGGGAGTGGTTTATGAGAATTTTTTAAAAATTTACTTCTCGTTATTAAGAGGAAGTGTCTTCATTGCGTGTATCTGGCAGAGAAGGGTAATAAGAGCTTTTTTGTGTTCATTATTTGCGAATTATGTGCGCGTAAATTACGCTCGTCAACCTGGAATTATTTGTTTTTATTTACATTAGTCTTGTTTTTTTTGGACAAGTGTTGGGGAACGGATTTTTCTGGCTTACTGTTTTCTTTAGGATAATGTTTTGATTTTATTTTTCGCTATTGATGCTGACACTTTGGAAAAATTTTCTGTCTTGGGGCAATCAGGAAAGGTTCATGTGGGTTTATATAGGGGAGGTTGGGGTAAAACGGACACTTTTAACTTTTTTAAAAATGTTAATGAGGGGTTGAAACGTTGATAAAATTTAATAATTCTTTTCTTCAATACAAAGAACGATTCTTTCCCTTTGTGACGAGCCTAAACTGAGTTCAATTGATCAACTTGTTTCTGAGTTATGAATAATTTAAAAAAAGTCTAAAGTGTGCGTTTTACCCCATCCTCTCCTATTTTCTCATTATCAATTAAAGAAAAGTCCTTCCGTGGGCCATATCAATTATTATCAATTGCTTGATAGATTTCTGTAATTAACCCAATTTTTTGTTTTTATTTACGTTTCTGCGGAGTCGTCGAGGGGACGACTCTTCGGAGGATGTTTCATTAAGTTATTCTTCATTAGTGATATAGACAGTTGAGAAGAATTGTCTTCATTGCCTGCGTTAGTCAGAGAAGGGCCATAAGGGCTCATTTTTTATTCATTACTATTTAAGAATTATGTAATTAACGCTCGTGAGGCTGCAATTGATTGTGTTTATTCACACTGTTGATGGTTTTGTTTGTTGTTGTTTTGATTTGACAGTTGTTGGGGACGAGATTTTTTGGAGTTTTTTTTTTCAGGATAAATGTTTTGGTTTTATTCGTCTTTATTAACATCGACAATTCATAAGAATTTTCTGTGATGAATCAGTTAGAAATGATCAGTAGGGGCTCATGTATTTTTTATAATTCATTGTTTAAAACTGCTGTATAATTAATGCCATCAATCTACCATTGTTTGTTTACATTCATGTTTCTAAGGAGTTGAAACGATTTTTAGGGGTTTCAATTTTATTAGGAGTTGTCATTTTGATTCTATTTCTGGTTGTGAAACGAAATAATTGAGAAAAATTTTCTTTAATGCTTTTAGCAGATATTATTTGACTATTGAATAATGAACTCTGTAGTTGTTCGTATTTATTTTTATTTTTTCAACGGATTGTTGTTGAAGTTTTTGACGAGCCAATTGTTTTGATGTTATTTTTAATTTTTTTTATCAGCAGTAATTCAAGGAAATGATTAAGAAATTTTTTTAAAAATACATTCATCAGTCAGAAAAGGGGAATGAAGATGAATCGATGTTTTTTTTCCATTTATTATTTGACTATTGAATAATTAACGCTGTAGTTCTTAATTTTCATTTCAATTTTTTCAACGGATTGTTGTTGGGGCTTTCGACAAGCCAATTGTTTTGATGTTATTTTTAGTTTGTTTTGATTTATCGGGAGTAATTAAGAAAAGAGTGATATGAGGACTTATCTATTTTTTAAATTTATTAGTGAACAGTGTTATATAATTAATGTACGTTAACTTGTAGTTATCATAAAGATTATCGTTGGGAATTTGATTTTTTTCTCGTAGAAAATGATTTTATTTTTGTTTACTGTATTTTTGGGAATCCGATTAGATAACAATTTGAGTTAATTTTGGGAGTTTACCATTGCTTGCTTTTATTGCTGTGTTCTAGGAGTTGTTGAGACGATTTATAGGAGTTAAATTCTTTCAGGGGTTGTCATTTTGATTCTATTTTTGAATATGCAAGGAAATAATTTTCTTTAATACGTTCATCAGTTAGAAAAGTTTAATCAGGATCTATCGATGTTATTTTTCTCATTAATAAATAATAATTTGACTATTGAACATTGTCTGTATGTCCTTTCGAATTTATACATTCTGTTTCCCTCCCAATCCCTTATTAATGGGAGGTTCACCCGGGGAATTTTTTTTTTGTTTTTCGAGAAAAAAAATTTAGAAATACTATTTTCCGTGCGATTTTCCTCGGGAATCTGATTTTGTAGGTCATAATTGTCTCCTCCCACTCAAACGTCGAGAATCGAATTTTTTTTAATCGAAAAATCAACTTAACAACAATGCCCAACGTATTTTATTCGAAATAATTTTTTGAATATGATCTGAAATTTTCGCTCTTAATTATGAAAAATGCGGGAGTAGATGCATTTTTAAATGTATTCGTTTGCCAAATTTTTTATTAATATCTGAAGAAACAGTATGTTTCGTCATTATGCTGAAAAAATTTTTCTGGCGAATATAAGTTTGCAGCCCGAGTCGAAAGCGAGGGTTGCAATCATATGAGCTAGAAAAGTTTTTTTAGGCTGCATGTCGAATGATATTTTTTGTCATCACGGGCGTGGGCAGCAATTTACCATCGCGTAGCGTTCGTAAAGCGCTGCCTTACGGCCGGAATGACGAAAAAAATGTTTTCTGCCCTCCGGCCGGAAAGCGTCAACTTCCTGGCCGCGGCGCCAAACGAAATTGCCACTTTCCGGCTGCGTCGAGCAGAAAAATAGGATACACACCTTGGCCAGTAAATAAGAAAGCCTCAGATCACATGTTTGTCGACCTCGGCTTCGCCTCGGCCAACAATTACATGTGATCTGAGACATTCCTTACTTTACTGGCCGAGGTGTGTAATCTACTATTCTTGTCCAAATATTATGTGTAGACTTCATTTATGATTACTAACTCGATGTTTAATGGTCCCCATGCATCTACCTAACTTTGTTTTACTCTACAGTTGAGAGGGCTCCTCTCAGGAATCCAGAAACTGCCAGCGTACTTCCTCTCAAAAATTCGAATAGATGCATTTTTTCCGTCCTGTTTCGATTCATTTTCCATTATTTTCTGGAAATTCACTCATTCTAGTTGATACTTATAATTTATTTTCGGAAATATAATCGATTCATTGAAAATAACGACTTTTTTCAGCTTGACCAATGGACTTAAAAATGTATCTGCTCCCGTATTTTGATAATTAAGTAGCGCAAAGTACTTAATACTAAGTGCACTTAATACTAAGTACACTAATACTTAGTGTAGTATGTCATCATATTTAAAAAACTATTTCTAAAAGAAAATACATTGGGGATTTTGCGAAAATTAATTTTTCGATTAGAAAAAATTCTAATCTCTAATTTTCAGCGATCGGAGACGAATTTGACCTACAAAATCGGATTCCTGGGGAAAAATCCCGCGAAAAATAGATTTTTGAAGTTTTTTTCTCGAAAAACGGAAATTTTTTTCCCGAGGTGAAACTCCCCTGAACTAAAATAAAGTAAAGTAAACGAAACTTTACTATAATAATGCCACATGGGCTACAGAGTTGTGTACATGCATAGTATACAAAGAGTATACAGTCATATGGGCAACAATAGCCCGAAAAATCGACTATTGAATAATTAACGCTGTAGTTTTTCATTTTTAGTTTCATTTTTTAACGGATTGTGGTTGGAACTTTCGACGAGACAATAGTTTTGATGTTATTTTTAGTTTGTTGTTTTTTATCCGGACTAATTGAAGGGAATAATTAAGAAGAATTGTCTTTACTACGTACGTTGTTAAGGGAAGAGTAATATGAGCGCTTATCCATCTTTTAAATTCTTTAGTGAACAGTGTTATATAATTTAAGCACGGTAACTTGTAGTTATAATTGAGATTATCGTTGGGGATTTGATTTTTTTGTCGAAAAGATGTTATTTTTCTTTAGTTATAATTTATTTTATAGTTTATTTATAATTTTTGGGTACTGGATTAGATAACGATTTGAGTTAATTTTGGAAGTTGCTTCGTTATTATATGAGTTTTAAGTACCGGAAATAGATTGACCCTGACGATGTTTTTGTAACTTGTCTGAATCTTGTAGGAAATGGAGGGAAATAGACCCGAAAGTAATGTTGGACCTAATGAGCCAGGCGAGAGCAAGAAGGTTGGAGATAAATTGGGACTCACTACTACCGAAGCCTTAGAGATTCTACACAGGGATGTAGCGAGGATTCTGGAGGACTATGAGGCGAATTGCAAAAGGAATAAGTATGATTTTTCCTTGATTTTTTATGTTGTCTCTTTAGATGCGACAATTGGATACTTGGGGGGAGAGAAACGCGAGACTCTCTGGAATTGCATCATTCTCGTATTTTTTGAGGTTCTTCGAGATGAGATGAAGCGCAGTGAGATTTAGTTATTGGTCGTCAAGGCTGAAATGATTGAAGACTTGAGTTTTTGGGGATCTTTAATTGGGGAGAATTAATTGGTCACAGAATATTCTAGAAGCGAATTCATTCAACGAGTTGAGTCGAGTGTGGTTTTTTGTATTAGTTGATTCTCCGGGGGATGAGCGATTTTAAGAGAAAATATCAAAACATTTTTCCTGTAGGTGATTTTTTTGACTATTTATTCGATAGGGTGACCAGGCCAATTGCTGGACGATTAAAGGAAATTCGAGTTTCGTGGTAGGATCTAAAATAAGAGAATCACCTAAATGGGGATATGATGGCTTCCATACCTTCAAGAATGTTTCAATTAGCAGAAAAAAATAGTTTCAAGTGAAAATAACAAAACAAAGAATAATTAAATTGAGAAATAGTTGAATGTAGCCGAAACCCCCAATTTCTGGACGACTGGGTCATATTTTTTTTTTATTTATTAAATGTTCATCAATAGAAGAAAATAATTGATCACATGATTATACACAAGTGATATTATGGAGAGGTGAAGTAATCAATACAATTTTCATTTTATTTGTGGACTATTCAATACAAGTTGAAATCGTCCAGAAACTAACCCCCGTCCAGAAATTGACCTGTTTAGCCTACTAAGGGGCTACGCCCCCTGCTCGCTCCGCTCGCCAACCCCCATATGACCCTTCATTTCTGACCCTCAATTGTGGAGTCTTAATTTTGAGTACACAATTTTCATCACCAGAAGTCAATTTGCATTTTTATAATATAGAGAGATATATAGAGACCTTTGTGATCCTTAATCTGGCCCTTGCGACCCTTATTTGGATCCTTAATCTGACCCTCATTGTAAACCTCGCGACCCTGTTTGACCCTGGCGACCCTTACTCGAACCTTTGTGACCCTTACTTAGACCCTTGGTCCGACTCTTGTTATCCTTTTTAGGATTCTTAATCTGACCCTTAATCTTGTGACCCTTAATCTGACCCATATGACCCCTAATCTGACCTTTGTGACGTTTATTTGAACCCTTAATTTGACCTTTGTCCCCTTAATCTGACCCTCGTGATCCTTCTTCTGATCCTCATGACCTTTAATCTGACACTAGTGACCCTTATTCTGACCCTCGTGACCCTTATTCTAACCCTCGTAACACTTATTTTTACCTCATGACCTTCGCGACCCTTATTTTGACCTTTAATTTTGGAGTCTTAATTTCGAGTACCAAATTTTTATTACCAGAAGTCCATTTGGATTGTTATAATATAGAGAGATTCATGGATGAAATTAACTATCGCCTTGGAAAATCCCTGAAAAAATTCTTGTCTATATCTTGTGGAGTAAAAAATTCTCTTCAACATGAGTCTATTGTTGATTTCTTCAAATATCACTTGTTACTAAAGGCAAAAAAGAATATGATTTTTATGAACAATTTTTTTGGGAGGATTAATCTGTCCAGGGAATACCAATGATAAGAAATGATAACAGAATTTGATGGGTGAGGGTCCATCATTGATGATTAAAATAATCACAAATAAAAAAACTCATTAGCAAGGTGCAGCAACGTAATTAGTTAAATTCAACAGTTTATCCTCTTTATATTCATTTCGGAAATAAATAATGTTGAAAAAATCGTCGGCGGACTTGTTTAGAGCCGACAAAATCCGCAACAAAAAAAAATGATTACCATTTCTTTTAAAAGTTATTTGTTGTATAATTTATACAAGTTCATCTTCTACGACGTATGCAGAATCCACTTGTTCTGTTCTATTCTGTTACATTTTACGACTCCCTCCACTCAATTTTAACAAAGCAAACCTCTCAATTGTATTTTTGCCCATACAAATAAAGTTTGTGAGAACCCGTTCGTCCCTAAAATGAATGTTACGTTGCTGCAATTCCCTCGTAAATCTCAGCGCATTATTCCAGAACTGTCAAACCAAATTCAATGGACCTTTTCCATTCTATTCTCACAGAAAATACAGAGGATGGCTGAAGGATACATTGCATCATAGGAGTCAATATACAACTCTCTGTTGGACATCGGCAATTGCCCTGATTATCAACGCCATCAGTCTAATTGTTTCCTCATGTTTCAGTGTGAATGAAGCAAGGTGAATGAGCAATTGAAAAATTTTATGACATACATTAAATAATTTTATGAAACACATGTTTTGAAGAATTTTGTAAAAAAAACCTAGCACTCTCCATTGAAAATCTATTGAAATTCTGTTGGAATTAGTTTTAAACGAAATTAAAAAATTAAATTTCATGTTTATTTCATAAACACCCAATAGCACAGCATCAGATATAGATCAAATTTAAGGCCCGGTTCCATTATCTGCCGAACGTTATCTAAATTGATTTTTTTGTTCGATTTTTATCTCGAAATTTCAACTCGATGCCCCGTCACTCAGAGACACCTGAAAATTCTGAATTTAGATTTTTAAAAAAGTAAAAAAAATTCTGAACATTTTGAAAGAGCATTTTTAATTAATATGGAGGACTGATTTCAATTGAGGAGATAGGAATCTAGATAAAGTTCGACAGATAATGGAGCCAGGCCTTAATGATTAAATTGTGACGTATTGGGATCGATCAATACGTCGAGTTAGTTAATAATTATATTAAATAATAATATAATGCTGGATGGTGTGAACGAGAAATGTGATTTCTCTTTCCTGTCACCCAGACATTGGTCAGCAATCCCATAGTGTCATGTGGACATCATGGAAAGCAGTCCCACGGTTTATGCAAGTCCAGTTCAGGTGTCCTGAACTGTTTGACGGTGTTAGTCTGTGTCAATGATGGCACAAGACAATATTAGTACAGAAAACCGTGAGACTGCTTAGCTAAGCAACTTGGGCCCTTGACGAGCTTTGACGAGTTTCGAGGACTCCGGAAGAGGCAGAGTACGATCAGGAGCAGAACAGAGCGGATCTCTGAGCTCAGGCCTTTGAACAATCGGGTCAAAGTCCCAAGTTTGAGTCGCGGACAATTTAGCAACGTGTTATACCAACCCACCTTGATCATTATCGTGTATCAATAACTAGCTTGAGCACGCGAGTGGTTATTGAGAACGTCACCCTTCATATCCTTCGTCCAACATCCCTCCGAGTGAGCGAATCCCCCGTGAGCTCACCGCCGAAGCTAGTCGAAGTTGGAGTGACAGCCAAGAACAAAAGGATTACAGTGCAGGAATAAAAATAGTGAAAAGGACTTTCATTGCGTTTTACCTCCGGGTAAAACGCTTCGAACGTCACAAAATTATTGATATATTCTGTCTCAACAAAATATTCGTGGCAGAAAGCATTTCTTATATCACATATTTTCTATAAGTTACTAGACTGCAATAACAATATACATTTTCAATCGTTTATTATTTATTTATTCACTTTTGAAAATTATTGAAAATTATGCAATTTTCAGCATTTGTTTGTACCAATGTTTGGGCATGAATTTCCATTTTTTTGGAATTACAAAATTACGAAAAACTTGAAAAAAATTATGTTCAATAGTAGGGGAGAGTGGGGCAAAATGAAAAAGCCGAAAAACGACCATTTTACGCAATTCAAGCAACAAAAATTGGTTTATCAACTTTTTTTATTATTGGGAGTACTGATGAGAATAATAATTCTCTATTTGGTATAAAAGAGCATGCGGTGCGAAAAATTACTGATATTCGAAACCCCTAGCGTATTAATATAATAGCGTAACGACTGTCTCCACAGATGAATCCCAATCCCCTGTTAAATCTTGATCTCAGCGTCCACCAGTCAGTTTTTCCTGACTCTCCAGCAGCCAAACTAGGCCCTCATCATCGCTGCGTCTATGTTCTCGCCTCATTCGAAACTCCAAAAAGTTTTTTATATATTTCTTATATCAAGACGACAATATTCATAATTTTCACTAATTTTAGCCATAGTTCTCTTTTCAAGTAATATAAAATATTTCATCTATAATTAAATTGATTAGATTAGGGCAATTATACTTTTCTTTTTTCATTCGATTGAAATTCAGCATTACATTTTCCTCTTTCCCTCTCTGGGTCTCCCCCCGGGCCTTCCTCTGGACTTTGGATTTTGCTGTTTCATTTTCTCTTCAATTAATCCATTGACAATATCTTCTCCCGTCAAAACTTCTCAATAATTTTTCATTCTACTGAATGGGAAATTATTATTCTCATTAGTACTCCCAATAATAAAACAAATTAATAAACAAAAGTTAATAAAAAAAAAAGTTAATAAAACTCTTTTTTGGCTTGAATTGCGTCAAATAGTCATTTTTCGACTATTTTTGTGCATGAATTTCCATTTTTTCTGGGATTACGAAATTACGAAAAACTTGAAAAAACCCATGTTCAATAGTATTTCCCGTTCTATCATTTGTACAACGAGATTCCTCCTGTAAAAATAATAATCAATTAATTTTGAATAATTTCCAGATATTCTTCACTTCCATATGAAGGACTGATAGTCTGCTGCCTCGTAGTATTAAATTTCACATTAGTTTTATCTGACAACATTCTGAGGCACAAAGAAATACCACACCGTGTGAGGATACTGTTGAAAAAATTGGAAGCTGCTCGGGAGATGTGCAAATGGAATACGGATAATTATCCGCATCTGTGCAGTCCTCTCTCTCCATGCGTAACACTCCAGTGGACGTATAGAGACGGTTCGATTGTCAATTTACCCTGGGCTTTGTTGGTCAGTGGTGACATAATTGTCATTAGACCCGGCCAACAAGTCCCTGGGTATTGTGTGCCATATGACGTAAGTAATCGAATTATCGTGTTATGTTGATTTTGCTGTTGTATTTGAAGATCGTTTAGGGTTTTTCGAGGGAGAACAATGATTATTTGATGCTATAATAAGTAATGCCAAATTTCTAATCAAATTTCAACTTCATTTTTTTTTGCTTCCGAATGGAAGCTTTGTAATCATTCACATTGAAGTTTCCATTGTTGAATGCAATTGCGTTCAATTGTTGAGGAAATTTATCGTTCTAAACCTTAGGAGAGGGCCAGAAGATGGAATTGAATCTTTTTTTTTCTCAAATGTAGGTATTGTTGAGCCCTATCAATTGTCATTAATTAAACTTTAGTTCGTCGATTAGTTTTCTTAATTTTTGATTTTTTTTCAAAAATCGGTTGTCCCACGATAGACAAATAAATGTTCTGAATTGATTGAATGATGGCTAGAAAAATTTATTTGGATGTCCTTTTAACCGGGTTCGAAGATGAAGGTGATAGAAATAATCGTTGTCTTGTTTTATTCGCAAAAATGTTGTATTTTTTGACAATCAGAATTCCGGGGAAATCTTTGAATATCATGCTCCAAATGAATTCAATCATAGCTTAAATTGTTTGTTTTAATGCCATTAAGTCGGAATTAGAAGATGATTACGATCGCTATATCGGTTGGTTTGATTTTTATGATGATTGTTGAAAATTTCGAATTTTTCATGAATTCCATTCAAGGAGGTATAAATAAAATTTTTCTGTCAACATTTTATCGAAGGGCTGAGGGAAGAGATAGAACTATAAAAAAGACAATCGGTTGTATGGAAGAAAGGGATTATAAGAATAATAATGATGATAACATTCAACTAAGTTGAAAATGTGACAAAATTAGTTAAAAAGAAATCTTATTCAAGTCAATAACATGGAATAAACAATGAATTATACATGATAGAACGAAATGATGTGCAAAATAACCATTCAGAAGCATATTGGTAATTTATTAGCAAAAATAACTATACTATATGCAATGCAAGAGAAATTTCCCACTTGTTTTTTCCAATGAAATGCTTTTAAAAAATTAGAAAATTTACTTTCGGAGGAGGATTGATGAAATAATTTAATAAGTGCAATTTTTTAGAACTATGAGCATTTTCTATAAATAATTCATAGACAATCAATTTTTCACCATAAAAATCATTTGTTCGGAATCGTAACAAATTTATTCATATTCAGAATTTTACCAGAAATCGATTTCATGTAAAAAAAAAAATTAGTTTAAACAATTTCAATTATTTATTTATGAACAAAAAATGTTTACAAAAAATTATAATTCTACGCAAAATGTAATTTGAATGAAGCGGAAAATTCATGTTTTTTTCCAATTTTTCTCACGCAATTCAATTGACAAATTTGATGATTGAAAATGGTTAAATCTATAGTGTGTTCTGTACCAAACTGTAAGTACTTGGATATCCTCAATCAAAATATTTACAAATGATTTTTTTTACCATCGTTATATTCCTCCATATTCATTCTACTATTTACGATGGATTCTCCTAGTATTTCAAGGATTTTTGGATCTGCTGTTTTCAACAATTGACTAGTCAATTGTCCATAAAATTTCGCTGTAATTTTTTAATCATTTTGCCAGGATCCAGAGGCCCCAACTCTCCACGCCAAAGAGGTATACAGTCCCCCAGTCCACGGTGCCCACGAGATATTCTCCTCCCCTCAGCCACGAACTCCCCTGAAGAACAAAATCTACAAACTCCAGGAGACCCCGTACCTGACGAATCTCCAGATGGCCCTCGATCAAGCCCTGGACCGATCAGTGACCTACCACAATCGGGAGCGTCACCTCGTCATGATCTGCTGCATCGAGCAACTGGCCTACCCCATTCTCCTCATCATCGTGCAACTAGTGAATTTACTCCGTTACCTCTACTTCCACGAGCATTTTGGAAGTGGTCATTGGACTGAACTATTTATGCTTCAACCCATCGCAGTGACACTTCCCCTCTTGCCCATTATTTTTCCCACTCTGTGGATTGTACTCAATTGCTTCGGAATGGCAAGGTTCAAGGCACTCTTTGAGCTGTATCAGTCATCGAAAAAAGTACCATTTGTTGATCCATTTGAGGATGCAGATATTTCTGGACCTAATAGTCCGGAAGTTGTTTATAATTGGAGTGAGCTCAGAGAAAATTTCTTTGGGATACTCTTTGGGAGGGAGTATATGATGTCAAGGTCTGCCAGTATTCTTCATGTTTTGGGATCTGTTACGGTGAGAATATTACATTTCGCTCTTTAATCTTCATTTTAATAACTTTATTTATTTTATATTTACATTTTTTCATACAAGATTGTAATTCAATTAATTACAATTATTTTAATTTATTCTCTTTGGAATTCAATTGATTTTTATGAATGTTGAGTCTTAATAATAATAATAATAATAATAATAATGGATGGCGTTATAAACACCCCGGTCTATCGGAGTCGCGTTATGGGGGTGCAAGTTGCAGACACTCTATGTCAGGCTTGTAAGTAGTCCCCGGAAACTAACGCATCTTTTCTCGGCTTGTCCGACGTATGCAATTACAAGTTATATTCATCGTCATAATGTGTCTTTGAGAGTGCTGTATTATCATTTGCGGTACTCCTATGGAATAGATAGAACGCCGGTGCTGTCTTACGCTCCAGGAGATATTGAGTCCGTCATCGTGAATGAGAGGTGTAAGATTTACTGGAACTTCTCATTCGCGACTGTCAGGCTTATCGCTGCAACCAACTCTGACATTGTCCTCTTTGATTTCGATGACAAAATCATCCACGTCATTGAGTTCTCGGCTCCAGCTGAAAGCAATATAACAGCTAAAGAAGAGGACAAGCGGCTCAAGTATCGATCACTCCTGTTTGAGCTACGTCAATTAAACCGGGGCTTGAGAGTAAAATGGGTTGTCCTCATTATTGGTTCTCTGGGGGGAATGAAGCAGTCTTTCATATCTGCACTCGAAATCATCCCGGCTAGCCAAATGCAGAAAGCTGTCATCCTTGGGTCCCTTCGTCTACTTAGGCAGCATGATTCTGGACTGCAGTACAGTTCACCCTCTGGTCAGAGGGAGCACTATTGCAGAGCGATTAGGAGAAGTTTGTATCGCTTAGTTTGCTGGGCGGTCTTCGAGGTGAAGTCAGAGCCCTCGACGATCGTTCAGCGATCTCATTTACGAGTAAAAAAAAAATGATAATAATAAATTCTTCTATATATATTTTAATATATTATTTTAGCCTTTTAATATCGATTTAAAAAATTTATAATTAATTTTTGGGATTTTCATGTTCTTGAAAGGCAAATTTAAAGACAATGAATTGAAACAACAGTATCATTATAATTAATTGAATTCCAATCATCATTATTATATTAATTAATTTCCTTAGGAATCGAATAAATAATCACATTACAATGGAATTAAAAATTACTCTAATTTCATGTTTGAATAATAATCACTTCTTTCAAAATTCTCTCGCGCTTTGTTGAGAAAATTTTCGTCTCTTCCGTTATGTTTCAAGATATTTATCAAAAACTCAGCGTCAAGTATCAGTTTGTTAAAATCGTTCTAGCCTTTTAATATTGATTATTCGAAAGGGATCATTAATTTTTTCGATTTTCATATTGTTTAGGCGCTCTCCTGCGTCGACAAGAAGGGAATCCTCTCGTGGTCGAATCCCACAGCTGAGAAAGTATTTTTTCTTCGTAATGCCAGTACTTTATCCAGGGATTCTAGCATTTTAAGCTTAGATAAACATTCGGACCCACCTAAAACTAGTGATTCCAGTAAGAATGAGTCGAATAAAATGACTTATGTCCATCATGGTGAGTGTTCTATCTACTTGATTCATTTGTAAATAAATTCAGAAACCATCTCGTGAAACTTGAACTTGAGTTTAATTAATTCCGTAACCATCTCCGAAATGAGGGCAAAATGTCAAAAGAATTTTTCGTGGTGAATAAATCCTTCAAACACAAAATCTCATGAAATTTTCTTCTAAAATCTCTTGTTACCGACAAATACTGTTTCATAATTTAATCATTTTTCTACACAATTTCCTTTAAACACTTCATAAACATTTGTAAAAATGGTAATCATCTCGAGAAAGATTGCGAAATCTCATCAGAATATTTTTATAACGAATAAATAAAAAATCCTGTGGCACTTTTTCTCAAATCTTTTGTTATTGATAATTGTTTCGTATTGGTTGATTATTTGTAATCAATTCCATTCTATTTTTCTGCTCCCAAGACATGTCTCACTCAGTAGCTGAAGTCCTGGACTTGACCCACGACCACGCTCTTCCCTTTCGCCTCCAGTTCGACGATCAGTCATGGAGACAGCACTTGAACTCCCTGAAACCACTGGGCCTCGCTATTCTCCTCAACACGTGCAATATGGAGACCCAGGAGCATTACTCTCAGTTCTGCTGTCACGTAACGTGTGAAGCTCTTTACAACGAGAATTTGGTTCCTGTGACCAACAGGCGGTAAGATTTCGTATTCAGACCAAGTTTTTTTAAATGCTAGTTGGTGCTTGTCACATTAGCTAACAGCTTTCAACCGTTATTTTATTTATTTTTATTATTGCAAGTGAATTTACTAAGAAAGTTTGTCACAAGCACTTCAATCCTCATCGTTTCTACTTTTAATTACAACTAAAGTCATGATTTCAATGATAAAATGTTTGAAAAAAAATGAAATCACGAGTGAAATTATCTCCTAAAGTCAATGATCATCGAGATAATTTCATGAAACTCAGATGAAGATTGAATTTCTCACAATTTTATCAATTGTATTAGATCAAAATATCTATTGATTGACTAATTTATGATTCGCTCTGCTTCCACTAGTGTCATTATCATAACAAAGATTTTGTTTGTGTGAAGTAATTCATTCAGTCACAACAATGAAGATGATGGTAAATTGCCAGGCAGTATGATTTTGTATTTAGAACAAGTGTGTTGATGCTAATTGGTGCTTGTCACATTAGCTAACAGCTTTCCACCGTTATTTCATTTTCTTTTATTATTGCAAGCGAATTTTTTAAAAAAATGTGTCGCAAGAACCTCAGTCCTCATCATTTCTATTTCTAATTGCAGCTAAAGTCATTATTTCAATGATAAAATGTTTGAAAAAAATGAAATCACGAGAGAAATTTTCTCCTGAAGTTAATGACCATCGCGATAATTTCATGAAACTCAGATGAAGATGGAACTTGTCACAATTTTATCAATTTCATTAGATCGAAATATCAATTGATTTACTAATTTATGATTTGCTCCGCATCTACTAGTGCCATTATCCTAACAAAGACTTTGTTTGTGTGAAATAATTCATTTTGCCACAACAATGGAGGTAATGGTAAATTACCAGGTGGTATGATTCCGTATTCAGAACAAGTGTATTGATGCTAGTTGGCGCTTGTCACATTAGCCAACAGCTTTCCACCGTTATTTTTTTTTCTAAATATTGCAAGTGAATTTAATAAGAACGTTTGTCACAAGCACTTCAATCCTCATCATTTATATTTCTAATTGCAACTAGTCATTATTTCGATGATAAAATGTTTGAAAAAAAATGACATGCCGAGTGAAATTTTCTCCTAAAGTCAATGATCATCGAGATAATTTCATGAAACTCAGATGAAGATTGAATTTCTCACAATTGGTCATCCCTCTACTGGTGTCACCTTTTTCTTTCCAGCTGGCATAGTATTGCGCCATCTGACGAAAAAAATAGTAACATGATAGTATTGCCCATTCAGTATACCAGTGTATACTTTTCGTTTTAATTACTATTGTTACGTCCCAAGCTGGTGGTTTGCTCGTTCAGATGGCAGGTCCGTTGCCCATGGAGTGCTAAACCACTCTCCTCCACAAATGCGGGAATATTCGAAAGAAAAGTAGACAAAACACTGAATTTATACTGGCACACAATATTCCGTTTAATCAATTTAGACTTGTTAAAAATTTTACAAGAACAACTTGGTAAACTCTTGAATATAAACTTGAACTGATTATCGCTCTCCAACTTCTCTCGTCCACGTAGGTGGTAGATCTGACCCTTACACTTACTCTAAAAATTAGTCCAAGTCTTGCTAGTTACAAAGCTCTTCCCACAGCAAAGAGTAGAGGACCAATCATGACCCTGAACTTGGTCGATAGGGTTAGTCTTACACCCCCACAGTCGATCGCGCTGGCCCAGCCCCGAACTCTCGAGTACGTGACCCGAACAATGGACCTGACATGTGGTACGGAGTGAGAGAGAGAGAAAACTTGAGTTTCTCTCGGGGAAAAATAAACTGTCTCCGGGAAAAGGTTTTATGACTCTCACGGTTTGATGTTGAGTTCAAATTGCACTCGAAACTCTATTAGAAAAAACAAATACAAAAAAAGGCTTTATTTTCGAGTGGTCTGAGCTACATCGAGGAATTTTGGGTTTTATAACTTGTTTCCTGTTTACGCGAGTTTTCAATGTACTTTCTGAAAGTCTGTTTTTTCTCTTATTTTCAACCGTGAGAATATTTAGACTAACGTGAATTTAAAAATTATAAAAATTATTGAAGAAAGAATTTGAATCTCAATGGTTTAGTCTGGTGGAAAATATGACGGTTATAGGGACCCTACGTCGCTACTAGGGTCTATGCGACACTATATACGTTGCAGTATTTTACGATGGAGGAATTGAAAAAATCTGTAAGTATAGTGGAACAACGAATATTCCTGAAATTTTGTGCCCTATTGGATTACTCTGGAGGAGTTGCGCATGGGGTATTAGTGAAATGTGTTGGCCGCAATGCATTAAATAAACGAACAATACAACGCTGGCTCAATGCCTATAAACGAGGTCGAACGTCCGCTGAAGATGAGGTGCGGATCCCTCGACCAATGTCATCAAATAGATTAGAAGGGAGAGATAGAATCGCAGAAGCTCTCCGTCAGTCACCTAGAGTGACTGTCAACGATCTTTCCACCCAACTTGGTATTCCTCATTCGACTGTGCATAGAGTACTAACCGAAGATTTAGGTCTGGTCAATAAATTGGCAACATGGATACCTCACAATTTAACTGACGATCAAAAAGAATTTCGATATGAAGCTGCACGTAGCAACTTGGCGTGGTATCGTCGTAAGAAAAATATACTTTCTAGGCTCCTGTGCGTAGATGAGAGTTGGGTCGAATTTTATACCCCTCTTCAAAAACATCAATCACAATCTTGGGTGGAACTAGGTACATCCGCGCCAAGATTACAACGTGCAGAACTTCAGGAACGGAAGATACTGCTGATAGTAGCAATGGATATAAGAGGGATCGCTTTTTGGACGACTTATGCAGAAAATACAACTATNGAAAGTCTGTTTTTTCTCTTATTTTCAACCGTGAGAATATTTAGACTAACGTGAATTTAAAAATTATAAAAATTATTGAAGAAAGAATTTGAATCTCAATGGTTTAGTCTGGTGGAAAATATGACGGTTATAGGGACCCTACGTCGCTACTAGGGTCTATGCGACACTATATACGTTGCAGTATTTTACGATGGAGGAATTGAAAAAATCTGTAAGTATAGTGGAACAACGAATATTCCTGAAATTTTGTGCCCTATTGGATTACTCTGGAGGAGTTGCGCATGGGGTATTAGTGAAATGTGTTGGCCGCAATGCATTAAATAAACGAACAATACAACGCTGGCTCAATGCCTATAAACGAGGTCGAACGTCCGCTGAAGATGAGGTGCGGATCCCTCGACCAATGTCATCAAATAGATTAGAAGGGAGAGATAGAATCGCAGAAGCTCTCCGTCAGTCACCTAGAGTGACTGTCAACGATCTTTCCACCCAACTTGGTATTCCTCATTCGACTGTGCATAGAGTACTAACCGAAGATTTAGGTCTGGTCAATAAATTGGCAACATGGATACCTCACAATTTAACTGACGATCAAAAAGAATTTCGATATGAAGCTGCACGTAGCAACTTGGCGTGGTATCGTCGTAAGAAAAATATACTTTCTAGGCTCCTGTGCGTAGATGAGAGTTGGGTCGAATTTTATACCCCTCTTCAAAAACATCAATCACAATCTTGGGTGGAACTAGGTACATCCGCGCCAAGATTACAACGTGCAGAACTTCAGGAACGGAAGATACTGCTGATAGTAGCAATGGATATAAGAGGGATCGCTTTTTGGACGACTTATGCAGAAAATACAACTATGACATCTGAACGTTATACGGCGTTTTTGAAGGACAATATTCCCAAATGGGCACAAGAACATCACATAACAAGTCCCTTTATTTTACACGATAACGCCAGACCACATAAAGCACGCATCGTTCGGCAGTTAATTGACAATGAAGGTTGGGTAGAACTTTTCCACCCACCATATTCTCCCGATATGAATCCGTGTGATTTCGATTGTTTTGGTCACGTGAACAGGGCATTATTAGGCACTCGTTACAACAGCAAAGAGCAGTTAGATATGGAGTTGCATAGGATTATTTCCATTTTGAATGAAAATGGGACTCTCCATGGTGTTCGAGAATTGCCAGCAATCTGGGAGCGCGTCGTCAGTAATGAAGGAGATTACTGAATAATATTATGAAAGTATAATTCTGTCGGTTATCACTTGTTAAGATATAGAAAATAAAAAGTGTGACACCAGAAGTGGGATCACCTAATATTGGATCGAAATATCAATTGATTTACTAATTTATGATTTGCTCTGCTTCCACTAGTGCCATTATCATAACAAAGACTTTTTGTTTGTGTGAAATAATTCATTCAGCCACAACAATGAAGATAAAGGTAAATTACCAGAGAAAGATCCAATGCAATTTCCAAGACAGGTGTATTTAATCGAGGAGTCAGGGAAACTCGCACATATGGGGTCAGTTAACAACTGATTAAAAGTAATTCATAATAACTATCATTTCTTACATTTGCATTTAGTTCTCTCCACTGCTGATTGGATTCTGCATTTCATTTATTCTTCCTAATGATTTCCATTTCTATTCTGGTTATCCGCTTATCTCGATTTTATTTTTGCGATATTTCCTTTCTGAATGTTTATGAATAGACGTTCATGCTGACTGATTGCTATTTTTTTGTTTTTTTTCTTATAGATGTCTCTGTGAACTTGCCAAGCAAATTGGATTTCAGGATCAAGCACAAGAAATTTTTCAATTGGAACAGCAGTTGTCAACATTTAGACATGTGGTAATTATAAAATTTCATAAGTAATTAAATTAAATACTGACGAGCAATCAACTATTTCATTAATGTAACCAATTTTTTGTATTTTTTTCCTTCTACATGAGATTTTTCAAATAATTATTCAATTTTTTATATTAAATTGATGGAATTTATTTTTTAAATTCATTCGGAAGATGAAAATTTTCTTTTTAATTTCGTAAAACTCATCAGTGATTAACATGGTCATTAAATTTTTTGCATTAAATAGATAAAATTCATCTTCAAAATTGCATTGTTAGGAAGACGTTGCCTGGCAATTTTCAAGAGAGTGACTTTGAATGCAATTTAAGGAAAAACAAATTATGAAATTGTTAATTTCACTGGGAATTCAATGAAATGCCAAATTTTTGAGCAGTGGGAAGATAAGAATTCCCAATTTTCTTGAATTTTCAGTTGCTTGAAAATTCAGGAATATATTCACCTGAATTTTCCTGATTTCTATTAATTTCTATGGAATAATTCAACTAAAATTCAGTTTCTATTAAATTTTCCATAAAAATTTCGAATTTTCAATGATGACATTCCTTCAAATTTTAGGTGCACTATATTATGATAACAAATTGGAGACAGAATAAATAATCCATAAATTCCCGCTTCCCTATTTTTCTAGTACTAAATTACGGTTAATTTTCAGTTGTTTGAATGTTCAGGAATGTATTCACCTGAATTTTTCTGATTTCAATTAGTATTCATGGAATAATTAAATTCACAATTTCCCTCAAATTTTCCATAAAAATTTCGAATTTCCAATGACGAAATTCTTTGACATTTCAAGGGAACTACAATATGATTAAAAATTCGATACTAAATAAATAATCCATAAATTCTCGCATCTCTATTTTTCCAGCAACCAGAAATGGTCCGAAGAGACATAAAATTTGCCCGTTCTCTGAGCATAGCAACAAAACTAAAATTCCCCTTTCCCCACATGGTAGCAGTTGTAGTCAAAGAAAAAGGAGGTGGTGGGCTTCAATTATTGACACAGGGCACAGCTGACGTAATCCTAGACTCCTGCATAGAATTCTGGGATGGCCACGATCTCTGTCCCCTGTCTCCAACGGATCGCAAGAAAGTCCTTGATTTTTATCAGAGAACGAGCTTAACTTCCTACTGCACTGCATTTGCCTACAGACCTTTGATTCGGGGGGTGAACTCAAAGCTGTCGAATATTTATCTGGAACTACCCTCGGACAGTAAACATCTTTATGCACCTCATCGAAGTCCTACGCCGTTGCCCTGGGATTTCAGGAATGTTTTGGATCCGAGGGTCAAGGGACTCCTGGGACAATTTCATTCGACAGGTACGGTTTTATCCTTTCATTCGTACAGTACAACCTCGTTTATCCGAAGTAATGTGGGGAAGAGGTACCTCGGATAAGCGAAAACTTCAATAACACGGAAGAAATGAAAAATTCGAAAATTTTTATAATTTTTTATGTATTTGAAATGGTAGAATGAGATTAAATGACGACTACCACTTTTTTTTCTTTTTGCAAAATGGCAATGTTCGCTCATTGATTGTTGAAGGCCAACAGTTAATTTTTAGCTCGCAACTGAAGAGCGCACAAAACGTGTTATAATAAGTTGATGCGGCTCCATTCGTTTTATCCGAGTTTTTCCAGATTATCCGAACAAGTTCGTTGCCTCGGATAACGCGGAAGCTCGGTTGATCGAAGGCCGAATAAACGAGGTTGTAGTGTATTTTCAACATTTTTTTTTGTGTTTGAAAAAGTCTTTGAATAGAACACAATGAAATCTGATTGTTTTCCAATTGAACTTTTTTTAAGTTTGATTTTTCTGTAGTCGGGGAAGTAGCCCAATTGAACAAGATGAATCAATTTAAAATTATTAATCAATTATTAAAATCTAAACAACATGACTAAATTTTGGTGAAGGGTTTTCCCATTTTGCTTTCAGTTTTTGTTGAACATTTTGAGGTATAAAAAAACACTAAGTTTGTTTTTGTTTTTGTAAATTTTTCATTATTCTTTTTATACTCAAATATTCATCTAAAATGCATTATTGAATTTTCTTTTTCGATTGCAGTTGAAAATTGTTGATTGCTGTTTAAACTTCCACTGTAAAGATATATAGAAGTCAATAGAACAAAATGAATGAATTTAAGATTATTAAAATTTCGACGAAATGAAAATACATAGACCACATAAAATTGTCGTTATTTTCTCTAAATTCTAATATTTACCAAAATGCATAACGAAATAGTGAATTGTTGAAACGAGATAAATCAACTTTACATTAACATCAATTTGCATTAACCAATATTCATGAAATCCTATTGACTTCAAAGTTGAAGTGGATCATCATCTCATCCCCAACTTCGCAGCTACATCAAGTGTTAAATAAATAAATAATCTCATTCTCCAGATTCCCTACTATGCAACGAAACGAAGGATGAAGAGGTGAGCGATGTGGAGAGTTGTTTCGAGCTGCAGTGCAATCAAATATTCATAGGAATGGTGACAATGCAGTACCAAGCCCAAGCAGACATGGTAAGTCCCCAAAAGATATCTGAACTCGGTAATTGGTACATGTAGCTGCTCCAAAGAATTTTTCGTGGAAACAGAATTATTTCGTCATTTATCAAAAAAAGAAATCGAAATCAACAAGAAAATTCAGTCGAACTCAATTAGGTAAATTCCTTGAAGGGGGTGGAATGGGTCAAATTATGAACCTTTGCGGGGTTAATACCAGCTGCGTCCCCGTCGCGAACCCTGGGTAATGCTAAGTGCTGGTGAAGCTTTAAGAATAAGTGCTTCACTACACGTTGAATTTATATAAACACTTCACAATTGAAATTTAAAACCAGCAGGGGTTCGAGCCTGTCCGATAGTAGGCATGTGACTGCTACTTTTTGCGTCATTAGTCTCTTTCTTTTTTTTCATCATTCCAGCCGTAAGGTAGCGCTTTACGAATGCTATGCGTTCGTAAATTGCTGCCTACGGCCAGAATGACAAAAAATATCATTCGACGAACGAACTAAAAAAACTTTTCTACCTCATATGATTGCAACCCTCGCCTTCGGCTCGGGCGGCAAACTCATGTTCGCCAGAAAAGTTTCTTTCAGCCTAATGACGAAACATACTGTTTATTTCTACCAATTTCATTGGTAGTAAGCTTCCGAATGGATCCGTAACAATTCCCTATCCTTATGACAGGCATAAAACCGGAATTTGAAAGTGTCAAACGTGAATAATTGCTCTGCTTTCGACAGCAACGAAATATTTGGCTCAAGAGGTAGATAATTCACACCAGATGGTGCCTTTTCAGGATGGAAATATCTTATATAGAGGAAAATCTATCAACAAATATTTTATCCCTAAGTTACAAGATTTCTATCATATCATTATTATTGTTTCATTTAAGGGTTCATTTCTTGTCTGTGATTATTAGACAGTCGAAACGAAAAACTACTATCCCTTGTTTCGCATAAAACAAAGATTTTTCGGGAGCAAAATACGTATGGGAGTATCGAATAACGAAGGAGTAGTACTAGAAATGACATTTCTTGCGTGTATTGAGAATGCAATTTTTTTTGTACTGAATCTATTTTTGCGACAAAAATTTTTCATTCCGGCGCACTCTCTGCATGTTTGGCACAAAAAATCCTTTTTTGATAATTTTTAAAAAACTATTTTCTTGGCAGAAGTAAGACTTGTTTGAGCACTTTATCGTTTTTCTCTCAGTGTACAAAAGGTTAAATTATATCTCCGAAACTGCTCGACCGGTTGCGCCTTTCCAAAATACCAACCTTCAGTATTGTAAGAGCTGTAATCATACCAAATTTCAACTTGCTATCCCCATTTTTTCTCAAGTTATCGTGCGTACAAGAATAAAAACATTTTAAAAATGAGAAAACACAGATATCTCCGAAACTTTGTATGAACGGATATATATATTTTGATTGATCCAGATAGTGGCTGCCGAGACGAGTATTTTGAAAAAAAATTGAAATCCGTTAACTAGTTCATAAGATATTTGAAGAAATATATTTATACAAAAGGTTGCATACCTCACGAAGCGCTCGGCCGATTGTGCCCATCCAAAGTACCAACCTTTAGTATTATAAGAGCTGGTACCATACCAAATTTAAACTTGCTCTCTCCTTTTTTTTCTCAAGTTATCGTGCGTACAATATTTTTCATGAAAAACGAAAAAACGGCAATATCTCCACACTGTCTATCAAAGAGTCTATATATTGTGATTGACCTACATAGAAGCTATCGAGACGAGTATTTGAAAAAAAAAACATTTGAAATCGATGCAGTAGTTTTTGAGATATTGAGGAAAAACGAAATTTAGACAAGTCGTTACCTTTCAGGAACTACTGGACCGATCGGGATGAAACAGCGCGTCAAAGTTGAGCTCAATAATAACTACGATGCTCCAAAATTTCAGATTTTTATCTACAAATTGCACCATATTTATGTTGAATTTTCTAAAAATTAATCACCAAATACCCAAGTTGTCGGACACATACATGCCGACATGACTCTAAAAACATCATTTCTTCTCGTTTCATAATATTCTAGACCATTTGCAATCAAAATTAGAAAATCGAAAAATCGGTTAAAAACAAGGCTCCATTCGGAAGCAAAACTACTTTTAGAAGGGAAAGCGTAGAACGGGAGATTCTGTACATCTACATGAGCATCCACGTTACTAAGTGTGATAGCTCAAAGAGATTAAATTTATTTATAGCAACCAGTTTCCGACCTAATATACGTCGAAATACTTCAAGATTAATATAAAAAACTGTAATATTTATTGATTTGCCTATCAGCATCCCTGAAAAATTGGAGCAGCTGTATTAGCTAATTACCCTGAACTCCCCATTATTGTGATTAAAAACCCAAAAAGAATAAAACAAAAAATCATCATTTCCACCAATGGACTCCATTAATCACTGATAGGTACAACTGATTGAACAATTAGAAAGAGCGTGCATAAGATTCGTTCACTTCAGCAAGGAAAATGAATTGCGTTCACGTGTATTCTCTGAGAAGATGGGTCTTGAGAGCGGATGGAACTGTCACATTTCGTTGCTCAGCGAGAGGGCTAGGTATTAACTTTCACATTAATTGTAATCTGAGATAATCATTTCATTATTATTCTCTTCAAATGGCTTGTGCTTATTAGCATTACCTATTATTTATCAACGTAAATCGTTCGGGAGTTCAAGTCTCAGATGTTATCTGGTGCTTTTTGTTGCATTTCAATGTTCAATGTTCATTGATATTAATCATCTGATGGATATTAGACTTATTAAGCGTTTTTAACAGTATTAAAATGGAAATAATGTATGCATGTAAATTACAGGAGACAGCAATGGATGGAGAGATATCCTCACATGCCCTTACTGTATATATCTGTCTATATTCTCTTTTTTGATGATGATTTTCGCTCATTTTTTACCGGGTGAAGGGAGAAGGGATCCATAAAATTATTCAGTTTTGATAATAACATTAATGAGAGAATTTTATTCAAAGATTTTTATCCTTTTATCTCAATGAAATCCAAGAAAAATGTCTTTTTAAATTTTTTTAGGAAAAAGGCTTATTATTTTTGTGATTTTTCACAACAATTTTTTTGTTTATATGTCTAAAAATAAAAATATTCTTAATATTTTTAGAGATTATTAAAGATATTTTTAGAGATTTTAGACTTTATATCTCTAAATATAAAAATAATTCAAAGAGAATTTCATTCTGCTAAGTCAACTATTTCGATAAAGAATTCATGAAATAAGTTTTTTAACGTGCTAGTCCCTCAGAGCTCATGAAAAAAGTTTTAATTGTGGAATTTTTTTTGGTTTTCTCGAGATATTTATTGGTAAAAGCTTCAAACAACAATTTTCTTCCTTCAATCGATTAAAATTCATTCAGGAAACAATTAATACATAATTACCGCTAACACAAGCATCTGTCTCTTGAAAAAATCATCTATAAAATTATTCAATCTTTATAAAAAATTAATGGAAAATTTAAATCTGGATAATTGGCCTGTTAATAAAAAATTGAAGCCCTTCACGCACTTACGTCTTTTCAATCTTTAAAAATAATTGAATTACATGCTGCAGAAGAGAACATTAACCATTAGCATTCTTTACAAGGAGGGCGGTTGGGGTGATATTTGGCTGCCCATTGCAGTCGTTTGTCCTCTCCGTTCCTCAAATTGAAGAATGTGTTAATAATGGTTGATAAAACCTAATTTAAGGCCCGGGTGTACTATCTTTCGAACGTTATCTCGATGTTTTTTTTCATCTTTCGTCATCTGAAATTGTCAATTAAGTTCTGCATCATGCAGAAGTTTTGAAAACTTATGAATGAATAATCAAAAAAAAGTAGAAGAAATTCTTAATTTTTTCAAAGAACATTTTTAATTTCTATTCAGAATAAGTTAACTAACAAGAAATTGAAAAATGTATCTGATTTACGGTGACAAATGACGGCCTGTCACTCAATATCAAGCAGGGGGAAGACTGATTTCGTAAATCTTTTCCCACACTGCACAGAGACATTTATTACGGAAAAAGCTATTTGAAAAAAGTTGTAATATTTTGGAGAATTTTTTAATCACACCTTTATCACATAAAAATGGCAGATGACTACATACCACTGTTTTGAAAATTGAGATACCAGGCTGTCACTTCCCATGAGGAGTTAGTGTTTTGTTATCCACCATGGAAAATGACAGCTAATAGATAATTTGCCACAGCGAATCAGATATTTGTAATTTCCACTTTTTTCAACTCATTCTGAATCTCAATTAAAAACGCTCTTTCAAAAAGTTCAGAATTTTTTCTATTTTTTTTTCATCATTCTATTATAATTTTTGGGAATTTCTACATGATGCACCACTCAATTGACAATTTTGAATTACGACAGATAAAAAAAAATCCAGATAACATTCGAAAGATAGTACACCCAGGCCTTAAATAAAAGATTAATGGAAGAAAATTAAATCTGAATCATTGGCCTGTTAGTTGCTCATTTACTTCCATAATGAGTCACTTAAAGACAAAATTTCGAAGAATCTGATTTTTGTATCTCATTTAAATCTCACGAAAAATATCATTTTTTAGTTTAAAGGTTCCTCATCTTATTATTACTTACTGAATAATTTTTTGAACGTGATTTGTCAATAATTTTTTGCGGCAATAGTTCTCAAAATATTTCAAAGACAATTTTTCTTCCATAAAGTCAATTATTTCGATGAAGAATTTATGAAATAAGTTTCGATTGTGGAATTTCTCTTAGTTTTCTTAAGATATTTGTTGGCAAAAGCTTCACACAACAATCTTCTTCCTTCAATCGATTAAAATTCATTCGATAAGCAATTAACAAATAACTACCACTAACACAAGCGTCTGTCTACTCAAAAAATCATGAAGCATCAGACTAATCAGCACATTTCTCCCCCATTTGTGATTGTGTACCCTGTGGAGTGATGATGATGTTCGTGTATCGATAATGTTTGAACCACGTGCGGAACTAACAAAATGGGTAATAGGTCAGAGAGTCCTGTGGATTGGTGGGTGAGCCAGGCAGCCGCCATGTCCTCACCTACGCCGTCGACTCAATCACACCAGCATAATCATTCCTGCATGGACGAGGCCAGCCAATTGCTTAATCGCGTTAATCCGCGGTATGTTCACAAAATAATGCCTCATTCCCATTATATCATTATTATTTTTTGTTGGTAATAACTGGAGGAATGTTCACTGTTAGAGAAAACTGGAAATTTCATGGACAATTGATTTGAGCAATTTGAATTTTTAGGAGAGTGATATTGAATTTGATTTGGGGGAAAAATCAAGAAGTTTCACATTTCACTAAAGATTGACGAAATTCTACATTTTTGAGCCGCAGGGAGATGAGCGTTTTCTAATTTATTTGAGTTATTAATTAAAGAAATCAGTATTCAGTACCAAATTATGCTGAAGTTTCAATGAAATTTAAAATTGTAGAACGTATTTACCTGAATTTTTCTGATTTCTATCCATTTTCATGGAATAATTGAAGTGAAATTCACAATTTCGATTGATTGTTCGTCATAAAATTTTGAATTTTCAATGACTTTACTGAACTTGAAATTTCAGTAAAGGGAAAGATTAAGTTATACGCCTAATATTTTGATAATGTGAAATGATCTCCAATTGCTATTCAGTTTTACATAGCCTTGGCGTCTACAAAAAATATGATTGTACAATGAAAAAAATGTTGAAAAAAGCAGAACATTTTCAAAGAGCGTTTTTGAATAATATTGGGAAATCAACCCAATAGGGAGGAAATTGCAAATTAATAATTTGATGTATCTAATGGCTGTTAGGTCGTCATTTGTCACAGTAGTCATTAGTTACCATGATAAATTATCCATTCACTATTTCCTCTCTGTCGGACTTATTTCTTAATCTTTATTAAAAACGCTCTTTGAAAATGTTCAGTTTTTTTCTACTTTTTTTGATTGTACAATCATAATTGTTAGGGACTCCTGCGTGATGTAATATCCAATGGAAATTATGATATATTTTACATTATGAAGATGGAAAAACAATCGAGATAACGTTCGAAAGATAATCCACCCGGGCCTTAACTTAAAATTGTAGGAGAAAATGAATCAACTTATAATCAAATAAGGGATTTTGACTCGCTTGACCCTTGTCACCTTGGTGGCCTGGCTTTTCCGGATTTCGATGAATTTTCGTGGAATAATTGACGTAAAATTTTTTTCATTGATTTTTTCATGAAATTGTGAATTTGTCAATAGCGAAAGTTCTATTAGAAAACATTTTTTTCCATGAGAAAAAAATTGAAATCTCATGGAAAGTTCACCAATTCTAAATTTTTTGGAAGCAGGAAGACAGGAATTCTCCAACTTACTTGAATTTTCATGCGACAAAAATTTCCATTCAAATTCATGAATTTTTTTATGACAAAATCATTCAATATAATGTTCTGCATTCAATACTTCAATAGAGAATTGATAAAACAGTTCCAATTAATACCAATAATTCTAATTGATAATTATTAATATCACGAAAAAACATCGAAAGACATTTTTCGTATTAAAAAAAAATCTCGTCAACTTCTCCTAAAATTACTTCTTGCTTAAATAATTTTCATTTATGTTCACGGAATTGTTCACTCGAAGATCTAAATTGTCACACATAAAAAAATTGGAAAACCTAGTGAAATTCGCTAGAAAATTCTACTAGAATTCTATTGGAAAATTCTATTGTTTTTCGCGCTGATTCTATTGCATATTTGATAGGAAGAAATTAAGGATGTTCGACACCCTTTTAGCCAAAATTGACGTTGTTTTCATTTTTCTGGCAAATTATCGATGGGAGTGACGTGAAAAAATATAACGATTTTGTGGTTTGTCATTCTTTAATGGCTCACGAAGTTGCGTAGTGGTGCGATAATTTTCATGCGTTTTTTCTACAGTTTTGTGATTCTTTTTAAAAGTTTAGAGAAAACGCAGGAAAATGTTCGCACCACCTTAAAATTTCGTCAGTCATTAAATAATGACAAAACGCAAAAACGTTATATTTTTTCACGTCAATTCCATCATAAGTTTGCCAGAAAAATTAAAAAAACGTGAATTTTGGCAGAAAGGGTGTAGAACATCCTTAATGTATTTTGAATTTCTGTTTGAATTTTTGTCTGATTTTTTCTGTTAGAACTATTGGGCCCAAATTTTCAAAAAATTTTCCACTGGATTTTTTTATTGCATTTCAGAAACCGAGCGGAAAAAATTAGAAATTAATGCCCAAGCATTCTTGTAGAAACGATCTCAAGAGGAAAATTCAAACAGAAATTCGAAATCAATTGACTTTTTCTTATCGAATATCCAATAGAATCATCGCAAAACACTAGAATTTTTCAACAGAATTCCCACAGAAATCCTATAGGAACCCCATAGAATTCCTATAAAATTCCAATAGAATTTTCTAGCGAGTTCGCTAGGTTTTCTATTGAATTTTTTCATACGTGGTGAATTGAAGAAATGGATTTGGCTGCATAGAAGGTTCCTCCAGGTATCTTCATGTTATCTCCATTATGTTTACAAGCAACAGATAAACAAGACAGATCATAAACGACAGAACAAATTAATGTGAGTAAATTAACACAGATGACTGAGTAGAAACTAACGTTGTTTAACAGAAAACAGATTGTAGATTTCATGTTGAAATTTTAAGATGTTACCGATTCATTTCTCTCCGATTATTCTGATTTCGATGCAATGTTATCACTGCGCTCTGTCCCCACATGCTTATAGACAATGTATTTGTTAATGAATAGATTGAAATAGCGGCGGTGTTTTTCAGCTCGAATCTGGATACGAGTAGGGCGATGAGCATGTCAGCACCCAGTGCGATAAACACGGATTTTTCAACTGTGAAGTTCGATGATGATGCGACTGAGTGGCATAATCCAGAACCCTCACAAGCGAAAAGTGCGATGAGTCATAGGTAATTAAGAATTTTCTTTTTATATATTTTCAGCAAAAAATTGAACATTTTATCATTGAGGCAACGGATTTTTCTACGTTCTTTGATAAATGTGGACGGAAATCATATGAAAATTGAGTTGTTTGTTGTCGATCTCGATTTTTAAGGAAAATTTTTTGGTTCAAATGAATAATTAGAGCCTACGAAGGTTAATTTTTAATTTTTAATCATTTGAGAGTAATTTATAATCCATAAAAAATTGTGGGAGTCAATTCTTGAGTATGAAAATTTCATAATTAAAAATAAGCTACCGTTGTCTCAATGAAGAACTAGCAAATTGAACATGTTTATAATTGAAAACATTGAATTGTCAATTTCTGTGGTACAATTCTGCTGTTTGTGAATGTTTGATCTAAACTGTTCTCCTCCGTTCATATCTGCAGAAAGTTGAGACGTTATTTTTCAAATAATGAATAATTCTTATGATTTATGTGATTTTTCCCCATAGTTTCACACTTCGTTTTATTTTGCCTGAGAGCTTAAATGATTCGGCAGATAATGAAAATGCTGGATCACCCCTATTCCAGTAATTATTTATTTTTTCTCAATTTTCTGTATTGAGAGTCTAATTGAACTACTTCCGATTTTTTACATTTTTTGATACATATTGATGGGAATCATTTGAATACTGAGGTATTTGTCGTCAAGTGCAACTGTTATTTCATAGTTGAAAATAAGCTACTGTTGCCTCAATGAAGAACAAGCAAATTGAAAGTGTTTATAATTGAAAACATTGAATTGCCAATTTCTGTGGTACAATTCTGCTTTTTGTGAATGTTTGATGTAATCTGTTCTCCTTCGTTCATATCTACAAAAAGTTGAGACGTTATTTTTCAAATGATGAATATTGCTCATGATTTATGCGATTTTCCCTATAGTTTCACACTTTGCTTTATTTTGCATGAGAGCTTAAATGATTTGGCAGATAATGGAAATGCTGGATCACCCCTATTCCAGTAATTATTTATTTTTTCTCAATTTTCTGTCTTCTTGAGAGAGTCTAATTGAACTACTTCGGATTTTTTACATTTTCTGATACATATTGATGGGAATCATTTGAATACTGAGATATTTGTTGTCAACTGCAACTGTTATTTCATAGTTGAAAATAAGCTACTGTTGCCTCAATGAAGAACAAGCAAATTGAAAGTGTTTATAATTGAAAACATTGAATTGCCAATTTCTGTGGTACAATTCTGCTGTTTGTGAATGTTTGATCTAAACTGTTCTCCTTCGTTCATATCTGCAAAAAGTTGAGAAGTTATTTTCCCAATAATGAATAATAGGGAGTTTGCATGAAACTCAATTCTTTCTAATTCCCTTCTTCACACATTTCACTTATTCCTTATAACATATGGATAGCCAAACGGCGAAAATTATGAAGAAATATTCCCAAGATGTCTTATGATAATTAATTGAAAATCAGTTGTTTTAGAAACTAATTTGTCGGTCATGACGTCACGAAGACGGTCATGTATCGCTTCATTGGTCGAGTGTGAAGAGAGTGGGGACTTAGCGACCTCCATTGGCCGAGGCGCACTTCAAGATTGGGTTAGATCGGCTCGAGCCATTCTGTGATTGGTCTAGCGTTTGACTGTCTGTGTGACGTCATTAGCGATTTCAAAGCGTTTGAAATCTTCGACTTTTGACAATTAATTATTAACTAATGAGCAATATTTCGAACGTTTGTGAATGAAAAATGAATTATTCAGGTCTCAAACTTGAGATTAGAAAATTGAAAAAAAATTCATGTAAGTTCCCTATTCTTATGATTTATGTGATTTTTCTCTATAGTTTCACACTTTGTTTTATTTTGCATGACAGCTTAAATCATTCGGCAGATAATGGAAATGCTGGATCACCACTACTCCAGTAATTATATTTTTTCTCTATTGTTTATCCCATCCAAGAATTCTCTTCTTTATCGTTTTACATCACGGGAAGGTGGGGTAAAATGGAAGCCATCAAATCTAGTAGAGATTGAAGAATACAAATAGAGTCACCTTGTTTTTATTTCAAGAGGCAATGGAATTTACCATCGGAGTAGAAACTGGATGCCAAGTTTTTTCGTCGTCAGACGACTATTCAGCAAAACCCAAATTATTACACTATAGATACCAAATTAATTGATGATGTAAGAATTTCGGTTTTGCTAAATAGTCGTCTGACGACGAAAAAACATAGTCTAATTTCTACTCCGATGGTCAGTTCCATTGCCTCTTAAAGATGGATAACATCAGCTGATCTCAAGTCATCCAAGATTGAAGGCGATCCATTTTTTCTCGCTGCCTCCATTAATTTATTCCACTTATTTCTTCGCCTCTTCTGACTTCATCATCTGTCGCATCTGTTCCTCTTCATGTTCAGTTCTTCACGGGTTTCTCTGGATTATATTGAGAATTTTTCGGCTTGAACTAGGGAACATGACACGGTAAGGAGTGAGGACAGTGTTCTAGTCCAAAGTGTGGATCTTGGCTCTGGACAGGAAGCATGGAGGTCACTAAGCTGTTTGACAGACAGCACAGAACAAAGTGCTCCAGTTAATTTCGATCTATCAAATAGGGTAAGCATGTGGAGAGAATTCAAAGATTTTTTTAAAAACTTTTTTGAAAATGTCTATTTTTGGAATTTTTTTCTCAAATTTGGCTGGAGTGGAAAATTTGAAAAATTAGTAATATTCAACTACATCATGAATCATTGAAGGAAATTTTTCAGATTTTTCGAATCATTTATTCAGAATTATTTATTCGAATCATTCATTCATCACAACATAACCAGTATATTGTTGCTAATAAATTAGCAATTTGCTTTTGAATGAAATTTCTATGAGGATGTATTTTACATTGAATTCACCGATTCATTGATTTCAACATATCCCTAACGTTGGCGGCCAACATTGCCCCAACGTTAAAATTTTTTACCTTTCCCGGAATATTGGTTTCAAGATAAATTTTTTCACTAACAGATGATTCAATCAATCTCATGATCGATCTTGATCAAAATGGCATTGGGAAGAATATTTTAAATCATAATTGGATTGTTATGACTATTGTTTTTCCATCTTCATAATCTAAAATGTATCACAATTTCCATAACATAGAATTTTACATATGATAGGATTTTACACAACATAGGTGTTCCGAAAAATTATGATTGCACAATAAAAAAAAAATAGACAAAGAACTGAACATTTTCAAAGAGGATTTTTAATAACGATTAGGAAATAAGTCCACCAGAGAGGAAATTGTAAATGGATAATTTATGACGGCAACTAGTGATCTGACAGGCGTTGGCTACTGAGATAAATGACGAATGAACAGCCATTAGATATGTACTGTACAGTAAATCATTAATTTGCACTTTCCTCCCTATTGGGTTTATTTCCCAATATTACTCGAAAACGCTCTTTGAAAATGTTCAGCTTTTTTTCAACGTTTTCTTGATTGCACAATCATAATTTTTGAAGACTCCAGGGCTATGTAAAACTGAATGGCAATTGAAAAACATTTCAGATTATCAAAATAAAAAAAACAACAACCAAGATCACGTTCGAAAGATGATACAAACGGGTCTTAAACGATTATTTTTTCAGGTACAGCTGAAAAACATACATACATACAGTCGTTTACTAAAGTTCTGAACCAAAATACATAGGATCCAAGTTCAGATCGTTTCAGAACTTTAGTAAATGATTGTACACCCGAGCATTGTCTAAAAATAACACATTTGAACTCCTGAGGCCTAAATTAGTTATTTTGGCACAAAAAATAGGAATTTCAGATTTGCCGTATACAATGCTTCCAATCGGAAGCAAAAATCTGAAATAGTATATTTCGTAACGAGTGCAAAAAACATTTTTTCACGAGTTACGAACAATATTTTTCATCACAATGAGGCGGAAATTGGACTTTTAGGCACGCGGAGCGTGCCGAAAAGTTCACTTTTCGTCACAGCGTGATGAAAAAAATCATACTTCAATGATTCACTGTGTACTTCAATTCGAACAATTTTTCATATTTTTCACCTGTAGCAATTTCGATAAAAAAATTCCAAAAACCGTAAAAATGAAGTTTTTCAAAAAGCCTTATTTAGTTATATGCATGCATATATTTTGTATGTGTAAACCAAAATTCAAGTCAGTCAAATTTTTTTATCAAGGATTTGTAAACCGTAAAGGGAGACTACCATGAGTTTTAAAAATCGCGGGCTATTGGAATGCGATTTCTCATACATTGAAGATCGATTTTAAATGTCTAAAAATGAATAATTAGTGCAAAAACATTCATTGCTTATTGTTCGTTTGCCCCGCAGACGCTTAAAGTGTTAAAAATAGTCCAGGGCCTCCAATTTTTAAGCTACAGAGGTTTCATTTTTTTCAAAATTTTTGGAAAAGTATGTGCAATAACAATTACGAATTAGTTTTCTTAAATTCAACTCCTACACAGCTAATTTCGTAATTTTTTTGATAAAAATTTGCAACATTCCTGTAAAATAGCCCGAAAAATGTTTCTGAAAGAATTGAAAATATTTTTTAAATATTTTAAGGATAATTTTTCTGCCTATTTTACATGAATGGCGCAAATTTTTATTTTAAACAAAACAAACTTAGCTGTGTAGGAGTCGAATTGAAAAAAAAATTCGTAATTATCATTGCATACATTTTTTTAAAAATTTTGAAAAAAAAGAGAGTTCTGTAGCTCAAAAATTGGAGGTCCTGGATTGTTTTTAACATTTTAAGCGTGTCTGGGGCCTACGAACAATAAACAATCAATTTTTTCGCACTAATTATTCGTTTGTAGACATATACAATCGATCTTCACCGCATGAGAAATCTCACTTCAATCGCCCGCGACATTTAAAACTCATAGTACCATAGTAGTCTCGCCTTAGAGGTTTAATTTGCATACAATAAAAAATATACATTTTCGTACATAAGATTTAGGTGACATTGACTTTATATTTGAATGGAACATTTGTCCAGAAATTCACTAATAATGACGAGCGAGTTGTCGTCTAAGCTGGCCAGAAACTCCCCGGCCCAATATGGTGGAAAAAAGTTTTTCTCGCGTAATTTTCTGACCATTATTATAGTACTTTGGACAAATCAAGTCAGTCGATTGAGATGTGCGTTATGAGGGCACTTTTGAAGATTCCATTAGCCAAAAATATCAAAAACTAATTTTTTCTTATTTCTTTACATTAAAACTGAAGTAGGAAACTCAATCCCCTGTAATTTTGAAATTTCAGTGCGGTCTCCCCTTAATCGTTATTTTCGATGTCTCTGAAATAATCTCGAGTCCGATGAATTAATCTTCTATCAATTCCAGGCAAAATTACCTCGGGGAATCGACAAAATTCGTCCTCACCTAGAATTAATAGATAATGTACCTCTCCTAGTATCTCTATTTACCGACTGCAATACTGCAGTCACCAGGGAGATGCTTCACATAATGCAGGATTATGGAGAAGTTGTTTGTGTACTAGGATCATCAGCCAATGCCGAAAATATGTCTATATTTATGCAAGCAGATGCAGGGTAAGAAAATTTCTACATTAATGCATAATGCACATTCCTATCAATCCTAATTATGAACCATCTTGGTAACAAATGGGCCTGAATGAATATAATACAAAAATGAATAATCAAGATGAACTTTCTTTCAAGAATGTTTTTTTCACTAGAAAAAAATATGCAATTTTTTCTGCTCACATTTGATAAATTTATTTGGCTTTGCGGTCATTCGTGATTCCGCAGATGTTCAAGGTAGATTGTTCTTTCTTGCTGCAATTTGAATCCCATCAAATGTGAACTTTTAAACTGAGAGAGGAACGCAATTCGCTATCTGTTCACTCCCAGCGATTCAGGAGATGAGATTCACAGCTCGACAATGTTTTAATTAGTCAATGCACGAATTAAAACAGTTGAGGGCTAATCGGAAAAATTCAAAAAAATTTGATTCTGTCAATTGAAGTGTCTAAAAAATGATGGTAGTTTTTAGGACAACATATTTCCCATAATTCCTAAAGAAAACAAATCATTTCGGACAGATGAATTATTTTTTTCCATGTTAAAGGAAATTGTCCATGACGCGACGTTGCCGGAAACTCGCTAAACGCGCCAGGCAAGTGTAGAGTGAATTCGGCAACGCTAAAGTCTAAATAACGCGGCGGGGAATCCCCGCGGAGATGACCAAAGTCGCAGGGTCGCGTTTGGTGATCAGACTAGGGTTAAGGATGTACTATACCGTTTCGGCCAAAATTCACATTTTTTTTTCATTTTTCTGGCAAATTATTGATCGGATTGACGCGAAATAATATATCGTTTTTGCGTTTTATCACTATTGACTGACTCACGAAGTTTCATGGTGGTGCAATCATTTTCCTGCATTTTTTCTGAAGTTTTGTGCATTTCCAAAAAGTTTTAGAAAAAACAGGAAAATAATTGCACGATCATGAAATTTCGTGAATCATTAAGTAATCATAAAACGCAAAAACGGCATATTTTTTCATGTCAATCCGATCAACAATTTGTCACAAAAATTTAAAAAACGTGAATTTTGGCGAAAAGGGTGTATCCTTAAGAATGTCCAAGTACTTTGGTCTTTTTTTCATTGAAATCCCTTTCAACATCAGAACTTTCATTTGCAATGATGTTATTATTAGAAATTTGGAGGTCTAAATTCGATTCTCAATTCCGAACCATTAGGAAACATAAAAAAAATCTGAAAACATTAGAAAAACTGATATTTGAACCATATTACAATTCTGACAGAAATCAATTTCATGCAAAAACGAACAAGATTCCTGCAAATTCTAACGATTTCCGTTTTTTTTTTCATTTTTTATTTATCTTAAAGAACGATTTTCCATGAGTTTTCCCGATTTTTTTAACGCAATTTAATTTGCAAATTAAAATAGATTGTTATTTGTTATTAAAATAGATTAAAGGGGATATTATTAGGCAAATTTAATGACTATACAAATATCAAAATTGCAACTTTCCGCTGAAAAAAATTTGTGAAAACTCAAATTGTAATCAAATTTCAACAAAATGAACAAATTTTTTATTTCATCAATTTGACAAACCGCCCAGGTGGTTTGTAACTTGTACTGTACGTAGTACAACACTCGAACTTGGCCAAAACAGGGCACTTATTCTCCTTATTTCGACGAAGAGGACCCCTCCTGAACCCCCCCACAAAATTCACAAAATTCTCTCGATAATCCGTCATGTAATCAGGTTTAAAATTGATCACGCATCTTCGACTCTTCTTAAAAGATTTCATTTTCGGTTCTCCCATGTTATGGGCAATGTACCCCTCACTGAACGTTGTTAACGATTCCATTGGCACAGAAACCGGGCATTTTCTCAATTTTTTAAAACTCTGAGCTCTCTCGACCTTCCCCGGATGAGCATAGGAGTCCTTCTGAGTTGTCACACACTCCATCGGATCCCTCACGAACCCCAATCGTCCTTTCGGGTGAATCATCTCTGATCGGGATTTCTCGGGCCACTTGAAGGCAATTTGGGTCGTTGTGTCGAACTCAAATTTCCCGAACCTCTTAACTTCACTGAGTTTGTGAACCCGACTTGGCAGAATTCCTCGGCTAGGATACGACGTTCTGTACGTGGTTTGCAGATCGATCTTCGCTGATACCGGTTTACAAAACTTCTTAGGATTCGCCACTGCCCTCGGGGGCTGAATATACACCAGATCATCGTCACGATATTTCCCGAAATTTTGGCGCAGAGCCAATGACTTAGGCGGTTGACACACGATCTCCATTCCAGATTTTTTTATTATTCGCGATCAAACGAAAATTGAGGTGTTGGTCACGTGGGTTGAGTTGATGATAAATGAAGGATGACAGTTAACTTCATGAGGTGGTGGAAAATTATCTGTCGCTTTCGAATGAATGTTTTGTAATGATTTAAATTTAGGTTTTGAATTTTGCTTGCGAATGGAAGCATTGTATCCGTCAACTGCGAAATTTCCAATTTCGTTTTGTGTCAGGATAACTAATTTTGGCTTCGGGAGTTCGAATTATGCTATTTTCGTTATTCCGACCATAAAGCAGCGCTGTTATCACTGTTTACACTGTTGGAAAAAAAAATGAAATTCCATGGACAGTTGACTACCAATTTTCAGGGCAGTGACACTAAATGCGATTTAGGGGAAGAAAAATCATGAAATTTAAGGCTTCACTGAAAACTCAGTAACTTTTCAGAATTCTAAGCGACATGAAGACGAGAATTCCTTAATTTATGTGGATTTCCAATCTGATATGAATATTCACTGTTGAATTACATTGAATTTTCAGTGAAATCTGAAATTTTATGATTTTTTTCCCCCTAAATCGCAATCAGTGTCACAGTTCTTAAAATTCAAGAATATATTTACCAGAATTTTCTGATTTTCTATTCATTTCCAGGAAAAAATGGAACGGAAATTTACAGTTCTGTTTGATTTTTTCACAGGATTCTGAATTTTCAATGACAAGATTTCCTGAAATTTCAGTGGAATTGAACACGATAAAAATTTCCAGAATATGGCACGGAAAATTCAGACGAAAATTTTTAAGGATTGACGCAAGCATCTTTTTTACAAGAGTAAATTTTTTTATGGTCAAATGCCATGAAACTTTGGCAAAACGTTATTTGAACTTTTATAAAATGATCGATCTATCGCTCAGCTCATCGTCATATTGTCAATATCGATTTTTTTGGTTTTTTATGTTTTAGTTGATATCGACAATATGACAAAGAGCTAAGCGATAGATCGATCATCTTATAAAGGTTCAAATAAGGTTTTGTCAAAGTTTCATGGCATTTGACCATAAAAAAATTTACTCTCGTGAAAAACTCCCGACAAAATTGCTTACGTCAATCCTTAACAGTGTACAGTCGTTATGACACAAAATACTGTCCGAAAAAAACTTTCGAATATGAGTTTTCATTGGAATTATATGAGGTAGAAAATTTTTTGTAGGCCATATGTCGAACAATATTTTTGTCATAACGGCTGTCAGCAGTGATTCACAGACGCGTAGCCACAAAATTTTTTTCGGCCTAATGACGAAGTATACTATTCCAATTCTATTCATCTGATTTTAATTTATGACACGTCAAAATTTCCAATTTTCTCCTATCTATAAGAATATTTTGAGTAATTTTTTTTTCAACCCCTAGGTGCTCATAACACCAAATTAAAAAAAAAAAAGTTGAAAAGCTTCAATTTTTAGACTTATGTCACCTTTTATTTTTCTCCTCTTTTTTTCAGCAGTGATAGGCATATTCATCAATCATAATTACTGTTAAATTGTGAAGTTGTCAATTTTAACATAAATCAGAAAAATTTTCAATATTAAATTAACCATCAATTTGTACATTCAAATTTTGAAATATTCGAATAACCAATAATTTAGGTAGGAAGATTAACGATTATTTGGATAATCGGCAAATCAAATACCTAAATTTAGAATTACCTTGTTAACCAAAAATTACATTTCAATATTATCAAATATTTTATTCACCATCAATCGGAAAATTTAGTTATTAAATTTTATAATATTTTAAATTTGCTAAATATGGTTAAGCTATAAACAATATAAGGAGATAATCCTTCTTAATATTGTCAAAATCTAATAGTATTGGCCATCCCTGTTTTTCAGCAACTCTTGTAATCAAAACAAGTATTTTGAGCCGTCATACACGTTGGGTTTCGTCCTAGATCTATTTAATTTTTTATTTTTTCTTCTCGAAATTCCGCGAATTTGGTCACAACACCCCAAAACAACTTCAGTAAAATTCAGTAATCACAAACAAAAAATTAACTCTTAAATGAAATAATAATAATTATATAACAACAATCTTGTAACTTAGGGACAAAATATTTCTTGATAAACTTCCAAGATATTTTTATCCTGAAAAGACATCGTCTTCTATGAATGATCCGCCTCTTGGGTCCAATATTTGCTTGTTGTTGACAGCAGAGCAATTATTCATCTTTGAGCCTTTAAAATTCGAACCAATTTTTTTTTTAATTTTCAACTAACGATTTTGTTGACCTAAACAAGATTTGTTTGAAAAATTGTTCGTTTTCTCTTAGTGGAACGTGGAGGCAATGTTGAATTCAATAAATCATTGAATTCAATTTAAAATACATCGTCATAGAAATTCCATTCGAAAGCAAATTGCTAATTTATTAGCAAAAACATATTGACTACGTTGTGAAGAAAGTAATTTGCCATTTGTTTTAGAGTTGGAGTGGAACCTCTTTACCCCCAGGTCTGTCAAAAAATACCTGTGATGGCAAACACCAAGGAGGAGCAGGGCCCCTCACCAATCGAGCTGAGTCGGGCGCTGAATTGCATTGCCTGCTCTCTGAGTGTTAAAAGAGAAGATCCTATAGCTATTTTTCATCTCGTTATGGAGGTACGTAACTCTCAAGATCAAATAAACCAATTTATAGGTTTGCTTGTGGATTCAAACCAAATTTCATCTCCAACATTTTGGAAATTTATTCAATGATATCCCTTTGGCATCCTCCGAAGACGAGTGCATGTAATCATTGATAATTAATAATTAATATACTGTTGGAAAAAAATTGAAAGTTCATGAACAGTCAACTGGAAATGAGAAATGGAAAAAAAATTATCGAATAATGAAAATATGAATATTCGGTATGAAATAACGAATATATTTCCCTGGATTTTCCTGATTTCTGTTGATTTTCATTAAATACTTGAACTGAAATTTACAGTGTTGCTGGATTAGTTCACAAAATTCTGAATTTTTAGTCGCGAAATTCCTTGAAATTTTAGCAGAACTATAACGTAGGGGATCGCAGGGCAAAATGCAGCTGTCGAAAACCTACAATTTGACGCAACTCAAGCAAAATAGTATATTTCAGCACGTGTGGGGCAATATCGTCTTTAACGTGTGTGGGGTTTACAGCATGAGCCGAAGGCGAGTGATGTAACCACACACGTTAAGGACGAAATTTCCCAACAAGTACTGAACAAAATTTTATGTCACGAAGCCTGAAACCGGCTGAATTAGACACGAGACGCGAAGCGTCGAGTGTGTAATCCAGCCGGTTTCAGGCATGAGTGGCATAATAAATTTTTTATCAACTTTTGTTTATTAACTTTTTTTATTATTGGGAGTACTGATGAGAATAATAATTTTCCATTCAGTAGAATGAAATATTATTGATTATTTTTCCAACCCAAATATCGGGCAATATAATTGGCCCATTCGACATCACGTGGTACAAGCTACAGGGTTTTCAACTGATAATTTTTTGATAATTTTCTCTGGTAGTTGCTATATAAAAAACAAAACATCATGCAGTCGAATTAACCTCTCCTCAAACTGACAGATTGAATTCAATTGCGGTAATCCAAGGATTTTTATTCGAAATGAGTAGATTCGGAGTTCATTCCCTGAAAACCATTGATGACAAAGTAAAGCGCAATATTCCCGTCAAAAAGGAAAAAACGAAGAAGACAATTTGGAATCAATTTACCAGTTTTTGTGATGAGAGAAACTACACATTGAGTGCTGACACACACATTGAATGCTATTGTGTTAATTATACAATTTTCGTTTCTCAATTGTGAGTTTCGTCTCATGGTCCAATTACATTGCCCGACATTTGGATTGGAAAAATAATCCCCCGAATACCACACGAGCTTCAAAATTAATCGGGCATTTTCCTCAAGGTTCCCTGCATACAAACGAAGTCGTCAAGTTTTTCAGGAAAAATCACTCGTGCTTCGCACTTGTGATTTTTTAACCTGAAAAACTTGACTCCTTCGTTTGTTTGCAACGAACCCATCGGAAAATACCCGATAATTTTGAAGCTCTTGTGGCATTACAGGTGAGAAGTTTTGACGGGAGATTTTGTCAGTGGATTAATTGAAAAGAAAATGAAACAACAAAATCCAACGTTCACAGGAAGGACCGGGGGAACACAGAGGGGGAAAAAGGAAAATGTGCTGCTGAATTTCAATCGAAAGAAAAAAGAAAAGTGTAATTGCCCTAATCTAATCAATTGAATTATAGATGAAATATTTTATATTACTTGAAAAGAGAACTATGGATAAAATTCGTGAAAATTATTGATATTGGCGTCTCGATATCTCTCTATATAATAAAAAAATATCTCTCTATATGATAAAAAAATAAGACCAAAAAATTTAGGCGACGGTTGAGATTCAGGAGTCGCTGAAAATTCAGGCGACGCTCAGCCAGGGTCGGGCCAATGTCGGCCCAGGGTCGGGTCATTGTCGGCCAAGGGTCGGGTCAATGTCGGCCAAGGGTCGGACCAATGTCGGCCGAGGGTTGGGTTTCCCTATACCAGGGCCCTATCCTTATGGGAATGAGATATATGCAGCACTTATATCTAGCATATATTTGGCATACCACATTTTTGGCCGAAAATATATCTGAGATATATTGCAGATATATGTTAAATATTTTACATCGAGATATATNCAAGCAGGGGGCGAAGCCCCCTATTAAGAAATTTACGAAAAACCTTCGGGAGTTACAAATGAGGAGAGAATATAGACTCAGCAATCTTAGTTTGGCTGCTGGAGAGTCAGGGGACAAGCTGACTAGTGGACGTTGATATCGAGATCTAACAGGGGAGTGGGATTCATCTGCGGAGGTAGTCGATATGCTATATAGGGATTTGGAATATCAGTGATTTTTTCGCGCCGCATGTTCTTTTCTCCCGAATAGGAAATTATTATTCTCATCAGTACTGCCAATTATTACATAATAATAACAAGATCTATGCGCGCGCTTTCGCGCGCGCTGATCTCTTTGTTTGTTGAAATGAAGGAATGGAATTCATTAAATTTCATTTTCTCATGAATACCTTATAAATATTGATAACGAATCAAAGAGAATTCGACTAATGATTGAAGTGAATAGCGAAGTAGAGTAAAAGAATCTATAAAGAATTTTTCATTTTCAATTAATTATCTTCAATTTTTAAAAATAATCGGTCTCCATAAAAGGACAGTATTTATTAATTTCACCAATGATATATATACATGTGAAATATACATATTATATATATATATATGACGTGAAAAAAAAAATTTACCACTGAAGAATTTGAAAATGCCGCGTGTTTTTTTTTGTGAATAACTTCGTGTCACATATTGACCAATCAGAATTAAGGATTAGCGGTCAAGCAGTTTCGAGATATTTCGATATAAAACAACTTCACGTTTCTTTCATCTTTAGTAAATAATCGCATAAAATTTTTAATCTTCAATTCTTAATTTTTGTCATTGATTATATTTATTCTATCGAAAGACAAGGATAGAAATCCAATGTATGGGTATTCTTTCATTATTCGAAAAGATATATCGATTTTAAAACTTTCCGGAGACATTGAAAAATTAATTTTTTTATTTCTTCTCGTTAAAATGAGATCATTAAACTTGAAAATATTATTACTATATGTTGCAGTATCAATAGTAAGAGCAAGTGAAAAACTAAAAATATGTACAACTGAAGGAGGTAGAATAAAAAATGAAGAAGAGGACAATAGTTATATAAAGAAATTCTAGAATAATCATGCACTGACATTGTAAAATATATTGATCTATATAATAAAAAAGTAGGTTTCCTCTAACGTGGAAAAATTTTCAGGGGTCAGGAGGGCCAATGTCGGTCCAAGGTCGGGCCAAGGTCGACCTTGGGAAACTCTCATTCGGTCGAGTCAAGGTCGAAAATTTCAGGAGACGCTGGGGGGGGGGAGGGCGGTGCCCATATATGCCCCTCCCCCATATGGGCCTTACAGAGAAAAAAACCATTAGCTCCTTCAGGAAAATCAAATAAATAATAGGATTATAAGGAGCAAGCTCGTTATCCAAGCAGTCGCACCAAAGATTTGGGGGGAGTGAGCGAAGCGAGGCGAAGCCCCCTAGTATATAATAAAAATAAGAATAGATAAAATTGAATTAATCGAATTGTGAAGACGGAAATGAGAAAAAAAATAAAATGAAATAATATAAATTGATCTGGCGATGGGCGTGAAGCGTCCGTTCAGTAATAATAATAATAAAAGTTGATTAACAAAAGTTGATAAAAAAATAACTTTTTTAGCTTGAAATGCGTCAAATCGTCGTTTTGCAGCTGTTTCATTCTGCCCCACTCTCCCCGAATAAAAATTTCCAAGTTTCCGTGAAATTTCACTCAAAAAATTGTCAACGTTGTGATTAATCATTATTTTTTATTCTATCACAGGCCCGGGATTATATGAAGTGCCTATGGAACTGTGTTCAATTCTGGCTGTGTTGTGTTGTCACACTATCGTTAGTTCAAGCATTATCCGGTTTTTTTATGCTACCACCATTGCTCTCTGTTGGCCAAACACTTTGGCTCATTTGTTTAATTATTCCCTTGCTGTCAGTCTCGATGATAGCAACACCCACCGATCCCACGATAATGCAACGAGCGACTGGGAAGAATCAGTGTGCTGTCACTGGAGAGGTATTTTCAAAAAGTCTCCCTTTTTAAATGTTTAATTTCTTTCATTGTGATGCAAAGCATCTTCTAGCCGTTGAAAATTCTTGTAGAAAAGGTAGAATGATTTAGTTATTGTTAACGAGGCTTAACTATTCATGCCATTCGTTAACTATTAACGAATCGCGTTAATAGTGAAGAAGTCTCGTGAACAGCAATTAAATCATTCCATCAGTGTAGTTATTCGTTCGATCTAGTTATTTGGGATTTTTTTTTCAGGTTGCCTTGTTCGTTCTCTGGTGTTACGGCTGTAAATTTCTGCCGACAATTGTAACCGTTATCGTATGCCAATTACTCATGTACATGATCCTCTGCACGTATTACGTGAGAGGAGAATCTCAGTGCTTCTACATTTATCCTGACACCTCTGGTGAGGTTTACTGGGGTGGATGGAATGATAAGCCAAATATTATTATGTTGGTGCAGCATGTTGCTCTAACACTGCTTGTTCTACATTTTGGTGAGTAATTAAAATACATAATTAAAATACAGCAAGGGACAGAGCTTATCCCATATATCCGACGAAAGATATTTGATCATTAGTTTATGCGTTATTAGCCTTTTGCTTCCGAATTGAAACATTGTTTTTATCAAATCCGAAATTTCCTATTTTTAGTGTCAGGATTTGTCATTTTGACCCCAGGAGTTCGAACATGCTATTTTTACACCATGTTCGGATGTAGGTATGTGTGCTGCCAACGTTGGGATCATGTTTTTAAAAATGCTCTCCTTTCAAACAAGTATACGGTTACCAAAAAGCAAAAAAAAAAATTCTAATACGCTAACACTTTTTAAAAATGTTTAATGGAAATGGGTGGAGTAATTTTTCGAATTGGGATTATGTTGATTGCCAACGCTGGGGCGATGTGCACTGCCAACGTTGAGGTAATGTTGGCTGTCAATGTTGAGGTGATGTTGGCTGCCAACGTTGGGACAATGTTGAATGTCAATGTTAAAGTAATGTTGGCTGTCAACGTTGTGGAAATGTTGGCTGTCAACGTTAAAGTAATGTTGGCGACCAACATTGGAGCAATGTTGAATGCCAACGTTGAAGTAATGTTGGCTGTCAACGTTGAGGTAATGTTCGCTGTCAACGTTGAGATGTTAATGTTGGCTGCTAACGTGGGTGCAATGTTGAATGCCAACGTTGAAGTAATGTTGGCTGTCAACGTTGAGATAATGTTGGCTGCCAACGTTAAAGTAATGTTGGCTGCCAACGTTGGAGCAATGTTGAATGCCAACGTTGAAGTAATGTTGGCTGTCAACATTGTCGGGATGTTGGCTGCCAACGTTAAAGTAATGTTGCCTGTCAATGTTGAGGCGATGTTGGCTGTCAACGTTGGGTCAATGTTGAATGCCAATGTTGGAGTAATGTTGGCTGTCAATGTTGTGGAAATGTTGGCTGTCAACGTTGTGGTAATGTTGGCTGCCACGGCTGGAGCAACGTTCGCTACCGATGTTGGGGCAATGTTGAATTCAATGAATTATTGAATCCAGTTTAAAGTACATCACCATAGAAATACCATTTGGAAGCAAATTGCTATTTTATTAGCAAAAATATATTGACTATGTTGTAACGAAAGCAATTTCCACTTGTTTTTAATTTCAGTGATGATATCTGTGAGCTTTGTACATAGAGAGTATTCAATTTGGAGGAGATGGCCTTTCAATAATTGGCCTTGGTGTTTAAATGCATTTATTGTGTGAGTTGAAATTATTTAAATTGAAACATTTACCATTTGTAGAATTTAAATAGGCACAGCAACTCTAAATTTAAATTAAAGAGAATAAATTGAAAAAAACTGAAGAGGATAGTGAATGTTTTAGGTTGCATGAGGATTCATCGCTTTCTGAATTGCTAATCACTCTTTTTTTATTATTTTCCAGTCTTGCGTTGCAGGCAATATTTTCTGGTAATTTATTGTACAGTATATTGAAGGAGGAACAACAGAAAGTTGAAAATTTCCCCATTCACTTGCCATTATTTTTCTTCATCTCCCTTCCCCTCGTTTGTTCCATCAATGAACTAGTCAAGTGGCAAGAGATCAAGTAAGTTCTCAACCAAAATAATGAAATTGAAATTAATTCGATGTCAAAACTAATGTTTAAATTAATTTTCAGAGCCAACGTGAGGTATCAAAAAAGAGCTCGATTAGAATTTGGAACGAAACTGGGTATGAATTCGCCATTCTAAACGAATTCACTGTTATTCAATTGTAAATTGATATTCTAACGCACACAAATGGAGCCAAATAATTTCAACGTCAAATTAATAATTTAATTTCTGATTAATTGACAGAGGGGTCCAAAAACTAACGTTACACGAACGAAAAAAAATCATAGAAAAACGTAGTAAATTCGATAAAGCATTCTGCTGAATTTCTACTGAAAATGCCACTGGTTTTTGGCCGAGTTAATTGAAAAAATTTCGATAGAAACTATTCTGCAGAAACAATTGGTAGAATACCAATTCATTTTTCGATGCAGATTTTTTTGCTGAGAAATTTTTTGTAGGAATTCCTCCTCTATTTGAAGTTTTAAAAAATTTTCCAATCTATTTTTCTCTTCTATCGAAAAAAAAAAATTATTTCTATTGGAAAAAAACGCGGAGATAAAGGGCGAAATTTTTCAAGAGAATGGGTCAAAATCTGGTTGAAAGTACCATAGAAATCCCAGAGAATTTTCTATCAATTTTCTTTTTAGAAAAATTTTTTATTAAAAACTATTTTGTAGAAAAATCTGGAGAATTTCATATTTCCATATCACTTTTTCTATTGAAAAATTTTCTATAGCAATTTCTCGAGGTGAATTTTCTAGTTTTTACACTTTTTTTCAACAGAAAAATCATACGACAAAACTGGGAAAGTTTGAGACGAGGAATTTCTATAGAAAATATGTCAATGGAATAAGTTCTGCAGGAAAATCGAATTCTATTGATTTTTTAAATATAATATTTCCCATCAAACATTTCTATTGAAAAAGAAAAGCAAATGAACAGCGAAATTTGTCAAGAGAATCGACCACAATGTTATAGAAATCCAATAGAATTTTCTAGGCAATTCCCAAGGTTTTTGTATGAAATTTTCTCGTGTTATTCTAAACACGCACAAAAACAATTCTTTCACCACAAAGTATTGTTGTTAATTACTCAAGGATGCCATGGGAATTTCACCAAATGAATTAAATTTTTATTAATTTCATCGATATTTGAATGACTCGTGCATCATTCTACCAGTGAAAAATACAAATGTTCCTCTGAACCTACCCACCGAATGCCCATGACATCCTCAATCGAGCATTTAATTTCATTATCAACCCTAGAAACACCTTCTAAAGCTCTAAAACTGGAGGAGTCAAATGCAACAAGCATTTGACAATGAATAATAAATTTTAAATAAATATTTTTGTACACGTTTAAACATTTTAAATGGAGTAATTGCCAGTGCCAATGAGCCTCGACACTACTAGTACTTAAAGTAACATCGAATTAACGTTTTCTGACGTGAAAATCAGTGTCCAACGAATTTCGAGAAATTTCAATGGAGATACATTGCATCATGATTGAATAATTTATTGCAATTGTATTTTATGAATGTCTTTCAGAAATTTTTAATGTTAGACTGTGTGATAAATGAGTAGAAAAATCATAGCATTTTCATCGCAGGATCACCGCGGAGAACTCATTTTTACATGTTCGTTAGTTAAATTTGCATAGCTCTCATTTTTTTTTCATTTTTAGACGCTCCGCTTGTGAATATATGTTTTAATTAATTGAATTTTTTTTAAGGACTCAAGTATTGATTTTTCAAGGGAATACATTATCTTCAACATTTGTGCAATTCTCTGATTTTGCAATGAATACTTAATGTTTTTCTTTGAATGAAATGCTCAAGATTAATTATTACTGGTTGAAGATCTCTACATCGCATTACGATTTGTAAAAATTGGAGGGGGAGAGGTAGAGATTGAAGATAAAGGGATGCAACGGTTTTAATCAGTTTCATTGTTTTATGAAAAATGGTGACTGGTAATTTTTACTCTAAAAATCGAATAATAATAGGTTTTTTCATATTCAGTCTGTTTGAATGGAGGAATTTAATAGTAGAAAATCTACAAGTCTACAGAGTGGTTAATACAATACTGCCAATATTAAAATTACCTCAATTCTGAATATTTTATGAAAATGAAGAAACAACAAATTTTGAATTCTCATCAACTTTCACTTATATTATTCTTATTACGAAAAGGCCTTCATTTTATAAGTAACAATTTATGAATTTCATTCCATTGCCCCTAAAAGTTGATCCATAGAAAAATTCTAAATCTTGAAGAAAACTGTTGCATCTCAACGCCATAAACCCCACGAAACTATTATAAAATTGTTTGAAAAAATGCATTGTGTTGAAACTGAAATCAAAATAAATATAACTATGATTCATAAACCTCTTTGAAATCCCAATAATCTTTATTCATTAGTCAGTAAAAAAGGCATTTGCATTACAAACATCACAAAAAACAATACTGCAGTGTACATAGCTTCATACAATAACTTCGGCGAAAAAACCGTCCAGATGAACAAGTGGTACCTCTGAATGGTAACAATAATGGTGTAAATAGCCAGTGGAAAAATCCTCATCATCGAATATACTCTATTAATCGAAAATACATCAACAGTATTACAACAACCCCCCTGATTTTCACAAGTATTCTTATACACAAGCATCAAGTACGCTAGAATCGGTGCAGAGTATGTATTAACACACAAATAAATCGTCGCTAAAATAGGCCAATAGGCCTGGAGTCCCACGTATCCAGCGGCGACATCAACAGTCGCCAGACTATTAGAATTTCCCTGATAGAAATAAAACACGTTCCCCACCCAATAGCTCACACAAAACAAATTCCCTCCATCCCTACTACTCTGCATCAAATCATAAATCACTAAAATCGTAATCAATTCCATGGGAACTAGCGCAATATTATGAGGCCGATGAAGGAGAGTCACCACCATCACCCAGATCTGAACTACACTAAAAACCACCCTCTGCAGGAACTTTCTCCTCTCATTCTTATAACTCAAAAACCCTCTTCGAGTGCAATAAGCCAAGAATAACGCCAGAACTCCCCAAAAGATTCTGACCTCATAAACCCCCTTTGACTGTGGATAAATCGTGACGAAACTCACAACAGAATTATCCGCTGCATGTCTAGAATACACGCAGACCGCTAAAACAACGTGAAACCCTAGCGTGACTCTCCTCGACCTCTTCTCCTCGCAGATGACCCCAATGAAGACTAATAAACCGAGAGAAACTAGAACAGTAAGACTCATGACTAAATTTGATTCTTGACCTCTCATCCAGCCGCCAATGTCCGGCAGATGTGCGTAGTTATGACCAGTGCTGTTCAATTTCCTGAGTATTCTGTGCTGAGTCATCAAGAACAATATCTTCGCAACCCTAAGGACGTCGTTACTCCTCAGCTCATTACGATAATCATGATAAATTTTCCCGATTTCTGCGGACAACAGATGCGTCAGTAAAGTTCCCCAGAAGAAGTACCAGGTCTGGTGCTCCTCCTCCACGAAGCTGCTGCTGGATAAACTGATGAGATGAAGAACCATCGCAGCAGGGAAGATCATTCTCGAGAACTCCAGGGAGATTTCCGAGGAAATGAACTCGTGAATCGGTCGGCAAATGCAGCAGTTGATGGTAAAGAAGATGCAGACTATTACCATGATCCGGGAATCCTCGAGTTCGAAGTAAACTTCGTTACTTTCGATGTACAGCAGATGGTTGAGCGCCAGCCAGAGACTGACCCCAATCGTCCACCAGTAGAAGAACCATTTACCAGAGAAGGATTTGTCCCCATTTTTATTGGAAATTATCCACAAAGTCTGGAGAATCATCACGATTGCGATCGTCATTATGGTTCGATCGTACTTGACAGCACTCTTGATCAGGATCTCCTTCATCCCCTTGAGCACTGTATCATAGAGACGAATTATGTAGTTCAACTGCTGCTCAGCCTTATGCTTGTTCTTGTCGATCAACCACTCGGTATGCAACTTGATCGCCTTGTAATAGTTATCATAAACCTCGGAGGATTCGAACTCCGACAGTTTCCGGAAGTGACTGAACATGTGCTTGGCGTTGTAATGAAGGAGAAACAGCTGATGGGCACCAGGTAGATCCCTGATGATCTCCATGGAGACACTTCCCAAGTTGGATTGAGGTATGGGAATCCCCAGGATCATGGACAGAGTCGTCGCGATGTCGACCTGCTCAATCTGGCTGAATTCCCCAGAACAGGTGTCTCCAAAGACAACGAAAGGGACTAGAGTTTCTTCTGGGGTGGCTCCACCGTGCCCTCCGGAGTTCTTCATCCCGTGATCCCCGCAGACTATCAAAATCGAGGAGATGCCATCGTCATTCCACTTGTTCATTTTCCTCAAAATCCTCTCGATGACATCATCCATCTCTCTTAATTTGGGCTGGATGAGAGGACTTTGGGGTCCGAAGACGTGACCAATGTGGTCCAGCCCTAGATAATGAAGAATCATTATCGACCAGTCGTTATTGATCTCCAACTCTTCATCTATGTGACGAGTCACGTTGTCATCGACTTCCTTGAAGTCCGAGACGAAGAAGGAAGTCGTGCCTTCGTGGCGATGAAAGATGTTTGGGAATAGTTTGATCCAGGTGTCGTCGCCGTAGAATATGATCCTGTGGCCGTGATTTTTCGCTTGATTGAGGACGGAGTCACTGCTGACGGAGGCCTCCCCGAAATTGAGGGCGACGTCGATGAAGCTGGAGACTGCTCCCGTCATCATGGATTTGATCCTGGGCATTGTTACGGTGGGAGCGTTCGCTCGAGCTTGAATGAGGCAAGCCGAGTTGTTTGAGATTGACGCGGTAGTGGATGGCATCGAGTTCGTCTTCTCCGCGTTCGTTATGAAGTCCCAGCGGAGAGCGTCGATCACCATGAAGATGACTTTCTGAGCTGAGGGTTTGTATAGGCTGTTTGTGTTTAGCTTAACCCCGTTTATTGAGGTGGGGATGTCGTCGGTGGAGGCTGTCGAGTTGCTGTGGTGGTTCAGGGGGAAGAAGGCGAATAAGAAGAGGGAAATTGTGAAGAGCGTCGAGCAGAAGATGTAGGTGGTCAGCAGGTACTTGTAGCGGTTTCGCGGTCCTGAAGTTATAGAAGAGAATAGATTTTAAATCCTTTAGGAAATTTACTTGAGCGGGGTATATTCGGTAATCTGGGATGTTTGGAGGTGTAAATTTAAATTATAAGTTTCCGGACAGATAATTGCAAACAATCCAATTAAAAGCTTCTTAATTGCTACGACGGTCATATTGGGTGGTTTGAATCATGTGACTACTCGGATCAAATTTACGAAGTTATATGGAACACATGTGCAGTGTTTTTACCGTGTGATCATTAGAGGTTAGACCAACGAGAGTCAAGTGCGAAATTGAATAAAATATTGTTCACAATATTCATTGAAGAAATTCCCTAAAAAATTAATTGAACAATGGAAAATCAGGAAAAATGGGGATGGCAAGATTTTAGGCAAAACTGAAATCTTGCATGAAAAAAAGTTGCTATCTTCAATGAAGTACTTGCATATCCTTAAGGGGAGACCGCGACGAAATTTGTAAACAGGGATAGCCATATTCATAAATCATAATTACCGGTAAATTTTGAAGCCGTCAAATAGTTAACATCACTATTAATCAATATTTTAGGTAGGACGATTGCCGAAAATTGATAAAGAAAAAATCTAGGTAGATGAACAATGACTGTAATTTTTTTGGCAAATTGTGATGGCCACAAGGGGGGGGGAGAACTGTGACTGCCCTCATAAGTGCCTTGTCTTGTGACCCTCATTGACGGTTACATGATGGGTCATATGACGCATTTGTATCTCTAGTCGTACATCCCGCCGATTGCAGAGTCCTACTGTGTCCATCCGTCACACTGACTAGATGAGCACAGTAGTCCTCGACATTCGACCCTGGCGGCAGCAGGACTATCCAAGTAGATAAGGGCTAAGCGGTCACCCATCCAACTATTGTCATTTTGTGATTGTGTCGTATGACCAAAAAATGGCGGTCATGTGACGTCCCGAACTTTCTAATGGCAAATGACGGTCACAAAGAATTTTTGACCGTCAAAAGAGTAAAATAGTAATTTCCGTTAGCAAACCATCTATATAGGTGCAAAATGACCGTCATAAATATATTGCTTTTTGTGACGGTCATATAATTTCTACGTAATTGGCATCGTTTATTCGTTCAATTTATTATTGATTACCAATTATTGTTTATTATAAGGTTTTTATGGAAGACTCGAAATGTATGTGTGCAACTGTACAACAGTTTTTTTTAATTATAAAATTATGAAACATGCGCTTACATATATTTATGCATACTCATGAGAGAATGATTACACTTTTTATCTTTGGAACAAAATAAACGAAGCCAAGAATTCTAGATACTAAAGTAAGTAAACAAAGTCAAGAGTTCTAGTTAATTAGAAAAAAAAAATACATGAACAAAAAAGTGTTTCATCTATATAGATGCAAAATGACCGTCATAGTTTTTCGGGCAATTGTGACCGTCATGGAAAAATTTTTTGTGATCGGACCGGCGGTCATTGGGGCCTCGTCATGTGACCGTCAATGACGGTCACATGGCCACTTTATGACCGGTCACATGACGCCTTCGCATCTCTAGTACTATCCGAAGTCCCACACTAATCGTGTGACCACTACTGTCATGTCGCTTTTTTATTGATTCTATTTTACGTAAATAGATCCTAAGACGGACTTTGAAAAATGTTGATTTTTTTTAATGAAGTTGTTAAAAATTTGAAAAAATTTGTACTCGATTCATATAGTATATAATGCAAAGTTAGTTATATTTCAAAAAATGAGGGTGTATTATTGAGGGGAAAAACGTGAATGTATATATAAAAAAATTGGGTAATTATCATTACAATATTATTTTCAATTATTATTTTATTATTATTTCTCATTTGTTCCATACTCTTTAATGCCTTTATTTGAAAGCAGAAAACCGTACGAATTGAATTTTTCAATCAAAAAGGACGAAAACATCAATTACAAGAACAATAATTACAAGTTCATATGCAAATTATGGATTTGTTGGGCTTACCAGTGGCTTCCATTTCGGCGGTTTCAGCTGGGTCTTTTGGCAATAGGAATTATCATAATTTTAAAAAAAGGATAAGTACTTGAGAAACCTCACGTGCGGCTGCTCTTCGTTTTTGTTTGAGTAGTAAATAGATATCAGCTGGTTTGAGGAAGTCTGGGCATGCGCATACGGAGGGGAGTGGCGGGAATGTCGCACTTGTTGTGAAGGTGTTTCAAAGACAAACATCGAGGAATTAATGAGTCGATGTGCAAATTAATTATGTAATCATTGGGAATAAGCGAGAAGAACATGGTTGCATTTTTGCATTTTTTGGCTTGCTGAAGTTTTCAAATTACATAATTAAGTGGATAATACACTCTTTAATTTTTTCAACATTCCGAGAACAAATTTATTAATGAAAATGAGAAAATTATTTTCAATAAGTTTGATCAATTGTTTAATTATTAATTGAATTAATGGAATTCTTGTTTTTTACTTCAGTTACAATTGTAGAAATTTTTAAGGTAATAAAAACTATTCATTTGGATTTCCAAGAAATCCTTCAATAATTGGAAATTGATGAATATATAGCATTAGTGAAGCATTCGCCGCGTTGTTTGTTTTGTCGAAGTTATTGAATTAGGTAGCTGCATAAATAATTTTAGAGTCCGAAATTTTCTTAACATACAAAAATGTTGAAGCTGTTGTGTTTGAAAATTTGGAAAAATTAAAATAAACTTGGAATATTAAATTTTGCTTTCGGACGGACTATTCTTGAGAATCGTGCGAATAAAACGCATTAATTTCACAACTTCAAACACTGACTCATCCATAGAATCCAATAAAGCTTACAGAAATGTCGAAAGGATGCAAAATCAGCACCGTATGCTCCGCACTCGGGCATTGACCGAATGCGTGTTCTTAAATTATTTAAAATTCCACTTCAGTCTCGTTTTGCCATCGAACACGATCATACAAAGAGGCGAACTCCTCATCATTAACTAGTACCTGATTCGAGTTTACTAGTGATCCGAGTATCGGGATAAATTGTACGCAATTACGTCCACCTTTGTAGTGTAAAATCCCGGAACCAAGAAACATTCAATTATTTTTGTTCTATGAAACGGCTGATGGGCTGCAAATTTTACATTACGCACGGAGAGAAATATTCAATAAAAATTACGTATCTTTTCCGTAATTCCGGAGCGAAGTGTGGTTGTAGGAAATTTTACCGAACTGTCACGGAATTTTTCCGGAGCGTTCCGTAATTTTTATCTGAATCTCCTGTGAAAAATTATGATACCGTCACTTAAATTTTCTGAGTCGATTTCGTAATCGGTGAGTGAATTGTGAGTTCCGTAATTTTTACTGAACATTTCTCTCCGTGCGGCAAGTCATCAAAGTGACTCTTTAGAGTGATCGTTTTCAATTCTATTACGGTGACTGCACCACCCTTTTAAATCTGGGCATAATCAAATCTCGAAACTATTCAAAAACTGTGAATCAAGTGCACCTCTTGCTCGTGGAAAAGGCGGGCTTTTGGATTTTATAATAGTTTATACTAATTTCATACATGTAATTATTCTGGCCTAGAACTCCAAATTATTGTAAATTAAATTAACTCATCCACTTTCTAGTATTGATATCGAATGGTATCAGGACTCCCACTATTCTGTGATTAAATTCTCTCTCATAACTATTTGATCTCTTTTTATTTATAAATTCCAAACTTAATTGTTTCCTATTCCAAAGTATTAAAGATATAATTTTACCATAATAATAGCGAAGACGAAATGGTAAGTGCAGACGTGCCAAGCAGACGTATTTAGAGTTAAAAAGTATCCACTAAATAAAAATATTATTCTGTGGGCACGAGGTAGAATTGTGTTCTATTTATGAAAATAACAAACTCAATTCGTCCCCTCCCAGCAAAGTAAGTATGCTTCAACATTTTTGCAACGAATATAAACAAATTAATTGCCCTTCTATTAATTATTCTACTATCAATCTAATTAATTCAATTCTCAATTTTTATATCAGTTACAATAATTTTGACGACAATACAAACTATTCATAAAGATTTGCATAACTCCTTCATTGAAGAATCAATATTGAAACGAATAAAATTTTTATGAATTAAAACAAAATATTTCAATTTTTATATCTCCGAAGCACATGCGACGTATTCGATAGAGTCCAGCGTCAGCGCATGCTTCGCTCTCCAACAACATTAAAAAATATATAAAAGATGAAATAATGTTGCAAATCATAAAGCGTGAAACTATCAACTCTCTCGATGTATCAGACAAACCAATCTCATAACTATGAATAGAAAATCATTTCCAAAAGCCTGCGCATGCTGACTGGCAAACCACCCTCCGAATTCCCAGAATCCATAAATAAACTATAATGAAAAATTATGAAATTGCAAACTCGTATTTCTCCGATTTTTTAAAAATAATTTATCAAAACGAAAGGAGATTTATCGATACCAGGTGAGTGATGAAAAAGAGATAATAAAAAATACTGGATAAACTGTTATGTCACGTCATATCGCACTTGATAGAACACGAATACGGGTGCCCTGTGGCGATCAATAACAGGGGTTCTATACCCTTTTTACTTTATTCCGTGGATCAACTCGTGAATTTGATTCGTGAGTGAAACAACATGGGCTGTTGACTGACGTTCCTTATGTGGCGTGATTTATCAGGGATAAGGATTTTAGTTTCAAATATATTTATTCGTCTGTCTTAACGAATAATTTCCCGTGAGTGTCAGTCATCCCATTATTTTATAATTCATTCGGTGAAATAAGTGGGAAAAAATTGGGGAATTTAACGCGCAGAAATTTTTTTGTTGTTGTATTTCACAGATTAATTGAAGATTGTTTGATGAGTTTATTTATTTTTTAGTCTTTTGACAATTGATTGCGAAGCTTTGACAATTATTGACATTAAATGGAGAATTTTCACTGGTTGGAGTTTGTTTGCACGAAACACTGAATTATTAATGTCAAACATGGGCTGTTGATTAAAATTCGTTAGGCTGTGTAATTTGTCGAGGTTCTTAGTTTCAAATATATTTATTCATCTGTTTTAACGAATAATTTTCCGTGAGTGTCAGTCATCTCATCATTTTATAATTTATTCGGTGAAATAAGTGGGAAAAAATTGAGGAATTAAATGCGCAGATAATTTTTTGTTCAATTTCAATGTTTAACTGAAGACTTTTTAAAGAGTTGATTTATCTGACAATTGATTGTGGAGTTTTGACATTTAGTTATTGATATTTAACGGAGTATTTTCATTGTTTGGAGTTTCTACGATGCACTGAGTTCTTAATGCCAGACATCGGTTGTTGATTAAAGTTCCTTATGTTGCGTAATTTGTCAAAGATTTTAGTTTCAAATATAATTATTTATCTGTCTTAACGAATAATTTCATTATTTGATAATTCATTCGGTGAAATGAGTGGGAAAAAATTGGGGAATTTAATGCGCAGAGAACTTTTAATTGAAGACTGTTTGATGAGTTTATTCTTCTGACAATTGATTGTCGAGTTTTGACAATTAATTATTGACATTTAATGGAGTATTTTCTTTGTTTGAAGTTTGTTTGTGTGATGCATTGAGTTATTAATGTCAGGCATGGGTTTTTGATGAAAGTTCTTTATGTTGCGTAATTTATAGAAGATTTTAGTTCTAAATATATTTATTTATTTGTCTTAACGAATAATTTCCTGTGAGTGTCAATCATCCTATCATTTTATAATCGATTCGGTTAAATAAATGGGAAAAAATTGGGCAATTAAAGGCGCAGAGAAGTTTTCTTGTTGAATTTTAATGATTTATTGAAGACTGTTTGATAAATTCATTGTTCTGACAGTTAATTATTGACATTTAATGAAGAATTTTCACTGTTTGGAGATTGTTTGTACGATGCACTGAGTTATTAATGCCAAACATGGGCTGTTGATTAAAGTTCCTTAGGTTGTGAAATTTATCAATGATTTTAGTTTCAAATATATTTATTTATCTGTCTTAACGAATGATTTCCTGCGAGTATCAGTCATTCCATTATTTTATAATATATTCGGTGGAATAAATGAGAACAAATTGGGGAAGTAAATGCGCAGAGAAAATTTTTTGTTGAATTTCAACAATTAATTGATGACTGTTTCATAAATTCATTGTTCTGCCAATTGATTGTTGATGTTTGATGAAGAATTTTTACTGCTGGGAGTTGTTTGTATTATGCACTGAGTTATTAACGTTGAACGCAGGCTAGACAATGGTGTCCCTGGAAGACAGCTGGAAGGAGGCGACCGATGGATTTAACTCTGAGGCATGTGATACATGGTTCACAAACTTGCAGGAAGTTTATTCAGAGGAGAAGAGGACGTATCATAATTTGGATTCACTGAGAGAGAAATTGGGTCATTACTACGATATCAAGGATCAGCTGAAGAATCCAAGGGCATTGCTTCTTGCACTGTTTTTTCAGAAGTATGTGCAAGTATTTAGTGAAGTTCGGAGAGAAAAAAACATTTGGATTTTCAGGAGAACGTCACTGATTTTCGTGAACATGTCACTGATTTCTAGGGACATATCACTGATTTTTAGATATCTATCACCAATTATTGGTGATGTGGACACTGACTATACTCTATAGAGTAACCCTGATCAACGGTGATTTCTATCCTGAAATCTGGTGATAGATTATTAAATATTAGAGATGTGTGCCTGAATATTAGTAACATTTTTATGAAAATTGTGACCACCTCCTTAAAAATCAGTAACGATTTCATTGAAAATTAGTGATAAATAGGTCGCTACGCCCCCTGCTCGCTCCGCTCGCCAACCCCCATATGACCTCCATGGTCCTTATTCTGACCCTTAGTTTCTGATCCTTTTCACCCTTATTTGGACCCTTAATCTGACTCTGTAACCCTTATTTGGACCATTATTGTGACCCTCATGACCCTTAATCTTACTCTTGTGACCCTTATTTGGACCCGTAATCTGACCCTTGTTACCCTTATTTGGACCCTTAATCTGATCCTCGTGGCCCATATTGTGACCCTCATGACCCTTAATCTGACCGTTGTGACCCTTATTCTAACCCTTATTCTGGCCGTCATAACCGTTATTTTGACTCTAATGACCCTTATTTTGACCCTTATGACCCTTAATTTTTGAGTCTTAATTTCGAGTACCAAAATTTAATCTCCAGAAGTCGATTTGGATTTTTATAATACAGAGAGATGTCACTAAAAATTGGTGAAAAAATTCCTGACTTTCAGAATTTTGAACTCGTTGAATTTCACAATCGCAAATCCCTAATAATTGGGGATAGATTCCCGAAAAACAGTGATACGTCCCTGACCACTAAAACTGTTGTTCAAGTCTGACTTATTTCAATGATCAATAGTTGAATTATTGTGAATGAGTGGTGATGACGGGAATCATCGGGAGATTTCTTTTGTAGAAAGACATCTTGTATCCAATTGGTTTTTTAAAAATTGTCCCTCGTTTTTTCTACAGATAGCTGATTAGAAAAACGTTTGAATTTGGCTTGAGTCGTTTGGGGACTTTAGTACTGAATTATTTCTGGTGACTATGATCTTTGTAAGTCGTTGATTGTGCATTTTTATTGCAGCTTTGAGTACGATCCGAAAGCTCTTGATGGAGAGAATCAGAATATAGATCATTTTGTTTCCTTTGCTAATGCAGCAGAAATACCAGAGGTGAGAGGACAGCTGTTTGATATATTAAAAATTGTAGTCTTCATATTCAGTTAAATAACAAAAAAAAAGCCTTCATATTCGTATTTTTGCATCTTATAGATTGAAAAATGTAGAATAGAAAATGTTCAGATAGAAATTCTAAAGGTGGTTTCCAAAATTCCGATATCTTTTTCAGATTTTCAGATATTTGTAAAAACTGATCTGAAATGATATCGATTTATTTTGTTTGACGACTTTATCACGGAAATACACTAGAATTTTTCTGGTGCTTTCCAGTTAATTAAAAATTGAACGTAATTTGGGACTGAATTCAAGTAGGAGAGTTATTGTTTATAAATCGAATTCGATGCCGTTTTTCTAAAAATTACGAGTCTACGCATGAAAAAAAATATATAGAAAAACCTGGCGAACTCGCTAGAAAATTCTATTGGATTTCTATTGACCATTCTATCAGTTATTCTCGAAGGAAAATAATTTTGTCACCCTGCTGATAAAAAATTTAGAATTTCGCGGAATTTTCAGGAGATTGGAAGATCTCACGATTTTTCTCATGATTTTTCCGCTAAATCGAATTCAATATCACTTTTCTGAAAATTACTGGTCAACAACGCACGAAAAAAAAATTATAGTAAAACCTCGCGAACAAGCTAGAAAATTCAATTGCATTTCTAGTGAACTTCTATTGAACATTCTATCAGTCTTTCCCCAAGGAAGGAATTCTTGTCTTGCTATTGATAAAAAAATTTAAAATTCCAGGAAATTTCTAGATCTGGGAAATCTGATTTCTCTGAAGATTTTTCCGCTAAATCCAATTCAATGTCACTCTTCTGAAAATTACTCGTCAACGCACGAAAAAAAAATTATAGTAAAACCTCGCGAACTTACTAGAAAATTCAATTGCATTTCTAGTGAACTTCTATTGAAAATTCCGCCAGTCTTTCCCACAGGAAGGAATTCTCGTCTTCCTACTGGTGAAAAATTTAGAATCTCACGGAATTTTTAGGAGATCTGGAAGATCTCCCCATTTTTCTGATGATTTTTCCGCTAAATCATATTCAATATCACTCTTCTGAAAATTACTTGTCAACAACGCACGAAAAAAAAAATTATAGAAAACCCTCGCGAACTCTTGCATTTCTATTGAACAGTGTATTTTCCATATTGTTATTCAGGACGATGAATTACGTACTGAAACATGTGCATTACTGAAAGCAGCGGCCACTCACAGTACAGAGGAGCACAAGGTCGATGGTGCCTTTGGCAGTGAAGACGCTCACTACCTGTTAGATTTAGACATGGCCGTTCTAGGCTCAGCATCAGAGGCCTACGCCGAATACAGGGAGAAAATACGTGGAGAATACTCGTTCCTCAGTGAGCCCATGTACACAGCACTGAGGCTCAAGGTAAATAAACCACTTCTTTCCGTTACCACGTGCTTTTCAAAAGCATTCATGAGCATTTATTCGATTCAGGTACTGCAGAACTTCGTACAAATTCCGAATATTTTTGCGACTAAAGAATTCCGTGAGAAATTCGAGGAGCAAGCCAGACTTAATATTCAAGCTGAGGTGGAACTATTGTCTTAGAAGTTGTTCGATATTGTTGTATTAAATAAATCGGATTATTGTGAGGAGATGATTAAGCTAAATGTTTAAAAAATTGAATAGACTATTCGGTTTTTTTCTTTGAGAAAAAATTGTGTCATGTGTACACATGATGTTTAGGAATTGAGCTTTCGTATGCGAACAATGCAGGATGTGTTATGTTTAGTATGAGGTGATGACAATATTGATAATGATTTTACTATGATCACACTGCAGAATCCCTGATTGTCAACAAATTGGCGAAGCGGTAAAACGATTTGAGTCGACTCAACTCTTAAGTCGGTTTTCGAGGAATATCTCCGAATCTAAGGGAGATAGCGAAATTTTCGTAATGATATTTTTTATAGCTCTCAATGAATCCTACAAAAAAACTTGTAACAAAAATTTTGCTGTTCTCATTAATTTCGAGATATTCATTGAAAAATGACCAATAGCTAAAATCGACTGAAACCGTTTTACCGCAACGGTAAAACGGTTTAGTCGATTTTACCTGTTATATTTTTTTCTATTCAATCACTTGGATTTCTCTAAAAAATATATTTTGTCTTCTAAATAAAAAAATATATTTTATTGGAACATTCGATGATCCTGTTGTGTCCTTCAGACAATTCATCGACTAATGAATTCTGCATTCCCATGACTTTTCCCAAATTGTTTTGTGAATGACTACGTGAAGAAATTGTTGCTGGAAAATTTTCCATGAAAATTGACGCCATCACCTCAATTTTTATTATTTCCAACAAGTTGTGATTGGTCTGTATTAAATTAAGAACCATGAATATTTTTTGTCTCTGAAGAATGCTTTCCTATTAATGGGTGATGACAATATTTATAGTGATTTTACCATGATTACACACTAGAACCCCTGATTGTCAACAAATCAAAATTTAATGGGGCCTTGGAGCCGAAATCTAATTGTCAAATAGTATATTGTGTTACAAGTGCGTAAAGAACCACTTTTTCGTGCGCACGCGTAACACATCCTATTTTTTGTAATACCTGCCGAGGGTATCCGTTGAATTCATCCTGGGATAATTCATCCCACAAACTCATCCCAAAACAATTTCATCCCAAAACAACTTCAGACAAAAACAAATTCATCCCAAGATGACAGACAACCTGGAATGTGAAATATTTGGATTTATCGGATTTGTGATTCATCGGATTACCAGTGTATTGAATTTCTACTGAATTAAAAATTCATCAACAGGAGGCTGGATGTGAAACGCTTAAGAAGAAAAGAAAATATGTGGACTATGAAGTACGTTTGAAACGAGTTGTGGGCAAATATGATGCTGGACGTGTTGTGAAGTATTTGGAGAATGTTGCTCAAAATGTTGACTTTTAATTTGACCTTTGTTATGATTATAATGGACGGTAGTTAAAATGAATAATTTATTTCCAGTGGGTTATTTCGAATGTTTCGTATTAACCGTTTATTAATTTCGTAAATGACATGGTATGGTATTGTCACGCATTCGACGTGGTTTATTATTGTCGCCTATTTGATGAATATTTGTTGTGATGAATGAAGACTTATTCAATGGTTTCTCTTGGAATGTTTTCCGTAGATCCGATGATCGGTGTTGTGATGAAGATTGTGTAGAAATGGTGACATATTTAATTGCTTTGCATTTTTTGTTTAGTGTGTTTGCTTTTTTGCGAATAAAGATTTCATTCTCTTCCCCCCTATTTTTTTTTGTTGACGTTGAAAATTTAATTAGAATTTGAATTTTGGGATGAATTTTTCAGGGGATAAATTTGTTTTGGGATGAAATTGTTTGGGATGAGTTGTTCGGGATGAATTCACCTAGAACCGTACGTAAAGTGCATTTCGTGTGCGTAAAGCGAAGTTTTACGCACGAGAATTCACTTCACGCACGACCTCTGAACTTTACGCACATTGTGCGTAAAACAACCACTTTACACACACTAAACGGTTTCGAAAAGTGAACATTGGAGGCAGGTATTACAAAAATGAATTTTTCTTTTTTATAACTTGAAATTGTCGAAAGAATATATTTTGGGTTCAAAATAAGTAAATAAAACATGATTTTATTTGAATTTGTCTGATGATGAATTTTACATTCTCCTGACTCTTCTTAAATGATTTTGTGAATAATGGAAAAATCTTCTGAAAATTAAAAAAAAACTAAAATTGAGACCATCACCTCAATTTTTATTATTTCCAATAACTTGTGATTTTCTGAATTAAATTATGAACCTTGAACATGTTTTGTCTGCGAAGAATGCTTATATCTATATTCATATGCTATTCGTTGATCTCAGGGAGGCACAGCGTGGAAAATCTTGGAGATTTCTCTCACTGGGAATTGATGTATTAATTAAGAATCAATCATGTGTCCATATGTGTCCACTTGTTTTGAAAATTATAGGGAAATTACACAATGAGATAATCGGTTGTGAATTATTTGCTGTGCTATCATCCTTCTCAGGGAAAAATGAGGAGAAGCCCTGAAGTATCCGTTCACAAAGCAGTTGCAATATTTTGAATTTATTGTACATCAAAAGGATCGGAAATATAAGTAGCTGCAGCGAAATAATCATCACGTAATTATGGTATAGTTTTTTAATCTATTTTTAACTGTGTTTTATCAATGCATTCAATGTATCTCTGGCAAAGAGGATTATGTTAATTTGAGTGACTCATTCCCTGAGTTTATTATAAGAAAGCTTGAGTTTGCAGATAACAATTTGTAAGAGTTGAACGAGAATAGATAAAATGCAAGAGCTCATCGATTAAATCAGACAATATGTAAATAAATTATTGTGAAAGAAAATATAAATCGATTTGTGTTTTCAAACTCAAAGATGAATTTCAGGGCATTATTATTGCATTTCCCAATCATTTTCATCATTTTCATCAACTTCAATGTTTTTGTGTTTTTTTTTGTTATGTAGATGTGTGCACGCATGAAAAAAAAACAATAGAAAACCTTCGCGAATTCGCTAGAAAATTCAGAATTTTTCCGATTTCCATCAATTTTTATGGAATCATTAAACTAAAATCCACAATTTCTATTAATTTTTTCATCAAATTATAAAGTTTCAATAACTAAATTCCTCGAAATTTCCGGGGAACTATCCCTGGATAAGAATTCTCTAAATTTTATCCGCAAACTGTTAACTGTGAAACTGAATTGATCTTCGAAAGAGAAAAGTAATTGATTTTTGGTTCGGACAAATCGCTAGTATTATTCCGACTAATATACCGAACACTCCTTCAACAGAGACCTGGAATTCTGGAGTTACCTGAATGAACGATAAGACTCTGCGATAAACGACCTCTATTGATACATAAAAATTGTTTCTTATTTCCCTACAAATAGTGGTGAGTCATGAATTTTTCTCAAGGTAATTAACAATCATGAATGGATTCCTCGATTCCTTTCTTGATCACTCCGAAACAATAAATAATCGCCCTAAAAACTGAACACCAGTAACAACACATAGTATTACAATGTCCGTTCTGTCCATTCATAAACAATTCTGAACAACAAAAAAATGGATAGAAACTACAAGTTAAGGTCAGGGCTGACAAAACCAGATTTGCCGAGTCTGAATGTCACTGAGAAAAACAGCGAAATTAATTTGAAGATATTTTACCAGAAAAACGTCATGTCGGGGAATTTAAATCTCGGTCTCGTCGATGGATCCACAGAATGTTTTATTCATAATGATCACTCCTTCAACTGAGACCTGGAATTCTGAAGTTATCTGCATGAACGGTAAGACTTTGCGATAAACTATTGACAGATAAAAATTGTTTCTTAATTCCCTACAAATAGTGGTGAATCATGAACTCCCCTCAAGGTAATTAACAATCATGAAAGGGTTTCTCGATCTCCCTAAAAACAGAACACCAGTAACAGTACATAGTACTACAATACACGGATGAAAAAAATTAATAGAAAAACCTATCGAATTCATTAGAAAATTCTATTGAATTTCTATTGAACTGTTCTATTAGTTTTTTGCCGATTCTATTGAAATGTTCAATAGAAAATATTCAGTAGAAAAAGTCAATAGAATTCAATTTTTCTATATAACTTATTCTTTTCATATATTTTCTATAGAATTTCCTCGGCTCAAATTTTCTAAGTTTTTTCGTTTAATTTTCTTCATGAGAAAAAAAGAAAAATAGAATTTAAAAAACTTGGAAAATTCGAGTCGAGCAAATTCTATAGAAAATATATGAAAAGAATAAGTTATATAGAAAAATTGAATTCTATTGACTTTTTCTACTGAATATTTTCTATTGAACATGTCAATAGAATCAGCCAAAAACTAATAGAAAGTTGAATAGAAATTCAATAGAATTTTTCAACGAATCCGATAGATTTTTCTATTAAATTTTTTCGTGCGTGTATTCGTTCTGCTCATTCATAAACAACTCTGAACAAAACCAAAAATGGATAGAAATTACAGGTCAACTTTCGCACTGATAAAACTAGTTTTGCCGAGTCTGAATGTCACTGAGACAAACAGCGAAATTAATTTGAAGATGTTTATCAAAAAAAACCTCATGTCGGAGAATTTCGATCTCGCTCTGGTTGATGGATCCACAGAATATTTTATTCATAATTATCTCCTTCATAAACTCTTCAATAAACCTCAGTATTGACAGACAAAAATTATCAATTAATTCCCCACCAATAGCGATGAATCATAAACTCCCCTTGGGATAATTAACAACCATGAAAGGATTCCTCGATTCCTTTTTCGATCACTCCGAAACAATAAATAATCGCCCTAAAAATGATGACCCTGAAATTCGCAGAAAAAAATTTGCTTGTCGTCCCAATCTACTTATTATCTTTTTCGTAGATATCCTCTGTTGATTTTTTCCCTCGTCAAAAAATTGCATATCATAAATGAAACATTTATAACAAAAAACAAGAAACATCACGAAAAGATTCCTAATTTTTTCAAACGTGATCTTTGTTCTTTTTTTAATCGGGCGATTCATATGAATACTGAAGCTTGTCAAAGATTTAGTGTTCCACCGCGTTGTGCCTGTTCCACTAATATATCCTGCAGTAAATAACGCATGAACCGTCATTCTTTACCTTGTTCTTCACACGTAAACGTTTCCGCAAAAGTGCTGGATCGTATTAAAATAAACTGCATAAAATCTATCAAAAACTGAAAACGGTGAGAGACGACGATGGGAAGTGATACCGAAAGAAGTGTTTTATTGTTGATTCTTCTGGTCATAGGCTAAACCAAGTCTCAATTTAATACAGCAGAACTGAAGGCAGCAGGATACTATCTAAATGAATACGGAAACTGGCAGAAAGGCTTCATTTCAAGCGACGCCACTGGAGACACCCTCGGGGTCGAGGCATATACCGGGGGAACGATCACCAAAAATCTGAACACGATTCAGGATGGACTAGGAATGCATCAGGTACACCAATCGAATTCTGTTTCCGAAACCATCGATCCGCTGGCACTTGCCCGAAACATCCCCGAGATCCACAGACAGGAATTAGGAATCCACATAGAAGAGATTCATCAACAACAGCAAGTCGTCGATCAGCAGCTGAGGGATGCACAGAACAGGAGAATCCAAGCTGATGTGGCCCTCATCAACAGCACGAATTCCCCGCCGATGGACAAAGCGCAAGCAAAGCTAAACCTGCAGAATGCGATTGTCGATGAGATCCAGGCAAAGATAAAGACATTGGAGAAAGCGATTGAGTACATAGAGGGGGATATAATGCTGAATAATGGTCGTATATGGTGGCCTAAAGATCAGGCTGATGCACAACAGGCTGGGGAATATGTGAGAACGAGAGAGTCTGATAAAGCGAGTACGAATCAACTGCTGAATGATGACAGAATACGAAGAAAGATATGGATCAGATTCGGAATGGGAATGTTTCAGAGAAATATAAATCAGAAGCGGAGATCAAGGCGAAAGCTGAAGCTGAAGCCAAAGCAAGAGCTCAAGCTGAAGCTAAAGCAAGAGCTGAAGCAGAAGCCAAAGCAAGAGCTGAAGCGGAAGCTAAAGCAAGAACTGAAGCCGAAGCCAAAGCAACCCTAGTGGAAAATCCAAAATTATAGCGTAACATACCTGATCAGAATCTGATAAGGTAACCTGATCAGTGTCTGATCAAGTCCTGACTAAAATTTCCACTCGAATATGATTCTACGTCATGTTGGGAAGCCCTTACGGACCGACCAATGCCAAAGGAAAGTACAGCGGTCGGGACTACCACACGGACAAAGCTGGTGGTTCCATTCAAGATTTAGACTGGAAAACCGCGAATATCGATCGCGCTGGGGTTGACAATGTGAAGCTGCATACAAGCCGGTTTGGTGAATCGACGGACAATAGAGTGATGATCGACCGATTGGAGAAGATCCTGAAGGACGAGCTGGCTGTCACCGACACAGATAAACGTTTTTATACTCATGAACTCAGGGAACTGGAACGCTATCGGGCATTGAACGTTCCTGATGGTGTGTCGCCGGATGATGGCGGGGCGATATGGCATAGTGCTCATACGGCGACGCTCAAGAATTATAAACTGGGGAGTGAATGGTCACTTTTGTATACACCGGAAACGTTGAATGCCGAGTGATCGAATGATTAGAAGTTGAAAATGTCATGTTTTGTATTGAAATCAATAAATTGTAGTTACAGATGCAGTAATTTATTTTATGAAACTTCTGATAGGTGACTAGTTTTCTGCCAATTGCAATATTTTCGGGTCTGATTGTAAAAAGTGATACTCATCATCTTTCGTTGAAGGAAATTCGATGGATATTACACTCAGGATCAAGCGAATTCTTGTTCTTCTTTATTCATTTGGGTCACGTTCTTACATTCATCTGATTAAGATTTTGACTTGTATTTTGTCAAGTAATCAGCCAGGATTTGAACTCGGCACCTTTTACATATGAGGCCCTTCTGCATGCGACCTAACCCATTACTTTGAAATGGACGGATTGGGGGGGGGGGGGGGGGGGNCGAAGCTCCTCACCAAATTTCAGACAATAGGATATTCCCCTGAAGAGAATTCCCCTGAGATCTTTGTCGTGTTGAATTAATTCACGTGTGGTTAAAAAAGAACCTTTCCACCAAAACATGATAATTGTCGTTGCAATAGTTGTTCTCGTGAGACATTTATAGGTCATTCGGGTAAATATATTCATTCTACAGAAAATTATATTAGGCTCCGGCTACAATTTTCTTGCCGAAAACTGTATCATTGGCAAAATTAAATAATTTCAAGGGGACAATTTTTTTGGGAAAAAAATATTGTTTGCTAGTTAATGTATTTTTTCATGGGAGCACGTCTAAAAAACTTCGGCAAAAAAACCTGGTTACATCAATTTTGGAAAAGTAAACTTTTAATTAATTTAACTTTTGTCAAAGAAATCTGGATATTTTGTCTTTTGTAAGAATATCAGTAAAAGCTGGGTTTATGTATGGGATTCTAGAGTTTTCTTATCTGTGTTATTTTGCTTCCTTGTGAAAAGAACAATCGCTATTTATCATTTATTTCATTGAAATAATATTTTCTGGAGAGGGGGAACTACTCTGAAGTATTTGAGAGGGATTGCTTCGAATGTTGTGCTTTAAATGACTGATCGTTTGTTAGATTTTGTAGTGTTGTGGATACGAATAGTTGAGTTATTTATTTCCTCAGGATTATGAATTTGTGTCAAATCACTTGTTAGTATTGAGGCTCAATGTTGTTTACTCTGGAAACGATATTTACAAATTTAATATTGTGCATCGTGTATTTTATTTTCAGTTAGTTATTTTCGTTCGTGGGTATTCATTGAAAAGTTATTAATAACTCTATTCTTGTTTTTTGCATTATTTTCCTGGATTTTTCAATTTTTTTCACGTTTTTCGCAGTTTAAATTGTTCAATTTTTTTCTTTAGATTTTTTCAATTACTAAGTTATTTTGATGAAATTTGTTGACGAAGTTTTTTAAACATGGACCCTGTTTTATGGTATAAACCTGTGGAGTTCTCTCAGATCAAATGATTGTCGTACAATACATTTACATTAAATTACATTCTTTCCTGCTAATTGTACGAATTTTTCTAGGGGTTGTAACTTCTGATGATCATGACAAAAATTTAATTCTTGTGAAAGATAATAAAAAGAAAATAAAATTTCCCTCAAGTAAATCTGTTCCACTCGATCAAATATTCTGACGTAGACCATATAGTTATTTTTTTAAATTTTTTCTATTTCATTGGTTTTATTGAAGTGATTCTCGATTTGAAACCCCTCCTCTAGCCTGCGTCCCCTCCTTTCTTTTTCCTCTCATTGTTATCTGCGGTATCATGGCCGTCTTACTCTTAGCTGTGCCCCATTCGAGCTAGGACTGCACGGGAAACCATGTAAAACCCCAGTCGTACAGCCGGTCGATCGTGCAGTGCCCTAATATATCCATCTGTCACACTGACTAGATGGAGACACTATGCCGCTACACCGTACCTACCGCCCGCAATTTTTGTGCGAGCGAGGTGTTCCTAAGCGGTCACCCATCCAAGTACTAACCCAGCTCAACGCTGCTTAGCTTGGATGTCCGCCGGAGCAACACCTCACCCACCTAACCATTACAGTCGGTNTCAACGCTGCTTAGCTTGGATGGCCGCCGGAGCAACACCTCACCCACCTACCCATTGCAGTCGGTTTTTCGGCAGAGCAAATTTTTTCTCTACACTACGATCAAGAAAACACGAAACCCTGGAAACCCCGATCAACCAAATAGATCCCACCAAATTAATCCCCACTATCGATTACCAATATGATGTCAAAAAATTTCTAACCCACATCAATCATACCTCCACCCGACACCTTCCAACTTTAATTTCCCTTCATCTTCAATCATCAGACGTCTCTCCCCAAATCAACTCTCCCAAATCCACCCCCCCCCCCCCCATTTG